GGCAAGGGAAAGCGGCGCGAGGCCGACTCGGACGTCGACAGCGACGACGACATCATCATCCTCGACCCGCACTCGCGCGCCTCGTCGTCCGAGCCCGAGGAGGGCGAGCTGCCCGACGCTGCCGACGCCGCCGACGCGAGCCGGCCGTCGTCGCGCTCGACCTCGACCGCGCTACCCGAGCGCGAGCCCGAGTCTGAGCAGCACCCGGTCGACCATGGCGTCGCACGCTCGCTCGTGCTCCTCGTCAAGGCGTTCCTCGGCCAGCGCGGCATGAACGAGGTCTTCACCGGCGGCCTCGGCAGCTACTCGATCATCTGCCTCGTCATCTCGTTCCTCCAGGTGCGCCCGCCTCCCTCCCCCCTCCTCCTTGTGACACGAAATAGTCGAGGACGTCGCCCTGACTCGTCGTCTTCCTCGTGCAGCTGCACCCCAAGATCCAGACGGCGACGATCAACCCGAACCGCAACCTGGGCCTCCTCTTTGTCGAATTCCTCGAGCTGTACGGCAAGCACTTCAACTACGACCAGGCCGGCATCACGCTCCGAGGCCGAGGCGGCTACTTCAACAAGCACGACAAGGGCTGGTACCGCCCGGGTCAGCCGTACCTCCTCAGCATCGAGGACCCGAACGACCCGAGTGCGTCCCTCTCTCTTCTCTCGTCCTCTCGAGGACGCACTTACTGACCTTTCGTCTCCCACTGTTGCAGAGAACGACGTGTCGGGCGGCTCGCACGCCATCATCCGCGTCCGCCAAACCCTGTCGGGCGGCTTCGACGTCCTGTCGGCCTCGCTGTGCGCCCGCCAGTCGCTCCTCGCCTCGACGTCGTCGTCGAACCTCGCCCGCGTCCCCGTCCTGAGCGCCTCGGCCCTGCCCAACGCCGACTCGTCGACGTCGCTCGACCCGTCGCAGCGTTCGATCCTCGGCTCGATCGTCGGCCTCGGTGCCGCCGAGCGCCTGTCGCGCCGCGCGCACGCCCAGCTCCACGCCGACGGCGTCCTGCAGCGCCTCCTTGAGCGCGAGGAGGGCGCATTCGCGCCCCTGAGCGGCAAGGCGCTCAAGCGCGCGCGGCGCGACGAGCGCGCCGGCGAGAGGCGCGACAAGACGATCGCGCGCCTCGAGCGCAAGGTCGAGGAGCGCGAGAAGCGCTCGGAGCGCAAGCGCGAGAGGCGCAAGCGCAAGGCGCCCGAGGCCGAGGACGACGTGCGCGACGACGACGCCGACGGCGTCGAGGGGGCGGTCGAGGACGCCGTCGTTAAGGCAAACGACCTCGCCCCTCTCGCCGCCGTCTCGGCGCACGGCCGTGGCGCGCAGTCGGTCGAGGACGAGGACGACGAGGACGATGGCAGCGGCGCCCTGTTCGTCGTCGACGTCGTGGGCTCGACTCGCGCGGGCCAGCACGACCAGCCGCACGCCCCGCCGGCCAAGAAGGCTCGCTTGTCGGCCGCGACTGCCACCTCGGCCTCGGACGACGAGGACGGCGACGACTCGCGCTACGCTCGCGCCCACGTGCGCGCCAAGCCGACGCTCGCGCGCCCGGCGGCGGCGGGCGTCACGCACGTCACGGACGACTCGTCGGCGTCGTCGGGCTCGGAGCGTGACGGTGACGCTGGCGGTGTGGACGAGGACGAGGACGAAGAGGGCGCAGATGTCGTCCTTGGCGGGACGGGCGGCGACTTGGTGCGGCCCGGCGGCGTTGTCTCGCGCGACTTGACGCCCGGGACTGGGTCGGGCTCGGCGTCGGGCGCGGCGAGGCGGCGCCAGAAGAAGGACAAGCTGAGGGCCGAGACGCAGCGGCGCAAGAACGAGTACTGGGTGGCCAAGGGCCCGAGGGAGGAGGTTGAGTAGCTGCTGGCCGACGGCGACGGCCCCTTTTGCTATCTCTACCACGCGCAGTAGCTTTCCGAGCCAGTGTGCCAGCATGTCTCGCGTCGAGAGTACAGCGCAGAGGCGCACAAGGCCGTTCGTCGAAGCGGGTGGCCGGATCCGCTCGCGAGCTCTCGTCGCTCCTCGCTCGTCCGCCGTCCACCTCGACCCTCGCGACTGGGCACGCTCGAGATGGCTCTTGTCGGTACCTGCGCACTGTGACAGCACGCTACTACCACGCCCGCACCGCCATGAGCGCTCGTCGCCGTCGCAGAGCGCGTCGCGTCCTCATCAGCACCCGCGTCGTTCCACCTCTCTCGACTGTCGACAACGACTCGTGGGCCTGTGGGCGCGATTGTCGAGGGTTCAAGGAGGCTCATGGCGCGCACCGAGCTGGGCGGCTGGCTCTGCGGGCGTTGGATAGCAGGTGCGTCCTCCTCCTCCCCGCCTCGCCATTGTTTGGCGCCCTCTCCCCCTCTCCTCGCACCCGCCGCCACCTCGCGACGCCTCTCAGATGCCTCCCGGATCTGATCAGAACATTCTACAGCCGCTTCGGTCGTGCACGATGGGCAGGCGCACGTTCTGGCGGCGCGAGGACTCGCCGTCGACCTCGAGGCGGTCCATCCAGTTCCTTGTATGTCCCTCCCGCTCCCCTGGTTCGAGTCATGGACTCGGGCATGAGTCTGTGCGTCTTTTGAGCACGCGCACTAACTCTTTCGACCTCGCACCGCAGGTTAGTCGAGCCCTCGATGGCGCCCTCTCCTTCTCGGACTCGAAAGTTCTCGCCTCGCTTTCTTGCTTGTTCTACGCTGGCCCCTGCCGACGCCGACATGCCCTCTGCATGACTCGAGCGAGCCGCGAGAGACCCACACGCCCGTCTCGCGACCGTTCTTCGTCCCGGCGGCCGAGACAGCCGAGCCGCCGAGGACGGGTCTTTACGAGGCCGCGCCCGCCCTCACGTGCCCCTGAGGGCAGCGGGCGCACTCTGGTGAGCCGCTCGTACGGCGCGCACCCCTGCGGAGCGCCCGTGCGCCCGGCCACCTACTCCAGACAGGGGGATCCTGCGCACCCTCTCTCAAACGATAGCTCTTGATCTAGCAGGGTTACGGTGCTCTGCTTGCGCGGGATCGAACGAGGAGGTGTCTGCAATGAGATCGAGCGCTTCTCCCGGGCCAATTCATCGTGTAGAGCGCGAGTTAAGGCTCGCACTGCCCTTCTCAAGTCGGTCGAGGAGCGACTTGAGTGCAGCTCTTTCTGTCGGCTCCTCTGCTCCAGGGCTCTCTCTTCGAGTCTCTCCGAGTCTACCACCAGCGAGAGAGAGTGCCCCGACACCTGCCGGCTGCGCAAACCTCGTCCTCCTCCTCGACTTGCTCCCGACCCTGCTTCTCGCTTTGCGTTCGCGCACTTGTCGCGCTTCCGGCGGTGAGAGCTCGAGAGTAGACTCGAAGCTTGTCGGTCGCCCTCGACGACGTCGCACCCGATCCTCGTCGAGCTGCAGACTCGCAGAAAGCGCTCGAGCCCTTGTGAAACCCTCCCCTCGAGCGAGCCGAAAGCTATGCGAGAATAGCCGGGGCTTCGTAATATCGCTAACGGCTGGACCTCGAAGCTATTGCCGAATAGAGAAGTCAAGCGCGAGGTCGTAAGCTCGACGACTCGCGCCCCGCACCTCGTCCTCCACGCGCAACTCGGCCGCACCGCTGCTGTGCGTTGCCGGCGCGTGTCCAGCTCTTCTGCATCGCATCATCTATCTATGGGGCTTGCTCCCGCGCCACCGCGAGCGGCCGCCGACGGCGCAGGGCGCGTCGCATCTTCATCAGTAACTCGCGTCGTCCGACCTCTCTCGGCTGGTGGCAACGGTTCATGGGCCTGTGGGTATCGTCGTCGAGGACTATCGCAGCATCAAGGAGACTACTGGGCCGCGCGGCCGCGCTGTGCGGGCTGTGGGCGGCTGGTGCGTCCACCTCCTCCCCGCCTCCCCGTGTTCGGCCCCCCTCTCCCCCTCCCCTCGCCCCCTCTGCTACGTCGCGACGCGGTGCAGGGGTTTTGATAGACTGACCTAGTCCCTTTGCAGGCGAAACGGCTGCGCAAGGCGAGCAGGGCGGTCTTCTGGGCGGCACGAGGCGGGCTCCCGACCTCGAGGCGGCTCATGTTGTCCTTTGTACGTCCCGCACACACTCTTTCTTCCCTGCAGGACCTTCACATGGGTCCATGCTCCTCGCCGAGCTGCGTACTGACCCTCTCGACCTCGCGCCGCAGGTTAGTCGCGCCCTCGATGGCACCTCCCTTCTCGTCCCGAGAGCTTCTCCTCGCGCCCTAGCTCCGCCCCGCGATGGCTCTCCTCTGTTCAGTCGAGCTAGTTTGTGTCTTGAGAGCGAGCTTAGACTGCCCAGATGTCCGCCTCGTCGTCGCACTCGTCCCGTCGGCTCAGCGAGTCGAGCCGTCGCGGACGGGTCTTTACGAGGCCGCGCCCGCCCTCACATGCCCCTGAGGGCAGCGGGCGCCCTCTGGTGAGCCGCTCGTACGGCGCGCACCCCTGCGGAGCGCCCGTGCGCCCGGCCACCTGCTAAAGACAGGGGGATCCTGCGCACCCTCTCTCAAACGCTAGCTCTTGATCTAGCGGGGTTGGGGCCTTCTGCTTGCGCGGGAACGAACGAGGAGGTGTCTGCGGTGCAATCCAGCGTGTTTCCCGGGCCAATTCATCGTGTACAGCGCGAGTCGGCCTCGTCGCCTGGACCTTCTCACGTCCGAGGTCGGCAAGGTCGAGAGAGCTCTTCCTGGCAGTTCGCCTTCTCTCGACGTCTCTCTGTGTGTCTCTGAGGGTGCTCTCTCGACGCAAGAGAGCCCGCCGACCCTCATGGAGAGCTTAGGAGAGCACTCGCGCCTACGCCCGTGAAAGCCACGTCGCCGCTCGCAGCTCTCGCTCACATGCTGAAGAGAGCGACCAGAACGACGTATAGCATGCAAGAGAAAAGTATCTAAGGCACCACACCGGACTGTCCGCCCTCACTCGATACGCTCGAGCGCGCTTTCCTCCTCCTCCTCCTGCTCTTCCTTCTCCTCCTTCTTGTCCTCCTTCGCGCCGCCGTCTGCCGGCTGCACCTTGACGGCCGCCGGCTCGCTCAGGCCCCGCACGTACATGCTGCGACCGACGACGACGACGCTGTACCGCATCGTCGGGATGGGCGGCATGGTGCGGCTCGTGCGCTCCTCGTCGTCTTCGTCACCTCCCTGCTCGATCGACTCGTTCTCGCTGCCCTTCTCGACTCCATCGGTCGCTCCACCGCAGAACGAGAACGTCGGCGACGGTGCCCTCGTCGACGCAGGCGGCGGTGCCGGCGTGCTCGTGCGCTGCTCGATGAGGAGCCAGTCGTCCTCGGCGGCGGTGGGCGAGACGGCCGGGTGCGCCGTGGCCGGCGCCGCGAACGCGAATGGCGCGCTCGAGCAGGAACGAGGAGCATCGGGGACGGAGAAGGCGGGCGAGAGGGTGGGGAGGGTAGGGCGCGTCGACGCGTGGACGTGAGGGCGAGACTCGAGGTCGCGCGACGCTCCACCCTCGAGCGCGTCCGTCGCGAGGGTCGACGCGGTCGTCTGCGGGGCGTGCCCGACGTCGACGTCGACCGCGCCGGCGGCGCACTGGCACTGCGCGCGCGCCTGCGCCTGCTCGATGCGCCCGACGCGCAGGTAGAGCGACTCGACCTCGGTCGTGAGGCTCGAGACGATCCGCGTGAGCTGCAGGACCGCGTCCTGCATGTCCTGCACCTTCTTGCTCGACGGTGTCGAGGTGGGAGCAAGCGCGTGGCGGCGGTACTGACGGTCGATGCGCATCTTGCGAGTGCAGGTGGGCGAAGATGAGAGCGAGGAAGAGGGAGGTGGGAGAGGGGAGAAAAGGACGAGGGCGTCCTCGATCGATGGGATGGGTGAGAGGAAGTAGAGGAGAAGCTCGATGTTCGGCACGGCGACAGCGAGTGCTCGAAATGAGGGACGCGGGAAGCGGGAGCGAGCAAGGTTCAGGAGGCGGCCACGCTCCCGGTTTCGCGGGTCGTAGGACCGCCTCAAAGTATGCGCAGCCGAGCACGGGAGAAGAAGCGAAAGCGCGGCGACGTCGAGTCGCACGAGAAGTACAGCTGCGCGATGCATCGACGGGTCGCGCCGCTACTCGCTCCGGTCCCTCCTCAGGCTCGCGCTTGCGCTCGTCCGACCGACGCCGAGGAACCACAAGGACCGGACGGCGAACAGGCAGGCCGTGATGCCGACGTTGCCCCAGACGAGCTGGTTCCAGTGCTTGAGCGGGTGAAGCGAGCCTTCAAGGCCGAGGTCGTACAGCGTCAGGCCGATGTGCTGCAGGGCGCGGGTGTGCGGCGGGTCAGGGCGAAGCTTCTCTGGCAGAGAAAGGCGAAGAGGGAGCGAGGACGCACCGTAATGTCGGCGAAAGCGAGAGCGCCAAGGTAGGCCCGCAGGATGGCCTCGAGTTCGACCGGTCGGCCGGCGAGCGTCCGCCTCATCGCAGGCAGGACGGTGGCCGCGACGAGTGCGAGGAGGCCGTACGTGTTGCCGAGCTGCCGGACCGCCATGATGGACCCGGCGTGGGCCGTCTTGGCCTCGAGGAGGGGAGCGAGGCTGACGGGGATGAGGGTCGAGTGGAAGTGTGCCGGGTGCAGGACGGCCTTGAGGGCGCCGACGATGGTCAAGAAGGGCTCGGCGCCGGCGAAGAAGAGGTAGTACGGTGTCGGAAAGGGGTCGAGTCGAGGGGAAGAGGTTCGGGACGAGGACGGGGTCGAGCTGCGGCAACGACAAGGAGGTCAGGCCGGTCCTCATACTGCCCAACGGGGTCTCCATACCCACCAAGCACATCTGAGGCACTCGATGGGCCGCCTGCGGCGGCTTGTGACCGCAGAGAGCGGCCAACAGCTGGGGAGGGAGATGAGGAGGAGACGGCTCACCTCGGCATGGCGAGCGGCTCTGTGGTCGACTGTAGGTGGCCTCGGGTTGCACGAGGAGCGTGGGATAGCTATAGCGAGCCAGCCAGCGTCGGCAGATCGAGGGGAGCTCGAGAGCTGCTCAGTTGGTCCAGCCCTCCTCCTCGTCGTCTCGTGCGGCGGCGGCCACTGGAGCTCTCTTTCTGCGACTGGAGCCTCCGGGCTGAGGGATGCGACGAACTGGCTGCTTTGCACAGGACCGAGTACTAACAGACAGACCTGGAGAGAGGAGCTCGACAAAGGACGACTCGACGAGGAGGAGGACCTAGACTGCCGGGCGCACGCACAACAATTGGAGAAAGGCGAAGGAAAGGGATATCGTGGAAGTGTCCGTCCGAGGAGGGGAGGCGATCGCTCACGCCTTGACGCCGGCCCCTCCCTCGCTGCTCACGCTCACGCCTTGACGCCGGCCCCTCCCTCGCTGCTCACGCTCGGCGCCGCGCTCGTCTCGTGCGTCTCGACGCTCCCGTCGCTCCCCTCGCCCTCACCGCGCCCTCCTTTGGGCTCGCCGGCCTCGAGCGGCGCAGGCGGCAGAGGCCGCTCGGTGCTCCCGCCGCCGTGCGCGAGCGACGACCGCTCAGAGCGGTACGACCCGGGCGGCGGCGCGCCGAACTCGAAGCTCGCGGCGCTCGAGCGCGTCGCGTGCGAGGCGTCGCTCCAGGTCGATGCGCGAGATGTTGGCGGCACGCCGGCAGCGTTGTGCGGCGAGAGGGCGCCGGGCGAGGGGAGGGCGACTTGGCGGTGCGGCGAGACGGGCGACGACGAGTTGGCGGCGAGCGGGGCGAACGTCGAGATCGGGGCGAGCCGTGGCGGGCCGTCGGCGGACCCGGGCGCAGACGAGAGGCTGCCGACGCGGATGGGCGCGAGGAGCGCCTTGTCGGCCTCGCTCGGACCGCCCTTCTTGGCCCGGCTCGAGTTGATGACCGGGTCGCCAAAGACGGCTCGCAGCGGCGGGAGCGTCTGCCGCGCCGGCAGGGCGCCGCCACGGGAGCGGTACGCCATGCGGTCCATCGCGACGTCGAGAACGTCCTGCTGCCCGCGCTCGAGCGTCGGCGTCGGCGTGGCGGACGAGGTGGTCGACGAGGAGGAAGGGAAAGGTGGCGGTGCGGCGTCGGCGACAGGCGACATCGGCCCGCCCGAGATGCGCAGGCGCTCGAACGAGCTCGACGGCTCGGGCGAGAAGAGCGAGCGCGCGAAAGTCGGCGGCGCCGGCCCTTGCGGACGGGCTGCGGCGCCGACCTGCGGCATCGACTGATAGGCCGGCGTCGACGGCGAGAACGGCGAGTGGCTGAACATGGGCTGATGCCCTGCGGCCGACGAGGCATGCATGGCGGCATGCGGCGCCGGCTCTGCTGCCGAGGGAGCGCCGTTCTGCAGGACCGACGACAGCGACGGGAGCCGGCCGTCGGGCCCGGCGCCGTGAGTCGGTGCTGACGGGCTCATCGGCTGCGGCGGCGGCGGCCGATACGGGTCGGCGACGACGCGGCCCGAGGGCGCGTGCGAGCGCGGGATCGAGGGGAAGTAGAGCTTGGGCGGGAGGAGGTGCGCCTGCTGGTGCTGCTGGTGCTGGTGCTGGAGGTACTGCGCCGTCTGCTGCGACTGGAGGTGCGGCGGGTACGCGCTCGGGTGCTGCTGCTGCTGCTGCTGCTGGCCGTAGGCGGCGTACGCCGCTGCGCCGCTGTTGGCGTACGGGTGGGCGTGGCGCTGGTCGGACGGGTGCGGCGCCATCGTCTCGCGGCCGTGCAACGAGTGCATGCTGCGCTGGCTCGGCGCGTAGCCCGACCGGGTCGACGAGAGCGACTCCATCGACGGGTGGCGAGGGACGCCGGGCCGAGGAGGGTACCCGGCATGCATCGGGCCCGGCGGCTTGTGCTGGACGGCCTGGTAGAAGTGGGCCGGTCGACCGTAGCTGTCGACGCCGTACGCCATCTGCGGGTGCGCGCCGTACACGGCGTGGTGGTGCCCGGCCGCCATGGCTGCGGCTTGAGCGGCCGAGGCAGCGACGGCCTCCTGCGCCTCGCGGTCGCGTTGGCGCTTCTGCGACTGGCGACGCTGCGGGAACGCGAGAGAGAGAGAGAGTCAGTCAGGTTGTCGATGTCGACGAGGGAGGGGCTGCGACGAGTCGACGCACGTTCTGGAACCAGATCTGCACCCGCCGAGCGCTCATGCCAATCTGCTTGCCCACCTCCTCGCGCGTCTCGGTCGAAGGAAAACGGGTCTGCGGTGGCGGTCACTCGCGAGAGAGTCAGTACGAGGAACGCAGGACCAAAAGAAAGGAGAGCGTGGCGGCGCACCTTGGCCAAGAGGGCGTTGAGAACGGCCGTCTGCGCCGGCGTCGTGAGCGTCCTGCTGCGCTTCTTGGCCGGCTCCTTGCCGTCGTCGTCGTCGTCGGCCATGGCGCCCGTCGTCGCGCCCGTGCGGCTCGTCATGATGGACGCGTCGTCGTCCATGACGGCGTCGTCGTCGCGGTCGACCGAGGCGACCGACCCGGGCTTGGACGACGCGCCCGGCGACACGCCCGGCGAGGCCGAGCTGTCGTACCGGCTCCTCGATGGGCCGTCGCCGTGGTGGAACGAGACGCCGCGGCCGCCGACGGCGGGATCGTGAGCGCGCCCGAGGTTGGGCGTCGGCGTCTTCTCGCGGTCGGCGCCGCCTCGGTCCCGCCGGCTGCCCTCGCCGTGCCGCTCGTCCATCTCGTCGTCGTCGTCGCGCATGAGGTCGCTCGCGGCGTCCCACCCGGTGCGGTCGACGTCGCGCCGCCGCTTGGTGCCGCCGCTCCCGCCTGCACCGACCCCCCTCCGCTCGTCGTCGTCGTCGTCGGCCGAGGCCGCCTTGGACGGCGCCGCCGAGACGAACGAGTGCTGCGACGAGGCATACGACGGGCGGCGAGCGGCGAAAGGCCCGCTCGGGCCTAGCTCGTGCCGCTCCCGACCACGGTCCCGCCGCACGTCGTCCTGCTCGCCTGGGCCGCCGCCGCCGGCGTGTCCTGCGCCGCCCGCCGCGCTCAGGAGCGCCTCGATGCCGCGGATCTTGCCCGGCCCGAGCTGGTGGTGCTCTGGCGGCGGTGGAGAGGGCGCCGGCGGGGTCGACGAGGTGACGGGCTCGGGCGAGGCGGCGGCGAGTCGAGCCTGGCGGGCGAGGTCGCGCTGAGCGCGCGACACGGACGGGAAGAAGTGGCTCTGCGGTGCGCGCGGCGTCGTGTCGGCGCCGTGCGAGGCGGACGGGGACGAGACGTCGGCCATGATCTCGGCGAGCGAGGCGATGCCGGTCGACTCGCGCCGTGCTGGACGGGCAAGGCGCGCACCCGCAGGCGGCGGGGGGAAGGTCGAAGCCATGCGAGTCGGGGATGCAGGCGAGGTGGTGGAACGGCGCGAGGTGGTCGAAGGGCGGGGGAGGGAGCGAGGGCGGAGGTCGGGAGGGGAGGGGAGCAGACGGCGGTCGCGAGGGCCGGCGGGTCGGTGAGGGATGGTCGGCGCACTCTAGGGGCGAGCACGTTCAATTTGGTCGGGGCGGCGCAAGGTTGACTATCGCTCTCGGGGCAGCGAGGACGCGGGACCGAAGGTGCGAGGCCGGCGAGAGCTCTGGTCGCTCGACGTGGTGGTGGTGCGGGAGCGTTGTGCGCGTGTGCTGCTGCAACGAGCAGGCCGGGGCGCAGCGAGCGGTGGTCGAGTGGTGGGTGGACCTGAGAGCCGCGCGCTGATGGGATCGTCCTCAGAGGCGGGCCAGCCTCTCAAGGGCGCGGCGTCGGCGGTGGTGCGCGCGCGCGCGTGCGGCAGCTGGGCCTCCGTCTCTCTCTCTCCTACGTCCGTCTCGGTCATCCTTGGAGCCATGCGGGTACACGCTCAGTCCCTCGTCCTCGAGAGAGCGCGGGAGCGCTCAGGCCCCGCTCCTCCTCCTCCTCCTCCTCGAGCGTCTGCCACCGAAGCTTCTCTTCGAGCTCCGAGCCCGAACGGACCCCTTTCTCTCCGCACGCTTCATTCAATGAAGCCTGGACCGCCGAGCCACGTTTTAATCCTCGCTCGCACCTTCTTCGTTCGTCGTCGACTTGCTCTCGCTCACGCTCGCGGCCCGCAGACGCTGCGAGCTTCGCACCGCTTGCTCTTTCGGGTGCGGGACGAGTTGCATAGTACGTACGACTCTCGAACTTGGCCGCGCGCTCGGCGTGCGCAAGTCGGCTGGCAGCGCGACCGCCCGCACGGGCCTCCGCGGGCGCCGCGTCGCTTTGCGTTGGCGCGTGCGCAAGCTCGCCATGGTCACTTGCGTCTGGTCGCCGGTCCGCTCGTAAGAGGCAGACGTCGACGCCGGTCGGGAAGCCCGGGCAAGAGGGGCACGAGCGCTCCGAGGCCGAGGAGAGCGAGCTTGTTCCGTCCTGCCGCGGCGTCTGCCGGCGGCGTCCTCTCGATTGGCAGACGATCGCTCGTGGTCGGAACCGCCTGGAGAAGAGGGGGCGAGCAGCCGGCGGACCAAGCGAGTGCGAGCGAGCGGCCGCCGGTGCGACGACGCTGAAGCGGTGGCAGCGCACGCTCAAGCGATCCTCGTTGACAGTGCCGAGCAGGACGCTAAGCAGAGCGTGCAGCGGGACCGAGGCGATGACAAAAAGGCAGAGCAGGGAGCCGGAGCGAAGGAGAGGGAGCAAGAGAGCTCTCGCCAAGTGCCGAAACGACGTCGGCGGACGCGACGACCGAGCGAGCTGCACCGCCCCGCTCACCCTCATTCTCATCTATTGTTCGGTCGCTGGTCGCCCACCACGCTGCGCCGCACGCAACGGGCCCTCAGCACTTGCCTCGATGCACCCGCACTACGTCCGGGACCCTGGCGACCCTCCACCGTCCACCGCGAGCGAGGTTGGCGCCGCGACGTCACGCCGACGAGGCGACGTCTTCGAGCCTCGTCGAGCGCACGAGGCCTACTCGCAGCAGTACTCGGGCCCGCTCTACAGCACCAATGACCTGCCCGTCCCGCTCTACAACGCCGCCGAGCGGTACCCGGCCGCCACGTCCGGCCCGACCAACGGCGCACCTCCCCTCGCGAGCCACCACCACTACGCCGCCGCGCCCTTCCAGACGCAGCACGGCACCGCGCCCGAGACCATGGTCTACACGCCGTACCTCGCGCCTTTACCCGCGTCCCAGCCCCTCGCCCACGTCTCGCCTGCCGACTTCGCGCCCCCGACCCTGTTCAACCCGTACGCCCAGCCCCATCCACCTCTCGCTCCGCACACCCACATCTCGCCCTACGACCTCATGACGGCCGCCTCGACGTCAGACGGGCGCGCCGACGCACCGCTCGAGCAGCAGAGCGGCGTCGAGCCCGGCGTGCCCGCGAGCGCCGACCCGTCCTTTCGTCCTGCGCCGAGCACGGCTCGCCGACGGCCGTCGCACGCCGGCGATCTCGAGGTTGGCGGGAGCGTGCGAGGGATCGGCGGTCGTGGCGGCGCGAGGAGCCAGGGCAACTCGCACGGCGCGAGCGTCGGCGGCAGCGGGTCGGCGACGGCGGCAGCGGCGGGCTCGGGCGGTGCGTCGCGAGCGAGTGTGTCAGCCCTCGCGGCAGCTGTCGGAGCGCGCACGACCGAAAAGAGCTGCAAGAACTGTCGGGTCCGCAAGGTCAAGTGCGACAGGAGGTGGCCCAGGTGCAACCGGTGCAGGGACCGCGACGACGAGTGCGACTTTGGCACTTTTGTTCCAGGTGCGTCCACAATCTCGTTCACCGAGAGAGTTTTCTAGAGGACGTACAGCAACTGACTCGGCATGGTCTCGCCCCCCTCGCAGTCGACGCCATTCCCGAGAGCGCCCTCGCGAGCGCCACGAGTTCGCCAGCGACGACGGCTGGGACGGCCGCGCTGCAAGCCCGTATCGGTGCGTCAATATTGATCCTCCTCGTGCGCGCACACCGCCTGACTCGTCGATGCCGCCCGCAGCCGAGCTCGAGCATGAACTCGCCGTCTTCCGCACGGACTCGTCGAGCCCGAGACCGCCCGTCCTGCGCCCGTCGGCCATCCCGCACGCTAGCTACGGTACCTCTTCGGCCGTTGTCCCGTCGAGCGCCGGCAGCGTCGAGATGCGCGGCACCCGGAGCGACGCACCCGGCGGCGCCACCAGCCTGGCGGGCTTCCCTCGCTCGAGCATGCACGCCCTCGACGAGCTCTCTGGCGACGTGCCCTTGAGCGAGGCCATCCACGACGCGTTCGCTCGCGGCGCCGGCTTCGCTCGACCTGGGTCGAGGGCGAGCAAGACGACCGTCGAGATCTTTCTGCGAGGTGCCGCCCTGCAGGATCCGGCCCTGTACGCCGCCGCCAGCGCCGGCCTCGCCCCGCTTCACGGCCCCGCACCACCGTCGTCGCTTCAAGTGGGACCGCTGTCGCCGTCGCTGCCGGGCGAGGACGACCCGAACTGGCAGCTCGCCAAGAACGCCATGGCGCGCATGCTCGTCGTCCACCTCGTTCAAGGTGCGTCTTCCTCCCTCTCAGACTGTCTCCTCTTCGTCCTCGTACTCTTACTGACCCTCCTCGACGACTGTCTGCAGCCTTCTTCGCGTCGTGCTGCGCCTACCTCCCGGCCTTTGACGGCTGGCACCTGCGCCGCACCTGGATCCTGCAAAACCTCGACAACATCGACCCGGCGAGTCGTGTTTCGGTGGCGGCATTCTGCGCGATGGGCGCCAGGGCGAGCCAGCATTCGGTGAGCACGACTCGTCGCCTCCCTCGCACGGGTCCGTGCGCAGCCGGCTGACCTTGCCCCCTCGCCTCGCAGGCCATCCTCGGCATCTCGATGCCGGAGCCCACGCCCAACGGCTCGTCCGAGCACACGTCAGCGGCCGGCGTGCGTCGCGAGCAGGCTTGCCGGGCATTCCACACTCAAGCTCTCGACCTCGCCCACCTGCTCGGCATCACGTACGACGCGAGTCGCGAGAACCTCGAGGCTCTCATGGTCGTCGCTCAGCTTCTCATCTGTGCGTCGTCATGCTCTCTACTCGTCTCTTCCCCATCCGGCGAGCCCGACTGACCAGCTCGTCGTCGTCGTGCGCAGTCAACGAGCTCATCCCTCGCCGGTCAAGGGCTATCGTCCACGCCGCACTCGGCCAGTACAAGGAGCTACAAGAAGGACCTGCATCCGCCGACCAGAAGGACCACATGCTCAAGCACGTCGGCCTACCTCTTCTTGTGCGTCCGCGTCGTCCCCTTTGTCGGTCACGATCGGCCGGACCTGCTCAAGAGCACGGTTCCGCGCGTGTCCCGCCCTCATGAACTCACTCCTGCTTGTCTCTGCAGGCTTGCGACGCCCAGACGTCGGCGGCTAGTCGCAAAAGGCCGCTCGTCTCGCCGAGCGAGCTCGCGCAGTACTTCCCGGACCTCCTGCCCGTCGACCCGATCCACGACGACATCCAGCACCGCCTCCAAAAGATCCTCGACGACACTTTGACGCCCGAGGGTCAGCTCTCGCACCAGGGCATCGTCGAGTGCACCCACGTCATCAACGCGTGGCTCGTCCAGACCCAGAGGCTGTTTGCTCAAGCTGCAGCCCGTGCGTCCAGCTCCGGTCCTTGGCATCGCGAGGCGGATGCGCCTCACGAGGGCGCTGACCCAGTTCCGAGCGCGCCCGCAGCTGTACTCGGCGGCCCGCCGATGTCGCTCATGAACGACGTCCGCAACCAGTGGCTCCTCCTCGACCAGATCCACGAGGGTGCGTCCCTCTGTTTCTCTCCATCTTCCTCGCGACACCTCGCCGACGTCGTCACTCATCTCGATCCCGACCCTCGCAGGTATCCGCAGGATGCAAGAGCTGCTCGTCCACCTCGAGTACATGCCGTTCGGCTGCAACAAGGACAAGTGCGCCGACCAGCACCTGCGCTTCATCACGCGCCTCGACATCGACCTCCTTGTGAGCTCGTCCTCCCCTTTCCTCTCGAACCCGGACAGCTCGCCTGACCAACGTTACCCACCTCCAGACCTGCTTCTTCCTCCTGCACTCGCTCGTCGCCGAGAACCTTGGCCTCGACCACCTGACGGGCGAGAACGCCGTCGCCGTCTACGCCGAGAGCGACAAGCGCGTCCGCAAGGCCCTCAAGCTCATCGCGTTCTATCTCGAGGTGCGCGCTTGGTCCTCTTCCTCGATTCGACCTTCCCAAGTTGACTGACTTCCTCCCTTGCCCCGCTGTCCGCGCCATGCACACTCCCTCGCAGCTTTACATCATGAGTCGGTGCGTCCACTCTTCCTCTGATCCCCTCCCCGACCCAGCCGCCGACGTCGTCGCTCGCCGACGCGCACTGACAACCCTGCCCTCTCCTCCCCTCCCCTGCCCTCGCGTCCGCCGCACACGCCTTCATCGACCCGCAGCGACCCGCACTTGACCTACCACGTCGTCTGGCAGCTCGAGGTCATCCCCAACTGGCCGAGTGTCGTCGTTCAGCGCTTCGGCGAGCAGGAGGGCCCGTCGTCGCCTGAGCTCGAGGTGTCCGACACCGAGCTCGACTGGCTCGACAAGGGCCTCGTCTGCGCGTCGTTCTACCACCCGGTCGCGAGCTCTCGCCTGCACGAGCTGCGTGCTGTGCGCCGTTCTGCGGCAGGTGGGCCACCGAGCAACTACCCGCCGCCGCCCATCGCCGTCATGCCGCTGAGCGCGCCCGAGGAGGCGTCGGCATCTCTCGTCCTCCCCGTCCCGACCACCGACGCCCACACACACTCGGCCGTCCACTTCCCGCCGACGACGACGTACCTCGCCGGCGACGAGATTGGCGGCGAGATCGCGCGCATGCCGTTCCAGGTCGGCGTGACGGACCCGGTCAACCTGAGGCCATGGGGCATGTGGAGCGGGTCGCAGGGAGAGAGTGCGTCGGGCTGAAGGTTCACTGGGGCGGTCTCGCCAGAGACGAAGGTCCGAAGACGTGCAACTTGAGAAGGTCCAGTTTCTTTGCCGCTGCCCCGTCGCAGTGAGCACAGAGCTCTTTCAATCTCCCGAGCATCTCTACAGGCACTGCCGCATAGCTCTTTGGCGCCGAGAGAGAGCGAGCGAGAGAGTTTCGCTCGCGGCGACGACGCTACACTCCCGGAGGAACCCGCTTCGCGCGCGGGACGTCGCTCTCGAATCATGCTGTATGTGCCGCTCGCCGTGCCTCACAGGGCTCCAGCTACGGAGCTGTCCCGCTGTAGCGAAAACTGCACCCGCCGCTGGCCTTGCTCCCAGCCCTTGGCTCTCCAGCCTCTCGTCTTCGCTCGCTCGCTCGAGAACACGAGCTTTCCGAGCCGCACGAGTCGCGATGGTCTATCACCCTTCGTCCTACGCTCTTCTCCATCCGTCGACGACGCCTAAGCGGCACCGCTCGTCGTCGCCGTCGCCGTCCACCCGGGTCGCGACGATGTCAACCACCTTCTCAAGCTCGCCGCCGACCTCTGTGCGCCCCTCTCCTCGAGCGTACCTCGGCCTGAGCGGCACTGACAGTACATATACGATGCTCTCACGCCTACAGGAGCCTCGGCCTGTGCTCGACGCGTAACTCGAGGCGCGTCTCGTCGAAATCGTTCAAACAGCGTGCGCGCCGACCCTCCAGGTGCGGCCGATCGAGCTCCCCTATCGTCAAGAGAGCGGCTCACTGACATTCTACGTTGTCGTACAGGCCGTCGAGCAGGTCCGGCTCCAGCTGCACCGCCTCGAGACGACGTTCTGCTCGGTCGAGCGCTCGGTCCTCGAATGTCGGCGCACAACGACCGACGTCGAGCGCAGCCACGCGGCCGGCTTTGTGCAGCAGTACGCCCCACGGCGATCGGCGCTTGACCGAGGCGAAACCCCGATGCCGCCGCTCGTCGACGAGCGCGGCACGCTCTTCTTTTCCGACGGCGTCGTCGTCCGCGCGACGCCGGTCAGCGCTGCCCGCACGAGCTCTTCTGCCCTGGGAGACGACGACGACGAAGACGAGTACCCGGCGGTGCCGGCGCTAGACGACGCAGAAGGAACGTCGACGGTCGACGCCGAGCAGATCAGCCTGACGGCCTGGTGGGACTTGTCGCCGTTCTCGCGCGACGCGACCGTCGCTACAGCAGCTTCGGCAGAACAGATGCAGGTCCGTGCAGCCAGTTCGGTCGAAGAGCCGGCGCAGAACGAGCTGGCGCCGGTTCCGATGACGGAGCAGCCGCACGGACCTCGTGTCGCCTCGCCTCATCACGGCAAAGCGCCGCCGACCCACTCGGCCACGCATTACCCGATGCGCCACCCCGACATCCACCTCGCCTGCGCCGCCGATGCGGCAGCAGCAGCGCTCAACGTGCGCCGTCTCGAGGTCAAGCTCGTGCGCATGCAGCTCCTCCTCGCCAAGAAGCGGCTCGAGCAGCTCAACGAGGACGCCGAAGCGCTCGACGACGTCGAGAGCTTCGATGGCGACGACACAGAGGCGCCAGACAGCGAGGGGGAGCAGCGGGACGGGGTTTGAGGAACGGAGGAGCGAGCGAAGCCGTAGCTTTCTTCGTCGAGTGCCGTCATTTGCATTTCTGGCTCGTGCCATCTCTCAGGTTCTCTCGAGAAGAGGCTCCAGAGAGAGAGGGGACGAGAAAGTACACGTTTTTGCGAGTTTGCGAGGGGAACGAGAGGGGAATGAGGAGGCCAGGGTATCTCGGGCGCGCGTCGCCGACTCACTCCTCCGCCACCGCCGCCACCTCGCTGCCCTTCCTGCGCCCGAGCTTCTTGACCGCCGTATGGAGGAGGCTCGGGCGCCTGACGGGCGCGGCGCCGTCGCCGTTTAGGCTGCCCGACCGGACCGAGACGAGGGACCGGGTCGGTGATGCTCGTCCGTCTCGCGCTGTCGAGCTGCTGATGCTCGCCGCCCTCGGGTACGGCGTCGCCGAGTTCATGCGCGTCTCGAGCGACTCGTCGTTGGCGGCCTGCGCTGAGACCGACTCGCGCTTGACGGCCGAGATGGACCCGGGCGGTATGGCGCTTGGCGAGGACGAGACGGCGGGGACGCTGCCCTCGGAGCGGGTCGTCGAGCGCGCCGACGACGAGCCAGTAGACGAGGCGTGGACGCGACCGGAAGAGGCGGGCTCGTAGAAGGCGTGGTCGGGGAGGCGCGCGAGCTCGGCGGCAAAGTTCTTCTCGAAAACTGCGCACAGGGACGAGGATTGTGAGTGACTGCGCCTGCACCTGGGTGAGGATAGAGACGTACAGCGCTCGAGAGTGTCGTGGAAGGCCCGCATGTCGGGCGAGACGACGAGGGCGTGCAGCTTGAGACAGCGAACGAGGGTGACGACCTGTGGTGCGAGGGCCAAGAGTGAGTCCTCGAACATGCTCAAGGAGCGGACGAGCCGGACGCACAAGTTCATCGATGGCCGTCTCGAGCTGACGCACGATGGCGACCTGCGACGGCGGAAGATGGGCGACGTAACCGGGTTCGAGGAAGACGCGACGGTACATCGAGACGCCCTTGTCGACGGGCGTGTCGCACGCGCTGTTGAGGGCCCGTGAGAGCTGGGTGCTGTAGACGGGAACGCGCACTGTCAGTGACCTTCCACGAGAACGTCGAGGGGCGAGGGGACGCACCTGTCAAACCCGCCCTCGTTCTCCGACTGCGCGAGCGCCCGATACCGCCGCTCGAGCGTCGCGAGCTCCTTCTGCTGCGCGTACACGGCACGCACGGCGTTCTCGACGGGAGAAATCTCGATGAGGCGGATCTCGATGACCTCGGACCGGCGCAGGACGGTCGGGAACGAATCCTCGACGATAAGGACGGTCTTCTCGGACCAAGAAGCGGCGGGCTCGCTCGTCGAGCCAACAGGGTGCCCGACGGGGTCTTTGCGCAGGGGGCGAGTGAAGCTGAACGTGTTGGTCTCGTTGTGCTGCACGAAGAAGAGAGGGCTTAAGGTCAGAGGAGGCGACTTGCGCGCTCGAGGGGAGAGACAGAGGGCGCACAAGGTAGTAGGCTTGGACGTAGGCAGGAACGTCGGGTCCCATAAAGACGGGCGCCGTCTGGTCGACCTCGGCGGTGACGGCGGTGATCTGGAGGAACTGGCTGTCGCCGTGCTGGACGTCGTCGGACGGGATCTCGCTCGTCTGCAGAAGGGTGGCGCTGCACACGAGAGACTTGACGTGAGCAAGGGAACGACGAGGGGAAAGAGAGAGAGAGGGCAGGGACGCACGACGAGTGCTTGTTCATCATGCGCTCGACGAAGGAGCCGAGCGTCTCGGCCGGCTCGCCACGGTAGATGAACTGCTTGCCCGAGATTGACGACGGCCACCGAGTCCCAAAGAAGGCGACTCGGAAGAAGGCTCTGCAGGTACACGAGTGAGCGAGTGTCCTCTCGACGTTCGAGAGATCGAGCGAGAGAAAAGGAGGCGCACCCGAACTGGCGATCGGCCTGGGCGATGCGGGCGTACAGCTCGGCTTTGAGGTGAAGCAGCTCGGCCAGTCGAGGGTAGTTGAACGTGCGCTCGTACTCGAGCTCGAGCTCCCGGACGAGGTCGATGGCCGTCTCGTACGCCTGGCCCTTGCCGAGGTGCTCGAGGATGCGCAGGTACAGGGTCCTGCACGACGAGAATGTCAGGGGCGCTCGACAATGACAGGCCCGAGAGAGAGCTCGACGCACTCTTTGCGGGCAAACTCGGTCTGGCGAGGCAGGTCGAGGTCCGGGAGCGGGTCGACCAAGTTCGACAGGTTCCACTCGTGCAAGTCGGCGTGAAGCTTGAGCGTCAGGGCGGCCTCGACGTAGTTGCCGCACGCGTTGTGGTGCCCGACGAGACGCTGTACGTAGCGGACGAAGATCTCACTGCGCCCGATCGTGCGGATGAAGCTCATGAGCTTGAGGGTCGAGATGATGCGGTCGTCCTGGTACTCGTCGCCCTCGGGCAAGCCGCGCACGGCGAGGAGGAGGTCGAGGAACGAGTCAATCGAGTCGAGGAACGAGGCAGCTTGAGCCCGCAGCTCGTCGTCGAGGTCGGCATCGACGAAAAGTTGTCGGAGCTGCGTGACGAAGAACGAGCGCGACACCTCGTCGCCCTTGGTCTGCTGGCCGAAAAGCTTGTCGAGCTTGTCGATGCACTCGGCCTCGATGAGGGCAAAGTGGCGGCTGAGCTCAAACTGCGGCAAGGGGTATGTGCGTGAGCAGGGGTTTTCGGCGGTTCTCGCGAGTCGACCAGAGCGGGCTCACCTCGGCGACGATCATCGAGTACAGGATGTTGACGGCGACTGCAGGGGCCGACAGTGAGTGACTGTGCGACACACAGGGGCCCGAGGGAGGAGGGAGACGCACCTCGCCGCAGCTCGTCGTGATGAGACAGGCAGAGCGCGAGGACCTTCTCGACGAGCGCCGGCACGAACTGGACCTGGAAGCCGGCGCCCTTTTGCTGCTGCTGCCGCTCGCTCGAGCGCGAGATGACGCTCCAGGCGTGCGACAGGACGAGAGCGCCCTCGCCTCGGACGTCGCCCGCAAGTCGCCAAACGGCTCGTCTGCGCGCAGCGAGAGTGATTTAGTGGCGACCCGGGGTGACGCTCCTGCCGGCAAGGAGGAGACGCACCTCTTCTGCGGCGAGAACTCCTCGATCAGGAGCTGGGTGCTGGACAAGAGCTCGAGGAGGACGCCGAAGAAGTCGCGCCACAGCGACGTGTTGAACTGGAACGACGCCGTCGGCGGCGGGACGAACTCGCGAGCGAGGACCTCGGCGGCGGGCTCGACGAGCTTGAGGACGACGCGATGCGCGAGAGCCGTCGTGTTGAGCCACTCGGCCGGGAACGCCTCGTTCTCGAGGATACCGCGCGCGACCCGGAAGATGGACCCGAGCTGCCGCGCAAACGTGTCGCGGCCCTCGACCTCGACCGTCGCCTCGAGCCAGTTGACGAGGATGGCGCGTGGGGCGAGCTGGACCATGGCGAGGAAGACGCAGGCGATGTCGCCGAGGCCCGAGCGCAAGGTCGGCCAGGCGGGCTCGTCGTCGCCGTCCTTCTGCGTTGGCGCTCGCCCACCTGCTGCGAGTTTGCGCGAGCGGTTTGGCGGGTACGACAGGAGGGCGACCGGGTACGAGGAAGGGAAGGCGAGGGGGACGACGGCCGGGATGGACGCCTGCGACCGCTGCCGCTCGATGGCGTCGAGGTAGGCGAGGTTCTCGAGCTCGCGGTACGCCTCGAGCAGACGCGGCACGAGCGCGAGGAGGTACTCGACGTTGTCGTGCTCCTGCGCGAGGAGGTCGCGAGCGAGACTCGGCTCGACGAGCGCCTCGTGCACGACGTCGAGCATGGCCGCGACGACGCCAGTCGCGAGGCGGATGCCCTCGACCCAGCCGACGCGTGCGGCGTCGCGCGTCGCCTGCGGGTCCTTGGGCGAGCACGCCGCCATGGCGTCGAACTTGGCGAGGAAGGGCTTGAGCCACCGGATCATGCTCGGGACGAGGGCGGCGCGGCCCGACGGCGAGACGAACAGGGTCGAGTGGGCGAGCTCGCGCAGGCACAGGATCTTCCAGACGGCCATCTTGCCCTTGACGGCGCCGACCGAGTCGACGAACGCGATGACGACCTCGAGGAGCTCGTCCTCGGCAAAGACGGCGGCGAGCTCGGGCAGAATCGTCGGGAAGTGCTGCAGGACGACCGTCTGGGTGCCGATGATGGACGAGGGCGACGTCGTGCGCATGAGGGCGTTGAGCTGCTTGAGGACGGCCGAGATGTCGCTCTTGAAGCCCGCCTCGAGGGTCGACGCCGTCGTGCCGAAGCCGGGCTCCTTGGCGCGCTGGATCTCGCGCGACCGGACGACGAGCCGCAGGAGCCACTTGAACACCTTGATGGTCGAGCGCAAAGACGTGGCAGTCTCGGGCGAGGCGGGCGACCGCAGGAGGCGCTGTAGCTGGCCGACGATGTGCGACGACGCCGCCGAGCTGGTGAACGATTGCGAGATGTACTGGTCGAGGACGGGGCGAAAGTTGGTGAGGCGCTTGTCCGACACGAACCCGAAGATGACGACGAGGGCCTGGAAGACGAGGTCGTCGAGCTCGCCCGACGAGTTGGCCGTCGAGACGAGGATGCCGAACAGGGAGTCGAGGATGGTGCTGCGAGCGAGGTACGAGAGAGTCAGTCAAGCTCGACGAGCAGACAAGAAGAGAGGGAGAGGAAGAGAAGGCAGTACTCACCGAAGAAACTTGCCGACCTCGAGCTCCGAGGTGAACGTCAACTTGGCGAGCGTGTCCCGCATGAGGTCCGGGTCGTGGACGAGGTCTTGCTGCCACCGGAGGAGCCGCAGGATCGTCTCGTTCTGGGTGTGCGCCGTCGAGACGAGGTGGGTGCGCAGCGTGACCGTATCGCGAAGAGGGATGAGCGTCTTGGCGACGGCGGGCGGCACGCTCGGGCCTTGTCGCGAGCTGTCGTGCACGGCCGGGACCTGGAGGTAGAACGACGGCGACGCGACCTGGTGGTCGTAGCGGTACAGGACGAGGGTGTGGATGCCGTCGGACAGGAAGGCTGACGACGAGGCGGGAAAAAGAGGGAGGTAGGCGAAGGCGAAGGGAGGGTCGGACGAGGCCCGAGCGCGGTTGCGGACCGTGAGGAACAGGTGGCAGTCGACGATGCGCTCGGGCGCGATCGCGAGCTTGACGTTCTCGGCCCATGCTGCAAGTCGATACAGTCAGTGACGGTTGAAAAGGCGAGGCAGGGAGAACTGGGACGCACTCGGGCAGTTGTTGGCGCGCAGGACGGTCGACGTGTACTGCGAGACGTTCGGCTCGCCCGTGCCCCTTGACAGCGCCCCCTCACAGACCGCGCCATCCCTCGCCCGCACCTCGATGGCGACCTCGAACGTGCCCGCAGCGCTGCCTGCTGCGAGCTGCGCCAGGCTCCAGACCGTGCTCGTCCCGCCGCCGTTGGCGCCTGCGCCGCTCGACGCCGCGCCCTGGCGAAAGTCGCCGCTCGATAGCGCGACGTAGACGTCGTTGCGCTGGTCGCCGGGAAGCGCGACGTCGGCAAAATCGAGCCGGCCCGTCGTCGGCGCGCCGGCGACGAGGACGGGAAGGCGGCGAGCGAGAGCGGCGGCGCTGCCCTGCAGGATGCTGACACCGACCGAGAGATGCTCTGCTCGGGCGTGCTTCTCAAACTCCTTGACCCTGCTCGCGATGATGTCCTCGTGCAGGGTCGAGAAGGACGTCTCGACGGTCGGGACGAAGACCGGCATCTGCTTGTCGGCGAGGATGCTCGGCGAGTCGCTCGACACGTCGTCGACGAGGCGAGGGTCGAGGTGGCTGATCTCGAGGACGGCGCAGCCGAACGGGCGGCGGCAGCTCTGGCGACCGCTCGAGTCGGTGACGAGCATCGACCTCGGGCCCTTGCCGCCTCGTGCCGGTCGCGAGCTTGACGTGTCGATCGATGCGGCGTCGGACCTCGATGCTGAGGGCTGGAAGAAGCTGCTCGACGAGTCGGCCTGCGGCGAGGGCGACGCCGGTGACGGGCCGCCGCCGCTGCTGCCCTTGAGTGCGCCGTTCTTGACGATGCGGCACACGAGGAAGAGCTGGTCCGAGACATCGTGCTGGCCGAGGTCGCGAAAGACGGTGCGCATGGGGCCGTCTCGAGCTGGCGCACCCGCCGCGTTGAGCACGAGGCAGTACTCCTCGGTAACGAAGCGCGACTCGCCCTTGGCGTACAGCGAGAAGGCGAGCTCGACGTGCTCGCCCGGTGCGGCGACTTGTGCGGCGAGGTGACGCACGTCGAGGACGACGTGGTACGACGAGGAGGAGGACGATGGCGGGGCAGGCTCTCGGGCGAGCCCGGTGGACGGCATCGGCGCACCGTAGGCGAGCGCGACCTGCGCAGCATCTGCGAGTCGTCATTCGTTAGGTTCTCTTCCCGCGAGATGCCGACAGAGGAAGGAGAGACGAGGACGCACACATCTTGACGACGGACAGGGACGACTCGTGGTCGACCTCGCCCTCGACGTTGACGTCGACGAGCCCGCCCGACCTCGGGTCCCGCACGATGACGTCGAGCCCTTGCTCGACGTTGCCCTGCACCAGTCGCGCGACGGCGTCTCGGCGCGGGCTGCGGCGCTCGTCCGCGCTGAGCGCGCCCGACAGGAGCTGCTTGCGCGCTGCGTGCAGCACCGTGATGTGCTCGCGCACGGTGTCGAACAGGACGTAGTTGCGGCGGTACAGGTGCGAGTACAGGGCCGACGCCCATTCGCGCAGGGCGCAGGCGATCTCGTCGACGAGCGGCTCGTCGGTGCCGCTTATCGTCTCGTCGCCGCACTTGAGGTTGGGCAGCGGCGGCGGCGGTCGAGCGGCGTCCAAGTCGCCCGTGAACGACAGGCGCGACGACCGAAAGGCGACCCGCTGCTCGGTCGCGAACTGCTGCCCGAACGTCGCCGCCGACCCGACCGACGAGCGGTTCCTCGCCTTGGTCGACGAGCTCGCCGGCGCGAGCTGGACGAGGCGGCTCTGCCGCCGCGACAGCCGGTCGCCGTTGACGACGCCGTCCTCGTCCGGCTCGTCCTCCTCCTGCAGGATCTCCATCCTCGCCGCCCGACCCGACCCTCCTGCTCGCGAGGTGCTGCGGAACAGGTCGTCGCTGCCACCGGCGGCCGGCGAGCCTCGCTCCTCGAGGTCGGCGAGGTGCGAGAAGGTGCGCTCGGCGTCGTCGGCGAGGTGCTCGCGGATCTGGACGTGCGAGGCGGGAAAGATGCCGAGCGCGACCTGCGGCTCTTGGGCGAGGGCGGGCGCGAGGCCGGACGATGCGGACGAGTGGAAGGCGGCGGCGTCGGTCGGTGAGGGCAGGCGAGGGTTCGGGGCGGTCGAGACGACGTAGCCGCGGTACCACACGCCGTCCTCGGTGGTCGAGGCGGACGAGCTGGCGACCGAGCGAGACGGGCGGAAGACCTCGACGACGTAGACCTCGTCGCCGACCTCGAGCGGGACCTGTCAAGGTGCGAGAGTGCATCAGTACCGCGTCAACTGGCCTCGACCTGGCTGCTGCTCCAGCCGTTCGCATCTCGAGGACGTGAGAGCACCGCCTCCTCGAGCACACGCTCCCCTCGCCCGTCTGACGGGGCTCGCCGAGTCCACCTGTGCCCTATGCGCCTCGAGAGAGTGCTCTGCAGCGCTCTGCCGCCAGCTGTGCGCCCTCGCCGCGCTGTGCGCTCGCTTCCCCACACCGACCTTGAGCCGGCCCCCCCCCCTCCTCGTCTCGTCACGAGAGGAGAACACACCAGGTGCGGGTTGAGCTCAACCTGAGTGCCGCTGTCGGGATCATGACTCGCCGTGCTGGGCGAGAACGTTGCGCTGGCGATGCCGTAGGCGATTTGGGCGGCCGGGCTCCAGGTTCCGTGGGCGATGAGGTGCTGGGGAGCCGTGGTGGACGACGCGGGCGGTTCTGGCGCGTCCATGGGCGCAGCGGCGGTAGCTGAGTGAGGGCAGCGAACAAGACGAGCTGGTGTGCCGAGGTTGAACAAGAGCGAGGCTTGGACGCCGGCGGCCAACTTGAACGTTGAGCTCTCGCAAGCCTCGTCTCTCTCCGGCCCTGCGAGTACGGCGAGGACGAACAGCAAGAGCTTTTCTCCCAACCGCTCGAACCTGGCAGCAGAAGAAAGCCTCGCGTTCGTGGCAACGACGGCCAGACTCGTCGCCTCTCTCGGGAACGCCGACGCGAGTGCGAGGAATGGCATTGCTGAACTGGATGGATGAAGAACGAGAGGCAACGACAAGATGAAGGGGCAGCGAGTGCTACAGACGATAAGGTGGACGAGTGAAGACAAAGGGAGAGGGACGAGGCAATGCGAGAGGTGGTGCGAGGGGTAAAGGTGCGGACGGTACAGTGCGTCGAGGATGGTCTCGCGACGACGGGTATGCGGACGTGATTAGGGGGGCGAGGGTACGAGGTATCAGGCTTGAGGGAGAGATGGCGAGGGAGGGAGGACGAGGGCCGAGGAGGAAGGTTGACGGCGCGAGCCGGTCACCGGCCGTCGCGCTCGACGAAGAACGGCGCCCTCGTGCGTGGGTCGACGCTCTTGCTGCGCTCGCCGCCCGGCTGCAGGTGGTGCCAGTACAGCGTGTCGCCGCGCTGGAGCAGTCGCGGCGGCTCGCACGAGCTCCTCGGCGGGGTCGGTGCGCGAGTCGTGCGCGGCTCCTTGTCGGTCGGTCGGCCGGCAGGCGACGCAGCTCGCGAGGTCGACGACGGCGACGTCGAACGGGCGACGATCGGGTTGAGGACGCCTCGCTCGCCCGGGTAGTAGCTGCGCTCGCGGGCCGTCACCTCGCCGGCGTGGAAGACGAAGCGGTGGTGGTTGGCCGACCGTTGGTGGCTCTGGACCGAGGCCTGTGGGAGGAGAGAGTCAGCTCGGGCTTGTTGAGAAGGGGGAGGAGGCGAGCAGAGGACGTACGTTGCACTTGGCGCACGGGGCGACGATGTGGTCTGAGGAGGGCGAGAGGGCGAGAAAGTCAGGCTCGGTTTCGCGACCCGTCGAGAGGAGAGAAAGAGGGACGCACAACCGACAGTCCTGCCGCAGCCGTGGCAGTTGATCGAGCTCGTGAGGCACTCGCACGTCCGCTCGACGTGCTCCTCCTCGGCGCAGCCCTCGTCGCGCGGGTAGAACGTTTCCGAGTTGCTCGGCGCCGCGTCGGTCGAGAAGAGGACGATGTGGGGCTTGAGGAGGAGGACGGCCTGGTCGGGGGAAAGGGAGGGTGAGCTCACGAAGCGCCGAGAGAGGAGGAGGAGGGAGACGCACCCGCATGCCGCGGTCCGAGAGGAACGTGTCGCACGTCGCGCACCGCACGTTGTACACGCGGTGGATCGAAGGAGGAGGAGCTTGGTGCGGAGGAGGCTGGGCGTGGCGCTGCGGCGCAGCGTACGAGCCCTGCGCCGGCGGGGCGAGGTACGACTGCTCGACCTGGCGGCGGTGGAAGTACTCGTGCTGGCGCTGCGCCCACTGGAGCGACGAGTGCTGCTGCTGCCGCGGCGCGTCGAGCGTCGGGATGGGCGCCCCTGGCGCCGAGGCGACGCGCGAGTCCAAGCCGCCTCGCGGCCGCACCGCCTCGTCCGGCTCGAGGACGTCACGGTGGACGGGGCGACGCGACGACGAGGCGACCGGGTGGTCGTAAGGGCTCGAGAGGCGAGGGTCGCGCATGTCGATCGTGGGAAGTCGGAGCCGAGGCGGTGGAAGGGGAGGAGAGAGGGAGGGAAGGGGAAGCTCGAGGTGGTGGTGCGAGGTGCGCTGGCGGAGCTGTGCGCTGTGCGTGCGGATGTGCAGGTGCCTCGTAGCGCGTACGCTGCGGCCGAAGCTTGCGAGGAAGGACGGCGGAGGGTGCTCGGCGGACGGGAGGGGAGCTCGCTCGGAGAACGGCGACGGACGAAGGGGGAGGGCGCGGGAACACGGACGAGAGGAGAGGCGTTCGGGTGGGCGCGTATGCTCGGCGTGCAAGTCGAGGGCTGAGCGAGGGGAAGGAGGGGCGTGCGCGCGTGCGGACGGGCGAAGGCGGCGAGGCGAGGCGAGGTGCGGGAAGAGTGAGGAGGAAGGGGGAGGGAAGGGAAGAGAGAGTTGAGAGCGAGGGAGCCACGGGTAACGGGCGAGGGAACGAGACTGGTCTCGGGGAGGGGCGACGAGTTTGTTCGCGGGTGCGCGCAGCGAGAGAAGGTCGGGCGAGGCACGGGCCCACGTCGGCGTCGCCGCTCGTCAACCTCTCTCGTTTCGAAGCGCGGGTCCTGCGATCAGCCTCTGGCCAAAGTGGGCACGCTTAGGTCCAAGACAGAGAGCGCAACGGGGCTCGGGAGCTGGACGCGGACTTGCCAGGTTCGGCGAGGCGGACCTTCCCAAGTGCCGCAGTGCGACGGCAGCGAGCTCTCAAACGTGCCGCAGGCCTGCGCGTGGGCTATGAACGCGGCAGGCTCTCCCCCACTGGCACTGGCGACGCGCGCTTGTGGCGGGCTCGACGAGCCTTACGTCAAGTTGCCGACCCCGACCCGCGAGTCGAGGCTCGTGCGCGGCCCTGATCGCATCGCTCCACGCGCGCTCACTTTCCTCGGCGAGGTGAGCGTTTGTCAATGAACGAGACGTTCGTATCCGGCGCTAGAGCACGGCGGCAATAGATGCGTGGGCGGAATCCGCAAGCACTGCGGCGGTGCGCAGTCTCACATGACGATGCTCGTCGAAGCAGAGTTTGCTCTCGAGAGTCTCCACCGAGAGCCGAGAGCGCGAGGGAGCCACTCTCACCGCCCAACAGCCACGTCAGGCCAATCAGTGTCTGCTCGTTGCACGCCTCGATCTCGCGCCGACGGTGATTAAAGTTCTACACAGCGTCGAGGGAGCCTCCGACGACGCAGCGGCGACCTCGCGCAGCGCGCACAGCCGCCGTCGCACCCGGGCAAGCGGGCGACAGCGGCCTTTGCGGACACACGGGCTCCGCCCTGCCGCCGCGGCCGTCCGAGCCCGCGTACCCAAGCTCGCGCCCGCCCCTGCCGCTTAGAGCAACAGCCCGGCAGCTGCGACGAGCCCGCCTGCGACAAGGCCCGTCATGGCCAAGCCCGCCGTGCTGCGCGACGCGCCGCTGCTCCCGCCGCCGCCGTTCCCTGCGCCGTCCGACGCCGTCGGTGCCGGGCCGACCGTGCCCGTCGCCGGCGCCGACTGCGTCTGCGTTGCGGTCGCCGTCGGGTTGCGCCCGATGGTCGCGACGACGCCGTTGTTCGAGTCGTTCGGGTTGTAGAAGGGGGCGAGGCGCGCGAGGACAAAGTAGGACGCCGAGCTGAGGCGCAGGGTCGTCGCGTTGGCGTTCTGGTTGGCCTCGAGCAGGCTCGACAGGTTGCCGGCCGAGGCGTTGAGGAGCGACGCGTTGAAGTAGCGGTGGTCAGAGGCGATGTTGCTGCGAGAGGAAAGCCGTCAGCTCGACCGCGAGCGGGACGAGGAGAGGAGGACGGCGGGGACGGACTTGAACTGGCTGACGACGGTCTGTGCGACATTCTGCGACGGCGTCGTCCAGATCGGCAGCGACGTGTTGGTCATGTTGAGCGCCGTATAGTTGAGCGAGCAGGACTGTGAGGGAGGACGGGCAAAGGGTCAGTTTCCGCGAGTTTCTCGAGCGACTGGACGAAGGAGAGTCGGGACGCACCTGCTGCTGGACCGAGTACAAGACGATCGCCCGAGCGCCCTGCTCCTCAGCTTGACCGAACACGCTCGCCGTAAAGTTGGCCTGCGCCGGGCTCGAGCCCGTCGTCGTGCCGTTGGCCGAGTCGGTCCCGTTGACGGGCACGGCGGTCGTCGCGTTGCCAAAGGAGGCGAGCGTCGAGTTGGCCGTGTCGGCGGGGAGCTCGAGCGACTGGGTCGTCGGCGAGTCGCACGAGATGAGGGCGATCCAGGGGAGCGAGGTCGTAGTCGTGCTCGAGTTGGCGTTTGCGAGCGCCGTCGACTCGTTGTACCGCAGGAAGACGCCCTGCGCAGCGCGACGTCAATGACGGCGACGCGGTTGAGATGGAGGGAGATAGAGGACGCACGAGAACGGACTGGTTCTGCGCGGTCGCCGTCGAGTTCTGGAGGAGCGCCATGCCCTGCCTGCGGACGGGACGAGGAGGTCAGGTCCGACCGGGTGGAAGGACGAGTGTAGGGACGCCCGGACGCACGTCAAGGTTCCTCGGCTCTCATCGACGCTCCACACGCCCTGCAGCGTCGCGTTGGTCGGGATCTGCGAGCTGTTGGCCTGCGCGGCGACGGTCGAGACGAGGGTGACGGTCTCCTGCTGCTCCTGGCCGGTGGTCGTCACGTTGCCGGATGCCGTGCTCGCGGCGGCGCTGGCGCTCGAGGTCGCAGTGGACGAGCCGCTGCTGCTTGGCGAGGACGAGGCGGAGCCGACCGAGGAGGAGGACGACTGGGCCGAAGCGCCGAGGGCGCTGGCGAGGAGGACGAGGGCTGTTGCGAGACGGGCCATGGTGGCTGGGCGAGCACTGGCGCGCGCTCAAAGGTGCGAGTGGTGGACGAGGGGGCGGGTGGAGGGGGAGACCGAGAATGATGAGGATTCGGGGGCGGTGCTGGGGCTGCGGCGGGCGACGACGGCGGTCGGGCGGGTAGCTGAGGCTGCTGTGTAGCTGTGCAGGTGTCGCTGCAGCACTGTGCAGAGCGTCGAGCTGCTCTGTGAGGGTCGTGAGCGCTCGACCCTTGCTGCTGCTCGGCCAGGCTCGGCCTCGTCTGCGCCCTCATCGGCTCGCTCTCCTGGGCCATGACGAGCAACTCGAGTGTCTCTTTGCACGCGCAGTGTCTATCTTGAAGGAGGCTACGACGGGGGAGAGGAGCAGGAGAAGATGCGCCCGAGCGCTTCTCGCACGACATCATCGCTGAACAGGCCGTCAGCGGTCGGGCCCACCGCAACCGACTCGATCCCGAGAGCCTGCGAGCGACAACGAAGAAGTGTGAGTGGCGGCCGCGCAGATCGGGAACCCCAAGAGAGAGAGAGAGAGGGACGCACGACCAGTTCCCGCTCGTCCACCTCGACCTGCCCGTTGCGCACCCACACGACGTGCGTCACGACGTCCCTCGGTACACACCTGACCTGACCGCCCTCCCCTGGCCCGCCGCCGTCGAACGACCTCGCGCAGGCGTCCGTCAAGGCGCGCACAAAGTCGCCCGCCGCGTACGCCGGCGTCTCGCGGTCCTCGGTCGCGTTGAGGAGCAGCACCTTGTACCGCAGGCGGCCGCCAACACCTCGCGCAATGAGCTCGCCGACGGGGCGGAGCGCGACGCACGGCACGATGCTCGTGTAGAGGCTGCCCGGGGCGTACACGAGGCAGGTCGCGTCGCGCAGGGCGTTGAGGAAGACCGTGTTGGGCCGGGGCCAGATCTCGGACCCGTACGCGTTGAGGTAGAAGATGCGCCGGATGCGGGCGGGCAAGGGCGCGATCGCGTGCGAGTCCTTGGTGAACTCGAGGTTGCGCGAGGCGGGCGCGGTCGCGGCGGCGGCGGGCGAGGGTGCGAGGAGGGTGGGTGCGTGCGTGGTTGCGGCTGAAGCGAAGGCCGACAGGCTGTTCGGGTCGGGCGAGGGCGCAAAGGGGAGCTCGGAGTGCGAGTCGTCCTCCTCGGCGCCGAGGACGGGCGGCTCGGGGAACGAGGGCGTCGTCGCTCGTGTGAGCGGGAAGTAGCTCTCGGGCTTGAGCCCACCCCCACCGCCGCCGAGGTAGCTGCCGACCGCAGGCGTCGTGACGCCGTGCTCAAGCGCCGCCGAGGTCGTCGCCGACGGGTGCGAGATCTCGCTCTGGCCGGCGATGATTTGCCCGTCCTCGAGCTCGGCGGCAATGGTGACGGTCGACGACGTGTTGATAACGGGCACGATGCGCACTCGGTCGTGTGCGATGCCGGTCAAGGACGCAAAGAGGAAGATGGCCGACGGGACCTGCGAGGCGAGGACAAGGTCAGGTCAAATCGGCGCGAGAAAGGCGAGCGCGAGACGGACCGAGCCGAGGAAGAGCGAGGCGCCGCTCAGGAACAGGTTGCCGATCGACGCCTTCTTGAAGTTGAAGCCCTGTGGTCGAGCAAGGTCAGTGCGTGCGTCGGGCTGGGAGAGAGAGCGGTCGAGCGCACTCGTTGAGCCTTCTTGAGGACGGCGCTCTCGAAGTGGACGAGGAACGCCCTGATCGTCTCCTTGCGGTCGCCAGGGATGCCCTGTTGCGGAGGAGACGAGCCGTCAGACCGGTGCGACGCAAGAGGAGAGCACGAGCGAGATGGACGGACCCTCCACAGCTTGTGCGTCCCCTCGACAATCTCGTGCCACTCGCCCTTGACCTCGGCGTGCGACTTGCCGCTCCCTTCTCCCGGCAGGCGGTACTCGAGGAGCTTGCGGATGCAGTCGAGGGGCGAGTTGAGCGGTGAGGGCGGGATGAGGCGGATGAGGCGCGAGCGAATGTCGCCCAGGGCGGGACCACCTGTCGTTGGAGCGAGTCAGCGGTCGCTCGAGAGGGGGGACGAGAAAGGGGACGGACCGAGCACGCGCTGGACCTCGGACGAGCTGCCGCCGTCGTCGGACACGGGGACGATGAAGGTGGTGCGCTCGGCGTCGGCGAAGGCGGCGAGGACGGCGTTGCAGCCGGTGCCGCCACCGATGACGCAGAAGTTGTGCTGGCGTGCCAAAGTGGCGAGGTCGATGGCGGGAGAGGCGCCCAGGCGGGGCGTGGCGTCGTTGGCGGGTTCTGGAGAGGGCGAGAGGACGACGGGCGAGAAGTGGTGGCCGTTCATGGGCGACGCTGCGAGGGGTGGTTGCGGTCAGCGCCTCGAGTGATGGGCGGTGGTGCAAGAGGGCGGGATGCACTCACGCCTTGAGGGCCGGGCGAGCCAGAAAGGGCGACTCGGGAGAGGTGGGGGGAGAGGTCGAGGAGGAGGGAGGACCACACCGCCTGGCGAGCTTGTTGGACCGGGCAGATGTCGAGCTGCAGTAGATCTGACAAGATCCCGCTGCCCAGGTAACTCGACGAGCCAAGTGTGAGTGAGGATCAGAGGGCGACCACCTCGCCTCCTCGCCTTCCCTCTCCGCCTCCGACCTCAACCCTCTCTCAGCCCTGTACCAGCTCCGAGTACCATCAGCATGAAGGGAATCGGCAAGGCATTCGCACGCGGTACGCCCACCCTCCCTCCTCCCTCTCGCCGCCCCTCGCCAATCCCCGCCAGCCTCATCATCGACTGAACCCCGGTCCCTCGTCCACAGCACCGCACCTGATCGGCTCCAAGGTGGGCATGGGCAAGCAGTCGGTCGACGCAGAAACCAACGAGCTCGTCCGCAAGTTTGCCGGCCTCGAGGGTCAGTCGCAGCCCCGCTCCACCTCGGCCTGCGCAGCCTCGCCGTCTTGGCGCACCTGCGCCGCCTACTGGTACAGGATCACCGGCTGACACTCTGCGCATCTGACAGAGTACACCGCCAAGCTCGTCAAGGACTCGAGCAGCTTCCGCGAGGCCGTCTCGAGTGCGTCCCCCTCTCTCTTCCCCTCCTCGCGACGATCCCGACCACGGCGGCTAACCTCGCCCTCCCCCCTCCTCGCAGGCATGCTCATTTCGGGCGCCGGTTTCGCCACGACTTTCACGGCGCTCCTCACGCCGTTCGACGGCGAGGGCGCCCTCACGGCCCGCTTCCCGCAGGCCGAGACGACCCTGCGCAACATCGACCACTACCACGAGCTCATGGGCGAGCTGCGCGACGCCGTCCAGCCCGAGCTCGAGCTCATCGACGCGCGCGTCACGGCACCGCTCAAGGAGTACCAGGAGCTTCTCAAGAAGATTCGCAAGACGGTCACCAAGCGCGAGCACAAGGTGCGCCCGCTTCTCGCTTCTCCCTTGTCAGGCGCCCAGACTAACTCTTGCGCCCTCACGACTCGCAGCTCGTCGACTTTGACCGCCACAACAACTCGTACAGCAAGCTCAAGGACAAGAAGGAAAAGTCGCTGTCGGACGAGAAGAACCTGTTCAAGTACGAGCAGGACCTCGAGCTCGCCACCCAGGAGTACGAGCACTACAACAAGTGCGTCTCTCTTCTTCTCTCTACCGGCTTGCAGACAGCCTGACCGTCGCCTCGCCTTCCCTCGCCTCGCAGCATGCTCAAGGCCGAGATCCCGCACTTCCTCGCCCTGTCGACGAGCCTCATCACGCCCATCTTCCAGACGTTCTACTACATCGAGGTCGGCATCCTCTGTGCGTCCTCGGCTCCCCTACTCGCCCCTCTCGCCGATCCTGACCTCGACCTTGTCGCGCCGCAGACACGCTCCTCGAGAAGATGCAGGCCTTTACCGGCCAGACGTACGGCGACCTGTCGATCGACAACCTCGAGTCGATGCACTACGAGCGCAGCGGCGATGCGCCCGAGCAGATCGACAACCTGAGCATCACCAAGCGCATCACGAGCACGGGTGCGCCGGGTCGTTTTTCTCCTTCTTCAGCCTCGCCTGCCCTTTCTTCCAAAGGGCACCGTACTGATGAGCGTGTATGACACCGTGTACAGCCCGCTTCATGTCGCAGCACCGTACCTCGTCCGGCTCGTCGGCCGGCCCGGCCTCGACCCTCGGCCGCACGGCGTCCTACTCGTCGTCGACGGGCGCGCCCTCGACCTACGGCTCGGGCTCGGGCGTCGGCGCCGTCGCAGGCGGCAGCGTCGCCCCGCCGGCCTACACGCCCCCGACCTCGGCCGCTGCCGCGCCGCTCGCGGGCAAGAGGGCCCCGCCGCCGCCGCCGGGCCGGCCCGGCGCCCAGAAGGAGTACGCGACGGCCCTGTACGACTATGCGGCGACGGTGCGTCCGCCTCTCTCTCTGTGTCTCTCGTTGTCCCGCGCCGGCTGTGCGGCGGCGGTCTGTCCGCTTGGGCAGGCCGCCGACGCTTGGAGCCGTGGGGACGAGAGCACCCACTGACAGACCCTCTCCTACCGCACCCAGGCCGACGGCGACCTGTCGTTCAACGCCGGCGAGCGCATCGAGATCGTCAAGCGCACCGAGTCGGCCAACGACTGGTGGGTCGGCCGGCGCGAGGACGGCAGCGAGGGCAACTTCCCCTCGAGCTACGTCCAGACGGCGTAGCCTCCCCCTCTCCTCCTCCTCTCTCCCCTGTCCTCTCTTCTGTGTCTCCTGTCGTCTCGAGCTGTGCGAGCGGTGGAACGAGAATCGCTGTGCTCTGTGAACCGGCGCGAGCGGAGTGCGACGAGGAGAGGTCCGAGAGCGGCTCGTCATCGCTCGACTGGTCAAGCGCGTCCTGCGTTTCGTCGCATCGCGAGCGACACACACCAAGTCCGTGCGACACGCTCGAGCGACGGCGTCAAAGCTCGCCGATGTCGGCCGTGCTCGCTCGGGCCTCTCGCTTCCTCCCTGCCCAGCTCTCGGCGCCTCTCGCTCTCTCGCCCTCTCTCTCGCTCGCTCGGGGCCAAGACTTCGGAGAAGCGACTGCATTGCCGCTCCTGTCGACACGACTCGTCGCTCACTCGATGCGCCCGTCGTCTTCGACCCCTGCGACGAACGACATGGTCTCGATCTTCTTCGGGCCCTTGACCTCCTTCTGCAGCAGCTCGTCGATGAGGCGGAACGCGCCCGGGTCGATGAGCGCAACCTGCGTGCTCGCGATGTTCAGCTTCGACTTGCTCGTTGTCGTCGAGAGAGGCAGAGAGGGGGAGAGAGGGGGCGAGAGAGAAGGCGAGGACGCACCAGCTCCCACTCGTCGGTCCACTCGTCGTCCTCGACGGTGCCAATGAGGGGCAGGACCTTGTCCTTGAGGCGCTTGCCCTCCTTGCTCGCCATCGTTATCCGGACGCGCATCTGGGCGCGCGCGATCGGGAGCGTGCCCTTGGCCTGCAACACCTTGATCAAGTCGAGGGCCTGCGGAGTGCGACGAGTCAGTGAGGGCTCAACCGACAGAGACAGAGAGAGAGCGAAACAGGTGGACGCACCTGAGCCTTGGCGGCCTTGTTGCCCTGGACGTTGTACCCAACCTCGTTCATCGCCTTCTCGATCATGCCGACCGTGTGCGGCCGCTTGGTGCCCGGGTCGACGCACCGCTGCGCCACCTCGGTGCAGATCTCGCGCCGCAGGTCCTCGAGCTCGACGGCGCGCTCCTTCTCGCCGACCTGCAGCTCGCCCTTTTTCAGGATCTGCATCATGACCTCCTGGACGTCGGTCGTGCCAAACGCTTTCTGGAGGTCGCCGGACGGCGCGACGGCGCCCTTGGTCACGTTGGTGAAGACGTTGTCGATCTGAATCACCTCGGACAGGTCGGTTTGTGCGCCCGAGCGCCAGCCGCGGACCGTGTTCTGCGAGGGAGAGGCGAGGATTAGTTCGGCGGTCTGGCGAGGGCCGGGCGAGGTCTGGGCGCACCTTGTAGCAGGCGATCTGCAGGATGGGCGGGAAGTCAGCTCGAGGACATGGAGAGGGGGACAGAGAGAGTCGAGAGGGGAGAGGAGGAGGAGACGGACCTCGAAGCGCTTGCCGGCCTTTTTGAGGCGGACGATGCTGACGTTGGTGAGCTTGATCTGGGTGCCGGGCTGCTTGCCTGCCGACATTGTCTCTGGTGCTGCACAGAGTGAGAGGGTCAGTCAGCTCGGCGAGGCGGGCGAGGAGAGGAGGACGACGAGGGCTCACAGCTCGAGGGGAAGACGGGGGTGGGTGTGAGCAGGTCGGTGTAGAGTCTGAGCGGGTGCTGGGCTGTACAACAAGCAGGCAGAGGTGCAGGCCGGGAGTGTGGGAGACAGAGTACCGAGGTCGAGCTGATGACGGCCGCTCACCTCGTCGTCGTCGTCCACCACTCTCTGGGCTAGATCGAGCACGGCCATGCTCATCCTCGAGCCCCTCTTGGCCACCTTGGCCGGCGGCCTCTCGCTCCTCATGCTCTTCCGCCGGATCCGCGCCTCTCGCCCCTCTCTCACCCCCAAGTCGGTCGCACTCGTCGTCCTCGGCGACATTGGTCGCAGTCCGCGCATGCTGTACCACGCTCAGAGCTTTGCCCGTCACGGCTACACGACCCACATCGTCGCCTACCGCGGTGAGCCCCCCTCGCCTCCTCCTCCCGATGTGGAGCTCACTTCGCTCACTCTCCCTCGTCCACAGGCTCGACCCCGCCAAAGGACCTCGCAGACGACCCGCACGTCCGCTTCGTCTACCTCGAGACACCCGCCGCTTGGGTCAGCTCCCTCCCGAGACCCCTCTTCGTCCTCTTCCTCCCGCTCAAGGTCGCCGCCGGCGCGTGGTCCCTCCTGCGCGCCCTCATCGCCATCCCCGTCGCGCCCGCTTTCCTCTTCGTCCAGGTGCGCCCGCATTCTTCTACTCTCCCTCCTGCGACTCTCCTCCTGACGCCCTGCGCGCCCGTAGAACCCGCCGGCAATCCCGACCCTCGCCATCGTCAAGGTCGCCGCCCTCGTGCGCGGCAGCAGGGTCATCATCGACTGGCACAACACGGGCTACTCGGTTCTTGCCCTGCGACTCGGCGAGCGACACCCTGTCGTGCGGCTCGCAAAGTTGTGCGTCCCTCTCCTTCTCGTCCTCTCCCTCGAGCAGACCCTGACTCGACGCACTTGCGTCCTACAGCCTCGAGCTCCTGTTCGGTCGATCGGCACACCTGCACGTGTGCGTGTCGGACGCCATGAAGGCGCAGCTCGTCGACGAGGCAAAGCTGCGGTGCGTCCCCGTCTCCCCTTTCTCGCGACGAGCGGTCTGACTGACTCTCGCTCTGCGTCGCAGAGGTCGAGTCGTCACGTTTCACGATCGTCCACCTGCTGCGTTCCGCCGCCAGACAGATCAAGAAGCCCACGAGGTGGGTCTCTCCCCTTCGTCCTTCTCAGCAACGCTTCCGACGCTCAAGCCCCTCGCCGCCCCGCCTCTCGCAGCTCTTCCGCCGCCTGCCCGTCCTCTCGTCCATTACCTTCCCCTCGACGACCTTGCGCTCGCCACACCCGGGCGGCACCCTCTTCACGACGCCGACGGGCCACCTCGCCTCGCCGCGCCCGGCCATCCTCGTCTCGGCTACCTCCTGGACGCTCGACGAGGACTTTTCGATCCTGCTCGCCGCCCTGTCGACGTACGAGCGCGCTGCGGCCTCGCTCGCGACGGGCGAGGGCGCGGTCCCGCCTGTGCTTCGGCTCGCCGAGACGGGCACGAGGAGGGAGAGGCGGTTGCCGCCTGTCGTGGTGCTCGTCACGGGCAAGGGGGCGGCCAAGAAGGCGTTCGAGAGGGAGGTCGAGAGGAGGGAGAGGAGCGAGGGGTGGGAGTGGGTCAGGGTCAGGACGGCGTGGCTCGAGAGGGAGGACTACCCGAGGCTGCTCGGTGAGTCGCCGTGTCTCTCTCTCTTCTTCCACGACGTCCTCGAGTGCAGGATTGACCCAGTTGTGCCGCATGCAGGGAGCGCCGACCTCGGCGTATCGCTGCACACGAGCACGAGCGGCATCGACCTCCCGATGAAGGTCGTCGACATGTTCGGGTGCGGCCTGCCCGTCGTCGCGCTCGACTTTCCCTGGTTCGTCTCACTCTCGCTTTCCTTCTCTCGAGACTCGAGAGCGCGTACTGACTCGAGCGTGCGACACAGCGTCGGCGAGCTCGTGCAGGACGGCATCAACGGGCGCACGTTCCGCGACGCCGACGACCTCGCCGACCGCCTCATTGTGCGTCGACCCTTCCTCGTTCGACTCTCGCCTGGATCTTTCGAGAACCCTCACTCACCCGGTCGTCACGCTCGCACACGCAGACCCTCCTCCAGGCACACCCGCAGCCCTTCCCCTCGGACCTCGACGTCCTCCGAGCAGGCATCGCCGAGGCGCACTACGGCGCTCCCGTCGCTCGACGAGACGAGGGTATGCACGTGGACGGCGAGGGCGAGGACGAGCGGGCGGCGCTGGCGAGGTGGGGCAGCTGGGAGGAGAGCTGGGACCGGATCGTCAAGCCTTTGCTCGCGCCCTGAGCGTCGAGGAGGTGCTCTCTTTCTCGCGTTGTCTAGATCTCTGTAGCCTCTCTGTGCAAGTGTATGGAATGCGGGCGTGTCTGTACATTGCTCGTCCACTTCTAGCGCCTCGTCTCCCTCGGTCGCCCACCTCGCTCGCTCCCTCGCTCCCTTGCTCCCGCTCCTGCTCGCGCCCCGCTCGCTCTACTGCAGCGCCCACACCTTGACACACGCGTCCCTGCCTCCAGTGGCCGCGTACCGGTCCATGAATCGAAGCCGCTCGGCCGGCGCGCTGTGGCCGTTGGTGCGCAGGCTCGAGCGCTCCATCGTCGTGCGGTTGTACACGCTCACGTCGTTGCCGCCGGCCGTGCACAGCACCTTGCGCGAGTCGAACTGGAGCGACGTGATCGTGTGGTCGTACCGCAGCGTGTCCGAGATCGAGCCCGTGCGCAGGTCCCAGATCTGCGCGAGGCGGTCGAGGCGCAGTTGGACGGGGCGAGCGAGGGCGAGAGTTGGCGGGCGCGAGACGAGTTGAGCGACGGCGAGAGGGAGAGGGAGAGAAAGACGAGTGTCAGTGAGAGGGTCTCGAGCGAGAGAAAGAGGAAAAAGAGAGAGTTTGGACGCACCCGGATCGTGCGGTCAAGCGAGCCGCTGACGAGGTGGTACTCGTCGAACTGGAGGCACGTGACAGGTCCAGTGTGGCCGACGAGCGTGCGGTGCGCTTGGCCGGTGCGCACTGCGAGGCGGAAGAGAGGAGGCGGAAAGGGAGGGAGGGAGAGAGTCAGTGAGAGGTTCGCCGAGGAGAACGCCCGACGACGAGATAGAGAGGAACGAGGACGCACTGTCCCACATGCGCACGCAGCCGTCCCTCGTGCCGCTCGCGAGCGCGTACCCCCAGAACATGACGCCGCCGACAAAGTCGTCGTACAGCTCCCAGCTGCCGTCGGCGTACGTCGCCGTCGTCGGCGCCGCCATGGCGCCCGGGCTCTCGAACAGCGACGACTGGCGGCGGAGCGACGACGCGGCGTAGTGCTTGCGGGGCGTCGTCGGCGGGCTCGCGAACGCGGCCGCGGTCGACGCCGCCGCCGACGACGACGTGGCGCTCGAGAACGAGTTGGCGAACGGGTCGACGGTCGACGGCGAGTAGCTCGACGCCGGGTACAGGACCGAGCTGTTGGGGAGCGGGTTCGAGATGGCCCACAGGATGTCCATCGTCTGGACGCACTGGCCCGTCGTGAGGTCCCACTGGCGCAGCGTCGAGTCGCTCGACCCGGTGACGAGCGTCGACGCGTCGAAGAAGAGCGACGTGACGGCGCGCGTGTGGCCCGACAGCGAGCGGACGCACGCGCCGTTGGCAGCGCCGCCCGCCGTCGTCGTCGTCTCGTCGTCGACGTCGGCGGGCGCGATGCTCGCCGAGATGCTGCTCGGCTCCTCGCGCAGGAGGCCGTCGTCCATCGCGCCGCCACCGAGCACGCCGCCGCCGTTGACGAGCCCTGCGCCGCCGGCCGTCGGGCCAAACACGTCCTCCTCGCCGCCGCCACCACCGCCGGGACCGAGCGACGCCAACCCTGCGGCCGACGGCGCGACGACGCCCTCGTAAAAGTCCTCCTCGGCGCGGTCGAGGTCCCACACCTTGATGGCGCCGTCCTCGCCGCCCGTGACGCAGACCTGGCCCTCGACCTGGAGCGTCTTGACGACGCCGCGGTGGCCGGCGAGGAAGCCCGACTCGGCGCCCGTCGTCAGGTCCCACAGGCGGACCGAGCCGTCCGAGGACGAGCTGACGAGCGTGCCGTACGGCTCGGAAAAGTCGAGCGACAGGATGGGCGCCAGGTGGCCGTTGAGGGTCTGCGGGCGCAAGTCGGGGAGGGCCGGAGCGAGGTCAGTGTGGGCTCGACTAGACAGGCGCCGAGTTGAGGAGAGGTGGGACGCACCATGAAGGCGACGTTGGGCGGGAGCTCGTCGTGCTCGCTCGGGAGGAACGCGGGCCCTTTGCGCCGGCGCGACGACGACGACGGGAACGGGATGCCGCCGTGCGCCGACATTGAGTCGCCCGACAATGCTCGACTCTGCGACGACGCCCGGGCGTGGGTGGACGACGCCGGGATGGCGGTGGTCGTGAGCGGCAGGCGGGCGAGGCGGGCGTGGATGCCCTCGACTGCGTGCGAGGAGGGCAACGGTGAGCGCCGGCCCGATACGCGCACTTAGAAAGGAGAGAGGGGACGCACGTTCGTCCTCGAGCTCGAGTTCCTCCTCCCGCAAGCCGAGCAGGCCGCGCTTGAGCTCGTCTCGGACCTTGTTGAGCTTGGCGATCTGCTCCTCGACGTCGCGCACCTGCCCGTTGACGAGCGCGCGCCGCACGGCGACGTTGCTCATGTCGCGCGCGACCTCGACGGCGTCGCCCTCGAGTTCTGCGCGGCTCTCGAGCGGCTCGCGGCTCGAGCGCGCCGAGCCCGCTCCGGACGCCGACGAGGCGCCATCGTCGCCGCCGTGTATCGTCTTGCGACCGCGGCTGCGGCGCCCGATCGTGAGCGGGAGCCCGTCGGCGCCCGTCTCGGCGCCCGACGCACCGAGGAGGCGCGAGGCGCCTGCGCCGGGAGGACCCTCGAGGCCGAGGGCGCGCTCGCTGCGCAGCGCTCGGCGCTTGCGGCGCTCGGCCCGGGGCACGCCCGCGGCGGGGATGGTGGCCTTGAAGCCCTGGAGGAGCGGGACCGGGTCGTCGGGTCGTGGCGGGGGCGCCTCGAGGGCGCCGGCGTGCTGTCCCGGCCCGGCAGCGGGCGAGGCCGACGAGAGGGAAAAGGGTGCGGCGGGTACGGGGAGGGCGAGGAGGTCGTCGACGCGGTCGCGGAGGTAGAGCTGGGTGCTCAGGTCGGACCACGACTGGAGGGGCTGGTTGGGCCGGCCGAGGGTGAGGCCGGCTCGGAGGAACGACAACTTGCGGCGCAGCGAGTTGGCGGCCGCGGCCGAGTTGTGGCGCGCAGCCTGGGCGTGCGACGACGAGGTGAGGGACGCCTGGTGGGTCGAGATGGTCGACGGGTGGAGGATGCGGGTCGAGGACGAGAGGAGGTTGGGCGCGAGGTCGACGAGGAGGTTGGACGGGTTGGGGAGGTACGACGCGGCCGAGCTGCTCGCCGTGACGGCGGCTGGAGCTTGACCGCGTGCGTGCTGCTGGGCTGCACCGTGTGGTGGCGCTGGCGGCGGGTCGGCGGTGAAGCGGGAGGGCAGGTACGAGAGGAAGCCGCCGCCGCCGCTGCCGCTGTCGGACGAGCGGGGCATTGCGGGCGAGGGGACGGCTGGTCGCGAGGCTACTGCAGGGTGCAGCGACAGTCAGTCGGCCGGTCTGGGTCGCCGCAGCGGGACACAGGCTGCCAGTGATGACGCCGGGCACGGGCGAGGGACGAGTGGACGGGCAAGGCAAGGCGCACCTGTTGCTGCCGGGGCCGGGTCTTGTCGAGGCAGTGCCCTGCTGCTGAGCTTGCCGCACGTCGAGCTCTGCGGCGGTTCGAAGGGAAGGCGAGAGCGCCGCGGGAGATCAAGGACGACCCTCGCTCCTCACACGCAGCCGAGGGCGGTCCGTTTGAAAGCTCAGGGGTCGTATTAGACAGTAGTACAGCTCTTGATGCGGCGAGCGCACACCCTGAGCGTTGTCGTTGACGTCCTTCCCCTCATCGGCTCGTCGACTCGTTCCTCGACTCGACGCTCTCTCGCTCGCTCTCAGCTACCGACGCCCATGGCCTCTCCACCGACAAAGATGGCCAAACTCGACCACGCACCCCCCGCGCGCACGACCGCACCCGCCGCCCTCTCGCGAACCCCGTCCTCGTCGTCCTCGTCGCGCCGAATCGGCCTCGCGTCTGGCGTCGACCGCACAAAGGTCCGCTCCATCCAGCTCGGGCCCTCCAAGAACAAACTCGCACTCGGGTCCAAGCCCACAAACCCGCACAAAGCCGTCGACCCGCTCGCCACCCTCGCCCGAGCAGCGCGCGCCATCCTCTCGCGCCCTCCCCAGCCCACCCCCGAGTCGCTCCAGGCCCTGTACTCGCTCACAGAGCACGTCGTCCACAACGGCAACGACGCCGCCCAGCAGTTGTACGACCGTCTGCGCCTCGAGCTCGAGCGCGCCGCGGGCGACCTCCGCCGCTCGCTCGCCGCACCTGTGCCCGACTCGGCCGCGACCGCGACGGCCGACGGTTCGGCCCTCGGCGTCAAGGCGTCGGCGCACGAGGCGTGGATCAAGCTGTTCGACGACGAGGTCGGTCGGTTTGGCGACCAGGTCCTCCTCGTCAGGAGCGTCTTCCTCCACCTCGACCGCACCTACGTCCTCCAGTCTTCCGCCCTCCTGTCCATCTGGTCCGTCTGTCTCCCACTCGTCTCGACGTCTCGTTGCACCCCGACTTACTCTCCCCCGCACTCGCAGGGACCTCGGCCTGTCGCTCTTCCAGGATTCGGTCCTCTCGGACTCGACCATCTCGTCGCGCATCACGTCCGCCACGCTCGACCTCGTCGCACTCGAGCGCAGCGGCACCTCGGTCCCGCGAGCCCAGCTGCGCTCGTTCCTCCGCCGCGTGCGCAGCTTTGCGACGCCGGCGGCGTACGCCGAGGTCGTTATCGCGCCGTTCCTCGCCGCGACCGAGGCGCACTACGACGTGCAGGGCAACGCGCACGCGGTCGAGCTCGACTCGACAACGTACCTCGCGAGGGCGGTCGCGGCGCTCCGGGACGAGGACGAGCGCGTGCGGGGCGTCTTTGGCGGGGCGGGCGAGGCGGACCTCGCGAGGGAGGTCGAGCGCAGGGTTGAGGGCGGGCTCATCAGGGGGCACGTCGAGGACATCGCGACCAAGGGTGCGTCGCGACGTTTCCGCTCTCGAGGGCTCTCCCGTCGTTCGGAGAAGGGGACTGACCACGATCGTGCGTTCGTACGGTGCAGAGACGGCGACGCTGTGCGAGCAGGACCGCAAGGACGAGCTCGCGACGCTGTATGGCCTCCTCAAGCGTGTCAACCAGCTCGGCGTCCTGCGGGCCGCGTTCCTCGCCTACCTCAAGGTGCGCGAGCAGTTCTCTTCCCTCAGCCTCGCACACCTTCCTCCTCCCCATCCTCCCCGACCCCTCCCGGCCAACGTTCGCCGTCGTCTTCTGCTCGAGCAGGCGACTGGAGAACCCGTCGCGCCGGCCTTGGTGCCCCTCGACGGTCGCCGTTCCTCGAACCCGGACTGACCCGTTCCACCTCTTCCCTCCCTTCCCCTCGACCACCCTGTACATCGACGCTTCGCCTATATCTTCCTTTCTGTCGCATCCGCTCGGCCACCCGCACCCGCAGACGACCGCCCTCGCGCTCGTGTCCGACCCAGCGCAGGACGCCCACATGGTCGAGCGCCTCATCGCGCTGCGGCACGCCGCCCGCGCGTTCGTCGAGGGCCCGTTCGAGCGCAACGAGGACGAGTTCGGCAAGGCCGTCAACAGCGCGTTCGAGAGCGTCGTCAACACGCGGCAGAACAAGCCGGCCGAGATGATGGGTGCGTGCGACGGCTCTCTCTCTCTCGTTCCTTCTCGCCCGGCGACGTCGCCTGACACGTCGAGGATCGCCCCTGCTTTCCTTGTGCGCAGCCAAGTACCTCGACGCCAAGTTGCGCAGTGGCGGCGCGCGAGGACTCGACGACATAATGCTCGAGGCCGTCCTCAACGACGTCCTGTACCTCTTCCGCTTCACGCAGGGTGAGCCCCCCTCTCCCACCTCGCATCCACATCGGCCGCACGAGCGACCTGTCAAGGTGTCTCGACGTCGGCGTCGTCGCGCATCGAGCCCTGACCGCCGACCTTTCGCCCGAACCTCTCCCTCGCAGGCAAGGACATCTTCGAGGCGTTCTACAAGCGCGACCTCGCCAAGCGTCTGCTCCTCAACAAGAGTGCGTCGTTCGACGCCGAGCGCAGCATGCTCCTCAAGCTCAAGGACGGTGCGCCTCGACCTCCTCCTTCGTCCCCTCCTTCTCCCTCCTCGACAGCCGCTGACTGACCTCGCGACACCCTGCAGAGTGCGGCCCCGGTTTCACGTCCAAGCTCGAGATCATGTTCAAGGACATGGACCTGTCGGCCGACGTCATGAGCGCCTTTTCCGCCTCGTCGGCGTCGTCGTCGTCCGGGTCGGGCCCGTCGTCGTTCGACCTGAGCGTGTCGGTCCTGAGCCAGGGCAACTGGCCGACGTACCCGCCGTTCCCGATCGCGCTGCCGCCGGCGCTCACGGCCGCGAGGGAGCGCTTCCGCGCCTTCTACGTCGCCAAGCACAGCGGGCGCGCGCTCAGCTGGGCGAGCGGCCTCGACACGGTCACGCTCCGGGCCCACTTCCCGTCCTCGGCGACGGCATCGACGTCGGGCAAGGCGGGCACGGCGAGGAAGGAGCTCCTCGTCAGCCTCGCGCAGGCCGTCGTCCTGCTCTTGTTCAACGACCCGGCCGAGCAGGGCGCGGCGGACGACGGCACGCTCAGCCTTGAGGAGATCGGCGCCGCGACACAGCTCGGTGCGTCCTCTTTTCCTTACTCTCTCCCCCGACCGCCATCTCTGCCTCGTCGCGCCGTCCCTGACCTCGCCCTCTCGGTCGTGCGCTCGCAGAGGCGAAGGAGCTCGCCCGCACGCTGCAAAGCCTCGCGTGCGGCAAGGTCCGCGTTATCACCAAGCAGCCCAAGGGCCGAGACGTCAACGCGGGCGACCGCTTCGCCTTCAACTCGGTGCGTCGCTGTCGCCGTTCCTCCTCTCGCTCTCGGCGTCGACCGAGTCGTGGCCGGTCGAGCTCACCCGTACCCCTGTCGCGCCGAGCAGGACTTCAAGAGCGACCACGTGCGCATCAAGATCAACCAGATCCAGCAGAAGGAGACGGTCGAGGAGAACAAGAGCACGACCGAGCGCGTCTTCACCGACCGGGCGAGCCACCTGCAGCTCGCCATCGTGCGGTGCGTCCCTCTCTCTTTCCCTAGTCGTCTCGAGTCTGCACGTCCTGTCGTATTCACGCCTCGCGCCCTCGCCGCAGCATCATGAAGGCACGCAAGACGCTCAAGCACCAGGAGCTGTGCGTCCCTTCTCTCCCGTTTCGCCTCTTCCCGTCACTTCTTGGCCGTCGACACGATCCTGACTGACTCTCTTGTGCGCCCTCTTACGTGCGCAGCGTCATGGAGGTCGTGTCGCAGATTGGGCAGCGGTTCAAGGTCGAGCCGGCCGAGATCAAGAAGGTGCGCCCGCTTTCCTCCTCCCAGCCCACCCTCGTCCTCTGCACCTCGCGCACACGTCCTCGACGTCTCGCGCGTGTCGCACATGCGGTGGCGGACGAGCGCGCCTCGTCGCCCTGTCGCCGCAGCCGTCCTCCTGCCTCAGAGCCGCACTGACCTCGCCATCCCTCGTTGCGCTGCAGTCGATCGCGAGCCTCATCGACCGCGAGTACATGGGTCGCGCCGAGGACAACCACGCGCTGTACCATTACATCGCGTGAGGCGGGCCGCCCCGTCGACGACGACGCGCACCGACCGCTTCCCTCATCGCCGCACTCGCCCTCTTTTCCCTCTCTCGCGGCCGCACTGCACTCGTCGCCCTTTGTAGCTTCTATCCCCTCTGTTGTGTCCCTGTTCTCGTCGCCTGCAAGCCTCGTTGGAATCGCGAGTCGCGCCTTTTCCGACCCCCGCATTCTTCGGCCGCGGAGAGTCGCTCCGGAGAACTCGCTCTCTGGTCGCTCGCCGCCCACGCCTCTGCTCGTGCACCAGCTCGTCGCCCAGCACCTGTACCACACTCGATAACGCCGCCATGCCCGCCTCGACTAGCCGTGCGGGCCCTGCCTCGCGCCGTCGTCTCCCCCACGCCCACTCGAATCCCTCGCCGAGCTCTTCCCGTCCACCCGCCGCATCGCCCTCCCCGTCGAGCGCGCATGCAGGGCTCAAGCCCAGTCGCAAAGCCACGCCCCACAAGTCGCCCTCGTCGAGCTCGGCCAGCAGCAAGGCGAGCGCTGCCGCCCCTTCGCCGGCCCTCCTCGTCCGGCTCGCCTCGTCGTCGTCCACCACGCTCGACAACACGCGCCACAAGCCCGCCTCGACCTCGTCCTCGTCGTCGTCCGATGCAGGAGGCGGTGCAGCAGGCGGCAAGAAGCGCAAGACGGGCGGCGGCGGCATCGGGTCCCGAGACGTGCTCGCGCCCGCGCTCGTGGGGTACGGCCGAGGCCGGCGCGCGACGAGCACGACCGCCGTCGCCGCTCTCGCAGGCGCAGACGGAGCAGACGACCGAGGGTACGCCCACGGGAGGGGCAGGAGCCCTGGCTCGGCGGCGGCGCTCCTCCTCTCCGGCCGGCGCAGCGCGACGACGAGCCGCGCTCGTGCCGGCGCAGCAGCGCCGTACCCTGTCCCGATCGGCTACCCGTACCACCCGCACCAGCACCACCACGTCGCGGCGCAGTACGCCCCAGTTCCCGACCACGCCCTGTCCCCCTCGCGCATGGCCCGAGCCCTCTCGGCCGGCGGCGCCGCGTCACCGCACCACTCGCCGGGTGCGCCCGGCGCGACGAGCGCAGCGGGCGTGCCGAGCCCGCTCGCGAGGAGCTTGTCGGTCGGCGGGTCGGGCGAGCCGAGGGTGAGGACGCCGAGCGCGCACGGCGGCGGGAACGGCGTTGCGAGGGTCGCCGAACTCGGAGGGCACGTCGGGTGCGTCTCTCGCTCTCTCTTCTCTCGCAAGGTCCTCTCACGCAGTCACTGACGGTCTCGCACTGTTCACCTCGCAGAGAGTACTACGCCATCGCCGCCTGAGCCGCACGTTCACCTCGATACCCCCTCTTTCCCCTGCCCTCGCTTTCCCCTTCCTTCCGCATGTTGCCCTTCCTCAACCCTCTCTTTTGCACTCTCTCGCCCTTTCGCCCTTTCCGTCGTACCTTGCTTGTCCTCACTACCCTTCCTCGCGCCGTTTCTCCCTTTCGCGTTCTGCAACGTCTGCTGCCCGTCTCGCACACGCACAACGAGAGAGAATGGACACGAAAGAGACTATTACAGAGCGTCTACAGGGTACGGAAGCACAGCCCGTCCGACTCGAGAACCTCCTGCCGCCGGCCGGGCCGTTCGACGCACGGTCCCTCACGCGAGCTGCGCCGCGTCGCCCGCCTGGACGCTCGGCGCCGGCCCCGGGTTCGCGACCTGCGTCACCTGAGGCTGCGCCGCACCGACCTGGGCCGCGAGCTGCGCCACCTCCTGCTGCGTCACCTGCTGCGGCGCCGACTTGGCCTTGTGCACGAGGCCCGCCGCGTCGGCGAGCATGCGGTTGACGCGCAGGCGGTCCTCGTACAGCTGCTGCTTCTGGACCTCGAGCGCGCGACGCTCGTGCTCGACGAGGCGCTCGAGCTCGTCAAAGTGGGCGAGCTTGAGGTCGAGCTTGCGCACTTGGGCCTCGACGACGGCCGTCACGAGCGAGTGCAGCGACGCGTCCTCCTGGAGCGCGAGCGCGTGCGCACGCGCAGAGGCCGACCCGAGGGCCGTGAGCGCGGCGCGGCGCATGTTGGCCGACGGCGACGACCGCGACGAGTCGGCGAGCGGGTCCTCGACGGCGTCGGCGCCGACAGCGGGCGCGTCGCCGTTCGTCTTGACCTCGTCGCCGGCGCCGTTGGCCTCGACACCGTCCATCTTGGCGTCGCCGTCGTCGACCGCCGCGCCGTCCGTGTCCTCCTTCTTGGCCTCCTTGGCGAGCTCTGCCCGCCGCTTGAGCCCGCGGTCGAGCTCCTCGACCGCCTCGCCCGCCGCCTTTGCCGCCGTCTCGCGGTCGACGGCGCCGGCGAGGAACGCGACGACGCTCATGACCGGGTTGTCGGCCTTGCTGAGCGGCACCTTGTGCGCGCCGCTGAGGAGGCCCGCCGGCGCCGCCTCGGCGATGAAGCCGTCCTCGATCGGGAGCTTGAGGAAGTGGGCGATGCATTGCTCCTTGGTCCTCGTCCCGACGTGGTCGGCGATGCGGTCCCACTGGTCGTCGTGCATCTCGATGCCCTCGAGGAGGAGGAGGAGCTCCTGGTCGGTCCACGGGTCCGTCTCGGCGTGCGAGAACGGGTCGGCGTCGAGCCGGACAAAGTCGCCCGCGTGCAGCGTCGACGGGAACCGGCCCTCGGTGTAGCACGCGCCGCACACCGAGATGGGCTCGGCGCTCGTCGAGGCGGCGGCGGCACCGACGGGCCGGAACGGCTTGAGCGACGTGTAGCGCACCGTCGGCGTCGTCGTGCCGCACGTGTGGCACGGCTTGAGGGCGCGCGACGGGTCCTGCGCGGCGTCGCGCGCCGTCTGGCTCGCGTCGGCCTCGGCGGCGAGCTGCTGCGCCGTGGCGGACGACAGGCGCGCGTCGGGTGCGGCGGGACGGGACGGGTCCGTCTTGAGGAGGTCGGTGCGGAGGGTGGTCGACGAGGGCTTGGTGCCCGGGTGGAGCGGCGCGAGGCCACGAGGCGAGTCGACGAGGACGCGGAAGTGGCCGGTGAAGGGAGGGCCGAGGGCGGAAGGGCGAGTGTCGGCGTCGATCTGTCGCCGGCGGTGCAAGGGGTCAGGTCACGCTCGTCGGACATTCGAGGGAGGGAGCATGGGGGCGCACCTGGTAGTTGATGAGGCCCCACTGCTCGAGGAAGGCGTGGACGCGCATGATGGCGCACACGTCGCCGGCGAGGTTGCGGCGACAGGCCGTCACGGTGAGGTACTCGCTCGGGTTGAGGCGGTAGGTGTGGATCATAAAGTCGCGGTAGTCCTTGTAGACGGTGGGCGTCTTTGAGCGGTTCTTCGAGTTGAAGAACTCGGGGAGGGACCGGCGCTCGATCGGGTGCAGGGTCGCGAGGCTGAACCAGGTGGCGTACGAGGGGATGATGACGGGGTGGGTCTGGGTGGCGAGGTAGCGCTTGGCGGCCGTGAGGCGCTTGTGGACGTTGGCCGGGTCGTCGGTGCCCATGCCGGCCTCGCGCGCCGTGCGGGCATTGGCGTCGAGCTCGAGGTCGTCCTGCTGGTCGGCGGGCTGCGGGGTCGACTCGGCTGCGGCGCCGGGCTCCTGAGTGCGCGCGCGCTTGGCTTGCGGGAGGTCGGCGGCGGCGTTGGCGAGCGGGTTCGGGGCGGAGGAGGACGAGGGGCCGGGGACGGCGCCAGACGCGGTGGGGTCTGCGTCTGCGGGGCGCTTGTGGGCGGGATAGCCGGGAGCAGAGTCGACCTGCATCGCTGGGCAGCACTTGCGCGGGCGACGAGCTGGTCGAGGACCGACAGGCGAGATGAGGACGGCGACGCGTTGTTGCTCGCCAGAGCGCTCCTCCCTCTGCTCGGGCTGGAAGGGCGACCGTCCAGAGGCTACGCAAACCTCATCTGGGACGCAGCCACTCCGTCCAGCTCGCAGTGCGCGACGCTCGCTCGCTCTCGTCCTCCTCCCCGCCCCGCTCTCATCTCGCTCGCCCACTGCTCGCTCGCACTTGGCTCTGCGGTGGTATCAAGTGGCCAGCGCAGCTCTTCAGTCTGCTCTCGCGCCGTCGAGCGAGTCGAACCCGCGCCAGCGAGCTCGCGCAGGGCTCCTCACTGCCGCTCCTCCGCCCGAGGCTGCTCTTGCGCATCGCTTGCTCGCTCGAGGCGAAGAGCTCCTGCTCGTGCTCGACCCCGCAGCTCTAGTGCCTGGAGGACACCGAGCACCGCGCGCACAGGAGAGACGGACACTCCGGTCCGCTCGCTCCTCTCTGCTCGGTCTTTCCCCTCGCCTCCTCGTCGCCCGCTGCTCTCGCCTGTCGCCACCTGAAGCTCCAGCACAGCATGTCGACACCAGGCGTCGGTATCTCACCCTCTGCGGTGCGTCCCGCATTCTCCTCCCCCTGTCCTCGTGCGGCGCAACTGACCCGTCTCCTCCTGAAGACGCCGGCCTCGCGCAGGTACCAGTCGACCGGCTACGCGCCTCAATCGACCGCCTCGAGGCACCGTCGCAAGCGTCTGCTCCTCCTGCTCGGCCTGCTCGGCCTCATCCTCCTCCTCACGGTGCGTCTCGACTCTCGCCACTCCCCTCGCCTCCTCGTGAGCTCACCTCGTCGCCCCACCTCACGCAGGTCATCATCGTCCCGCCTTCCGTCGTCCTCACTCGCAAGAACAACGTGCGCGCGGCAGATCACGGGCAGCTGTACACGACGGTCGTCGACGGGCGCACCTCGACCATCACGCGCGGCGGCGGAATCGCGACTCGCTCGCAGCTCACGACCCTGGCCAACGGCGAGGTGTCGACCATCACGTCGGTCGTTGCGCTCCCGGTCGTCACGGTCTCGGCGACCAACGTGCAGGAGGTCCAGACGGGTGCGTCCTCCTCCCGCCGTCCCTCTCGACCCACACGAGCTTACGAGTCTCTTTCCCTCGCAGCCTACGTCACTTCGACGCTCACCGACGGGCTCATCATTGTGCTCGAGACGGCTACGAGGGTCCAGACGGCGGTCGCGACGGTGACCTACACGGCCCAGAACGGTGAGTCGAGCGGTCCGAGCGGGGCGTGGGAGAGTCGATTGGGCAGCCCTGACTGTGTCTCTTCCTCCTTCCAGGTGCTGTCAGTGTTGAGACGCTCACGTTGACGAGCCTCGACCTCGTCACGGTCCTCGGGTGCGTCCCATCGCCGCCTCCTCCTCTTTGCGCCAACGCGCACTGACTTGTCCTTCCTCTGCAGGCCTACCAGCACGTCCCGCTCGCCCGCCCCGACGACCGCAGCCGTCTCGAGCCCCACCTCAACCGTCTTGACGACCAGCGCCTCGTCATCGACCTCGCCGTCGAGCTCGAGCCCGACGTCCACCTCGCCTGGCTCGTCCTCGTCCCGCCAGCCGTCCAGCACCGAGGTACCCGGCAGCAGCACATCCAGCCTTAGTTTGACCTCGACCAGAACGACCTCTTCAAGGTGCGCTCGCGCCCTAATCGCCTCGTCCCCGAGCGTGACTGACAAGGTTGACAAGTCCGCAGCGCGATCTCGTCCTCGTCGGCTCCACCCTCGAGCACGCCTTCCTCCAGCGTCTCGTCTTCCATCCCGTGAGTGTCTCGAATCATAGGCGGGGGCGTTGCAGCGGCGACTGACCCCTGTCTCTTCGCCCTGCAGTCCGTCAAGCTCTCGTTCTTCTTCTTCGGCAAGCTCGCCTACCTCAAGCAGCTCGTCGCAGCCCATCACGTCGACCGCGACCACCTCATCGAGCAGTACCTCGGCTTCAACGAGCGTGTCGACGTCGCGCCCGTCGCAGACGCCGCCTGCACCTTCGTCGGTCCCGCAGACGTCCAGCTCGGCGGCGACTTTGCCCGGCCCCGTCTCGCCCTCCTCGGCGACGACGAGCTCGGCGACGACTAGCAGCTCTGCTGCGTCGACCACTGCGCCGTCATCCGGCCCGACGAGCGCGTCGCCTGGGTCGACCACGTCGGCCGGGTCCAGCAGCAGCTCGGCAGGTCCAGGTCGGCCGCCGTCTAGCTCGTCGACCGCCAGCAGCTCGTCAACTACCTCGCCGTCGAGCTCCACCTCGAGACCGCCCGCTTCGAGCTCGTCGACGAGTGCGTCGCTTGGGTCGACCACGTCGCAAGGCTCGACTCGGCCGCCGGCACCGTCGAGCAGCACGAGCACGAGCACCAGCATCGACACGACGACAACTACGACGACAACTGGACCGTCGACGACCTCAAGCAGGTGTGCTGGCTGTTCGCGCTTTGGCCTCCTTCCCGCCACGTCACTAACTCGTTGGCCGTGCAGCTCGCCCTCGACTACCACCACGAGCCGTACCATGTCGACGACGACGACGAGCAGTGGCGTGACTTTGCCGCCGATCGGGTCCGTTCTACGACTTGCGCTGCGGCGACTTGGTCCTGACCCTCTCTCGTCCCTCTCGCAGCCCCTCGACTACGTCCACCAGCCTGACCTCGGCTGCTCCGCTCCCGACTAGGTGCGTTCTCGCTCTCTTTCTCTCTCTGTCTCTCCATGATCGGGTCCTGACTGTCCTCGGCCCGCAGCTCGACCACGTCCGCCACCACCTCGAGCACCAGCTCTACTTCGGCCGTCAGCTGCATCTTCCTCAACCTGCCGCTCGGGTGCGTTCCTGAGTCGACGAGCACGGGCACGACGACGGCGAGCGCCTCTGCCGAACCGTGCGTCCTCTCCTTCTGTATCGCAACGAGCCGGCTCTGACCTTGTCTCCCCTCGCAGGTCCAGCACGTCGAGGTCGTCAAGCTCCACTGCCGCAGCCTCGAGCACCAGCTCATCGACGACCACGAGCGCGAGCGCAAGCCCGAGTGCGACCGTGCCGCCCATCGGGTGAGCAGCTCTTCCGTCCCTTCGCCCGCTCGGGCCCCGACTGACTCGCCGAGCCCAGCAGCCCTTCTACCTCGGCGCCCTCGACCACGTCTACTCGCCCGACATCCTCGTCGACATCCTCGAGCTCGGTGTCAAGCAGCACCACTCGATCGTCTGCCTCGTCCTCGAGCGCGACTCGTCCTCCGCCTTCTTCGACTGCGTCCACCTCGAGCGCCTCGACAACGACCCGCTCGACGTCCACCACGTCTTCGTCGTCGTCGACGAGCGGTGCCACGCTTCCGCCGATCGGGTGGGCACTCTCTCGCTCCTCGAGCCGGTCCTTCGACACATACACTGACTCGTCTGTCCGTCAACAGGCCATCTACGTCACCGACCCCAATCACAAGTACGGCTTCGACCTCGACGACGGTGTCTGCGACAGGAGGAAGCAGTGCCAGCTCGAGGTGCGTCCCACCTGCGCCGCGTCGAGCCCGCCCGGGCTCGCCCTGACCCTCCTCTGCGCCTCCAGTTCTGGCTCGAGTACCGCCACGTCGACAAACAGCACGACTCTCACTACCTCGAGCTCGACGACGCGCACGAGCAGCAGCGACGCGTCCACCTCGTGAGCTCCTTCGCCTCTCGCCGAACCTCGCCCGGTCGTTCTCTAACGTCCCTCGTCCCGCAGCGCTTCTTCCTCGTCGTCTTCTTCGTCCTCGTCGTCGCGCACGACGGCTCCTTCTTTCACGATCCCGCCGATCGGGTGCGTCCCTCTTTCGCAAATCTCGCGCACGGCCCGCCGTCCTGACCTCCTCCGGCAGCCCTTCTTCGCGTCCGACCAGCTCGCCGACGACTTCCACGACGAGTACAAGGTCTTCATCGAGCCTCGACACGACGACCAGCCAGTCGTCGACGTCGTCGAGCCAGAGCCAGACCTCGGGCACCCGCTCAACCTCGAGTACGGCTTCGACCACCACGAGGTCGAGCTCGTTGCCGTCATCCACGTCGAGCTCGGCCGCAAACAGCTCGTCGACGTCGAGCGCTCCATCGACGTCGAGCTCGAGCGTTTCGGCGAGCAGTCGCCCGACCTCGTCGTCGGCCACATCGGCGTCTGCCAGCAGCTCCAGCTCGAGAACCTCGACGTCAACCGCAAGCAGCTCGTCCTTCGAGTCGTCCTCTGCGTCGCGGTCGAGCAGCGCAACGTCGTCTGTCCCGGCTGCTTCGTCGCGAAGCCCCTCGTCGTCGGCACCGCCTCTTTCTTCGCCCGCCTCTTCCGCCCCGCCGACGACGACGACCGCGGCACCCGTGCCTACCGAGTGCGTCCCTCTCTCTCTCAATCTCGTCGACGGACCCCAAGATCACTCGAACTGACCCTCGGTCGGTCTCGTCGCCGCCCTCGCAGTTGATTCTCGCCTCGTGGCGCCCACCGTCTCTCGATCCTGGTTACCCTCTTCTCACCCGCCTTTACTTGTCCCCTCGCCGTCTGTGCAACTCTCATTATCTGCGCCTCTCCCTTCTGTCCGCGAGAGAGCGAGGGGAGGAAGCGCGCCTGCGCCAGAGAGAGACAGCACCGCCTTCGCGAAAGCGGACGTTCGAGCGGTGCGCTGCGGCGGACGTGGGCCCCTTCGCGGGCGAGAGGCAGGCGGACCGTTGAGCTGCACGCCGTGCGACTCAGGTGAGGAATGAGGAAGCGGGGTGCGTGCGTGCAGATCTGATCGAGGGACGGACGCCTCCTCGGCGAGAAGAGGGACGAGGCGACGACGAGGGGCGCGAACCTCGTCCGCCGCTCGGTCGCACACGCCGTGCAGAGTGCACCTCGTCTTCCGCCAGAGCAGCACCGCCAGCCCAGCTGCCCTCTCGCTCAGCAAGGCCGGTCCTTCGCCCGCCCGCCCACCCTCGTCCCTCCTCCGAGGGCTCGCCTCCCTCGTCGCGTCCGCCCAGCGCCGCCTCGCGCACCCGCCCGCCCGTCGACCACCCGAACGAGCCAGGACGACCTTTCGGCGCGTCCACGCCTCGAGCCCTGTCATGCCGCCCCGGAACAAGGCGAGCGGGACCGCCTCGTCGTCCTCGTCGCCCTCGACCCCGGCACCCGCGCGCAAGTGGACCCACGACGACGATGACGCCCTCACGGCCGCGCTCGAACACGGCGACGGCCAGCTCAGCTGGGCAGAGATCGCGTCCATGGCGTTCCCCGACGGCAAGTTCACCAAGACCGACTGCAACTCGGTGAGCTCCTCTTCCTCCTCGGCCTCTCGCCGCATGAGCGCTGCCGGGACGTCGCATTGACGCTTCGACTCGCAGCGATGGACCTCCCTGTCGCGACCCAAGACAATCAAGGGCTCGTGGACGGCCGCAGAGGACGCCAAACTGGTCGAGCTCGTCGACGAGTTCGGGTCCGAGAAGTGGGTGCGTAGTGCCGGTCCTCCTCGTCTTTCTCGAGCTGTGTGGCAGCTCGCTGACCTTCCCGTCGGTCCCCCTGTCGTGTTGCAGGTCATCATCTCGTCGCAGATGGGCTCGAGGTCGGGCAAGCAGTGTCGCGAGCGGTGGCACAACCACCTCAACCCGAACAGTCCGTCCCTCTTTCGCCAACGGTCCTCGAGGACGGTCTTACTGACGCCTGCCGCCCTTGTCCGCAGTCAAGAAGAGCGACTGGTCGCCCGAGGAGGACGCCCTCATCCGCGACCTGCACGCCAAGATTGGGCCTAGGTGGGCCGAGATGGCCAAGCACCTTCCCGGCAGGCCCGACAACTCGATCAAGAACTACTGGAACGCGTGCGTCCCCTCTCTCCTTCCCTCCCTTCCTCGCCGTCGGGGACCCGAGCGACCGAGTCGAGTCGACCCTGACCTTCCGATTCTCCCTTGCGCAGCCGACAAGCTCGCGAGAAGCGCGACCGGTCCAAGAGCATGAGCCAGGCGTCCATGGCGGCCGGCGCCGACAAGGTCAAGGCGGCCAAGGCCCGGGCGGCGGCGGCGGCGTCGGCAGCACTCGAAGCGGCCGCCTCTCGACAACCCGTCACGCCGGCGCCCGCCATGAGCCGGTCCTCGTCGTCGGCGTCGCTCAACAACGCGCGCTTTACGCCGTACGCCCGCTCGTCGCCGATGAGCAAGAGCCGGAGCGAGTCGGTGTCGTCGCTCGGCGCCTTCTCGTCGGTCAGGTCGTCGACCTCGATCGAGACGCTCGCGTCGTCGCCGTCGTCGCAGATTTCGGCGTTTACGCAGACGCACCCTGGACGGAGCCAGTCCATGGTGGGCATCGCGGGCTCGGCCGCACCGCACGCTCGCCGCATCTCGCAACACGTCTTCCCGCAAGAGCAGCTCGGCGCTCTCGCCGCCGCCACCGTCAACGGCGACGACTCGGAGGTCCTCGCCGCTCCCCGACCGCCCTTCTTCCCGTCGCACGGCACGAGTCGGTCTATCGGCACGCCCGACCGGTTCCGCCGCCCGCACGCCAACTCGTCCCCTCCCGCTCCGTCCGGCCTGTATACCTACGCCTCTCCGCCAGCCGAGCTCCCGACGCCGCCACCTCAATTCGTCCAGACGGTGCAGCAGCAGCAGCATGTCGACAGCACGGGCCCGTGGGGCGGCAACGTCGTCGCGCAGGGCTCGGGCCTCGAGCTATCGGACAACGGGCAGCCCGCCCTCTCGCGCCTGTACACCGACAGCGACTTTTCGCACGACTCGAGTGCGGCCTCGCCGTACGACGACTATTCCTCGGCGCCGTCGAGCGCGTTCTACTCGGCGCCAGGGCCCGACTCGCGCTTCGCCTCGCCGACCGACGACGCCGACCCGATGCAGCACGCCTTCTTCGGCGCCGGCCCGCTCTCGTTCGACCCGTCGGCGCAGCACGTCGCGTTCGAGACGGGCCAAGCAGGCGTCGCCGGCCCGTACATCCATCCGGCGCACCTGACGACGCTGGACGAGACGTTCGCCTACTCGGCGTCGCAGGACTCGACGCCGCTCGTCGGCAGCAGCAGCGGCGGGTTTGACCCGTACTCGATGTTCGACTCGTCGCAGGGCGTCGACGATGGGTCGTGCACGCCGGGCAGTGCGCCGTCGAGCGTCGCGGCGAGCCCGCACGAGAGCACGATGGGCGTCACGGTCGACACGGTGACGGGGCTCGTCTACTCGGCGGGCCCGTCGACGGCCGGGTCGCACAGCGAGGTGCACCCGTCGTTCGGCGCGTTCGGCTCGGCGGCGGCGGGCGGTGGCGGCGACGGTGGGCCCGAGACCGCCTACCTGGGCTCGAGCGCGACGAGCGCCGGGCTCAGCCAGCAGTCGAGCTTTGCGCCGGCCGACGACGGCGTCTACGCGTTCGACCCGTCGCTCGGCTCTGCGCCGACGCCGATGGAGGGCACGGCGGCGCGTCCGAGCCTCGCACGGCAGCACACGGCGCCCGCCGCGTTCGCCTTCCCGCCGCCACGTCAGCCCCTCGTCGCCGCACCGATGCGCCGCCCGATGCCTCTCCAGCTCCCTTCCTCGTCATCCTCGTCGTCCCTCGGCTCGCGCTCGTCGCACAGCCATCGCCACACGCCGTCCCTCCCCAACGCTGCGACGCCGACGCACCTCTCGTTCGGCCCCGACCAGACGACGCCGATCGCCGCGAGCCTCAAGGGCTCGCTCCCGCCGAGCGCGAGCTTTCCCGGCCGCCAAGCCGGGCACGGCCACTCGCTGTCGAGCTCGCTGTCGGGCTCGCTCTCGGGCAGCCTCAGCGCGTCGTCGCTCCTGTCGGGCTCGACCGCGTCGTCGTCCTCGCGCACGGTGCACGGCCACGGTGGCGGTAGCCAGCACGCGCACACGCGGCACCGCAGCCTGTCGCGTGCGACGCCGTACGGCGGCGTCGGCGCGCTGCGAGCGAGCACCGGGTCCGGCGCAGGAGGCGCCCTCGCCGCGCCGTTCGACATGGCCGCCGCGTCGTCGACGGCAGCAGCGCCTGCTCTCAGCCGGTCGGGCTCGCGCGCCGGACTCGCGAGCGAGCCGATGAGCAAGGTGTACTCGTCGCCGCTGAGCGAGATTGCCGGGCGGTGGGAGGGCCTGTCGCTCACGTCGCCGTCGTCGGGCGGCGGTGCGGCGCCGTGGCTCGCGAGGAGCGGGAGCATGGGTGAGCAGGGCGGGCTCGCCGCGTTGATCGCCGAGGAGGCTCGCGCCGCGGCGGGAGGAGGGGGAGGAGGGGGAGGAGGAGCAGCGCCGCCCGTCTCGCTCGCGCACCCGACGACGGGCCTCATGCGCGTCGACGAGAACGGGCGCGCCTCGCTGCCGCTTTAAGCGTGCTTGCGGTCCCTCCCTCTCCCCCCCTCTTCGCTCGACGAGGGCGCGCCGCCGGCGGCGCGCACAGACACTTCCTCTCGCTCTCCCTCTTTCCCTCGACGTCGTCTCTCTTGCTCAGACTCTCTCGCCATCTGTTATCTCTCGTCGCATCCTCTCTCCCTATCTCTCTCTCTCTCCTTGCCTTTATTTGTGTAGCGCACCGCCACGACCGGCACGAGCTGCTGCATTTCCAGCCCGGTCTCGTCGCCCTTGTCTTCCTGCCCGACGTCCTCTCCGCCGGCCTCGCGAAGCTCCTGAGAGTCTCGAGAGCGCACGAGGGCGACCCTTGGGCCACTGCCGCACAGCTCGGCGCGCGAGCCTCGTCCTCGGACGATGCGTCGCACGCGGCAGGCGCGCACGCCCGGCGACTCGCGCAACCTTGCCACCCACGGCTGAGAGTGGCGGAGCCTTCTTCGGCAGCGGGGGGAAGAGCGCGGAGAGAAGCAAGTCCGAGGAACAGGCCTAGGTCGATCGACGAGCAGTGTGCGGAGAGCGGAGTGCGGAGGAGGAGGAGCAGGAAAAGCTGCGAGGGACGGCTCGCTCTCGCGTGGCGACTTCTGCACGCAGCTCGCACGATCCTCGTCGTCGTTGCAAGCTCGAGACTGGACGCCGCACGAGAGCAGGGAGGAGCGAGGGTCCGTGCGCCACGAGGCGGGCCAAGCGGCGCGGTGCGACTGCGCGCAGCTGCCGGCTCGGCGTGGTGTTTGTGGGCAAGTCGAAGCGGGGAACGAGGCTAAAGGCGGGGTCGACACGCGGGAGAGACGGGGGAGGTGGCCGGACGACGAAACGCGAGTGCGTCGTCGAAAGAGGAGGAGAGAGGGAGGGAACGAAGCGAGAGCAGCTCGAGGGAGGGAGAGCAGTGTCGACGTCGAGGAGAGGAGGGATCGCTGCTGCTCGCCGAGGCGCACTTGCGCGTGGCAGTGAAGCGCGCAAGTCGTGGTTCTGGACTCAGAGATTGGTCCGAAGGCGGAGAGGGTCGCCTCGTCCTCCTCGCTCTCGCTGTCCCCCCCTCCCTCGTCCTCGACCACAGCTCCTGCCGCGCCAATGTCGGCTTGAACCCCTCGTCCACCTACACACCAACCTCGACACCCACCGACCCAGCAGCCCCGACCCCTCGCCGTCTCGGCAGAGCCACCCTCTCGGCTCCGCCCCCTCCCACCCCCGAGCATACAATGTCACACGCCCCACGAGCGCACAGCGCCAACAACTCGACTGCCGTCACGCTCCACTTCAAGGAGCGAGGCTCGCGCACCCCTTTGTGTGCGTCCCGCGCTCTCTCTCCCTCTGTCGTAGCCACCCTCCCCTCGCTGACCCGCGTGCGCCTCCCTGCAGACCGCCCTGCCGCACTGCGACGCAATGGTGCGCCCCTCGCTCTCTCTCAGCCACGACCAGAGCTAACTCGCACCCCTGCAGGTTCCGTCACGCGCGAGATGTACGCCCACCCGTCGCCGCCGCTGTCGCCCTCCGTCGCCGCAACCGAGGCCAAGTCGTCGTCGTGGCTCTCGTCGCTCGTGTCGCCCACCGTCGACGCCCCCAAGCAGCACCTCGACGTGTCGTGCGTCCGCGGTCGCATGCTCCCGAGGAGCCAGTGGAAGGTGCGTTGTCGTCGTCGCCGGCCCCATGTCCGAGGACCGGCTCGCCGCCCGTCTCGGAGGTCTCACTTGTCTCGCGCGGAACCTGACCCTCGCCCTCTCCCTCTCACGCAGCGCGACGACGAGACCGACCAGTGCGCCGACCCCGACTGCTCGCAGCGGTTCGACCTGCTGAACCGGCGGCACCACTGCCGGTGAGCAACCCCGCCCCCCCTCTCCTCGCTCGCGTGGCTGCCCACCTCTCGTCGAGCCATTCAGTTCCTGACTCTCGCCCTCGTCCGTCCTGCAGCACCTGCGGCGACATCTTCTGCGCGTCGCACTCGTCGCGCTCGACCTTCCTGTGGCCGTCCGGCGGCGACGATGCCGCGCCGGCCTGGACGCCTCGCGGCACCCCTCGCGCGACGCCCCGCTCGTCGGCCGTCGACCTGCCGTCGCTCGCCTACTCGGTGTCGCCCTCGGCGTCGGCCATCTCGTGCGCGTCGAGCAACAACTCGTCGTCGACCGCCTCGTCGTCGACCCCGACCTCGTCCCCGCCGAGCAGCCTCCCGTCGCTCATGCCCCTCTCGGCTCGCGTCTGCGACCGGTGCTACTTCTCGGTGCCGGACCCGTCGGGCGCGACGACGCCGCTCCTCACGCCCCCGGTACCCGGCGGCGGCGCGCCCATCAACCCGTGGTCGTTCGCCGACTCGCTCTCGCGCCCCATGACGCTCCGCCACCCGCACTCGCGCGCCTCGTCGGCCTCGCGCGCGTCGTCGCCCGCCCACTCGCCGCCCGGCGCGAGCGAGCGCTCGGGCAGCGCGACGAGGGGCGCCCAAGCGCGCTCGCGCCAGGGCAGCGCCACGTCGGGCTCGTCGTCGACGGCGCCCTCGTCGTCCGAGTACTCGACGCCGTCGACGAGCGTCGAGCGCCTCCCGGCCGCGCCCGGCTCGTCGTCGAGCGCCGGCACCTCGCCCGAGGAGCTCTGCATGGCCCAGGCCGCCCTGCAGCGCCGCCGCAAGAACTCGCTCTCGCTCGCGTCGCGACGAGCGGCGAGCGCCTCGCGCGGTGTGGCGCCGCCCTCGAGCGCCCTGAGCGGCGCCGCCGGCGCAGGAGCGGGCGCGTCTGGCCTGCGCGCGTCGAGCGTCCCGCCGAGGCGGCAGGGCTCGAGCGCAAACCTCGCCGCGCCGCTGCCGCCGTCCTCGCAGCAGGCGTACCGGGCCCAGCAGGCGTCGGCCTCGGCGTCGAGGCACAAGCCGCACGCCGAGGAGGACGAGAGCGACGCGTCGACTGAGGTCGAGGACGACGCGCCGCGAGCGGCCGACTTTGCGCCGTTTGGGCCTCCTCGTGCGGGCGCGGGGAGCGACGACGACGAGAGCGACGACGATGATGACGAGCGGCACAACGAGACGATCCGCGAGCGCAGGAGGATGCAGCAGGAGTACGGCAGCGTCGGCATGTCGTGGGCGACGTTTTGAGAAGGCGGCGCATCGTCCTTCTCCCCTTCCCTCTCTCACTCTCTCTTTCCCTCCTGCCTTAATCCTTGTCGTGCCACCTCGTCTGTGTCTCCCTCGTCCGTCGTCATCGTCACATAGACCTTAGTCCCCGCCTGTCTTTCCCCTTGTCGTCCTCGTCTACATATTCCTCGCCCCCCTTTCCTACTTCCCCTCGCGCCTCTCCCTGTGTGTGCACCCCTTCTCTCGCGACTCTTCTACGGCCTCTCTAGACGCTGTCTCTCTTCCCTTGGGTACATCTCTCTCTCTCTCCTCGTGATTGTCTGCCGAATACTGCTCGCGTCGTCTCATTCTCTCTCTTCCTTTGCCGCCGAGAGGCTCGAGAGCTCAAAGGAGGAGAACGAGTGATAGGATTACGTCGACGGGCGAGAGAAGATCTAGGACAAAGGACCAAGAGACGAGACGGCAAACGAGTGAACGAGGGAGAGAGAGAGCCTCGGCTGGAGGCTCAGGCGACGGCGTCGACGCGGCGAGGCTGCTCGCGGTGTCGCCGGACGAGGCGGTGGCGACGACCAGGTTGCGCCGAGGTGAACGAGGCCGGCGGGAGCCGAGGAGAGGACCACAGCGCGACGACGCCGCCAAGGTCGTCTGTCGGAGCGGGATCCGGCGCAGGCGCAGGCGCCGACGACGACGAGGCCTGCTCGTCGGCGGTGTCCGAGGCGCTCGACGTGCTGGACGTCGTCGTTGAGGTCGACGCCGAGGGCGACGTGCTGTGGCTGCACGAGAGCAAAGTCAGAACGTGTTCGTCGAGAGGGACCGTGCGCCAAAGGGACGCACCTGCCGGTCGCTGTGCTCGTCACACTGTCGCCGTCTGCCGCACTCGAGTTCGAGCTTGATGTGGTAGACGTCGCGGTCGTCGTGATAGGCTCGTCGGGCTCAGTCGAGGTCGAGGAACGCGGCGTTGATGCGCTCGAGGTGCGGCTGGCGGTCGTGAACGACACGCCCTCGGTCGTGCTCGACGGCGTAGTACTGTATAGAGACGCAAAGGTAAGGCTCCGGTCCACGATGGTAGGCGAGAGAAAGAGGGCGCACCTCGTCGAAGCGGACTCGGTGGAGGAAGAAGAACGCGAGGAGGCGCTCTCCTCGATCGAGGTGCTGCGCGTTGCCGTTTCCTCAGACGAAGAAGCCGGAGAAGAAGTCGCTGTGGTGCCCTGGGACGAGGTCGCAGTCGTGGAAGTGTCGCTCGCGGTCGTGGAGGACGCCTCGCTGGACGAAGGGAAGGACGAGGAGGAGGTCGCGGTCGGCGGACCGATGGGCGGGAAAGTGAGGTCGCCCGAGGTTGTCGCAGTACTGCGTAGAAGGCGAATGAGAGAGGGCGACGACTGGAAAGAGTGAGGAAGACGCACCTCGTCGTCTCGCTCTCGGACGAGCTGCTCGATCGAGTGGCGGTCGACAACGTCGTCGGGTCGAACAGGCCGCACCCGCCAACGATGACCGGCAGGCTTGGGATGCAGGTAGGCGATGCGGTGGCGCTGGTCGTGCTGCAGAGGGGACGGCAAGTTCAGTGTCGGGCCAGGGATGAGAAGGTCGACGAGGACGCACCTTGACGTCTGCTCGCTCGTGCTCGACGGCTCCCTCGTCCTCGACGATCCGGTCGTACTCGGCTCGGCGAGAGTCGACGTCTCAGCGCAGCCGCCGAGGAAGGGCGGCAAGCCCGGGATGCACGCCTCGGTCGTCGTCGGGAGCGCTTGAGAGGAAGACGATGTCGAGGCCGGCGTCGTCGACGACGACGCAGATCTGCTCGACGACGCAGAAGTCGACGAGCCCGCCGTGGACGTCGTCTCGCCGATGCCGCAGCCGCCGAGGAAGAGCGGCAGTCCAGGGATGCAGGATGCGGTCGGCGTCGTCGAGACGGCCGTCGAGGTGGACGAGCTTGGAGCGCTTCTGCAAGGTCAAAGTGTCAGACCGCGGTGCTCGAGGTACAGAAGTAGATGAGGGGACGGACGAGGAAGGGCTGCTCGTCGTGACTGGGTCTGTCGCCGTCGAGGAAGGTGCTCGAGAAGGCGACAGCGTGAACGACGGGAAGCCGGCCGACTCGCTCGTTCTGCACGGTACACTTCGAGTCAGTCACTGAAAGACCCATCGAGGAAAGCTGGGACGCACGATCGAGTGGCGGAGCTGCTTGAGCTTCCGCTCGAGGACGGGACCTGGGTCGAGCTGGTGCTGCTCGACGGCAGCGACGGCGCAAAAGTGCTGGTCGATGCCGCCGTCGTCGTACTGCTGCGGGTCGTAGGAGCGACTGGCGGCGTCGTACTGGCGGACGATGGCGACGGCGTGGTGCTGCTGCTCGGCGGAGGAAGCGCCGGCGAGCTGCTCGAGGTCGACGATGCGGACGAGCTGCTGCTGCTCGCGCTCGACGGCGGAAGACGTGTGGGCGTACTGGTCGTCGAGCTCGTCGATGGCGCGATGCTGCTCGTCGTAGCCGGCGGAGCTGCGGTGCTGATTGGCGGAATGACTGTCAAGCTGCTGGACGAGCTCGGCGGCCGCAGCGTGCTGCTACTCGAGGTCTCGGCGGCGGCAGAGGAGGCCGATGATGAAGAGGGGATCGGCGTGGAGGTGGGAGAGGTGGAAGGGGGAGGTGTGGTGGGTCGAGAGCTCGAGGACGAGGGGGGTTGGGCGACCGTGGACGAGGTTGAGCGGGTCGTCGACGAAACGAGCGTCGATCTGGGGTCGTCTGGATCTCAGTCTCTGTCACTTGTACACAGGGGAAGAGCGACGCACGAGCTGGTGGATCTCTCGCTCGACGCGATGGTGGTCGACGAACTTGATGACCTGGATGCTCGAGGGTCAGTGCGCGCCTTTTGCCCTGAAAGAAGAGGCATCGGGACGCACCTCGTCGCAATCGGTGGGCTCGCCGAGGTAGAAGTTGCTGTCGCGGGCGCTGACGTCGACGTTGCCGGCCTGACGACGGTCAAGTCGTCAAAGACGGTGCGGTACACGGTCGCGGCGCCGAGTTCTGCAGCAGTCAAATCGTCAGACCGGCTCCTCATAGGGGACGAGATAGAGAAAGGACGCACCTCCTTGCAATGTGCGCGTCACGAACGCGTTTGCGCCGGCGACGAACCGAGTGACCGTCGCGACGATGACCTCCTGCCCGTCGACCGTGACCGTCTCGGAGGCCCTGCTGAACCGCTCCCGCCGAGGTCGCGGACACCGTGATGATGGGCAGGGTGACGACTTGCTGGACGGTCGACACGTCGCCGTTGTCGAGCGTGCGGTACGACGAGCGGGTGACGATCGAGGCCGTGCGCGTCTGGATGAAGGTCGTGACGCCGTCGACGACCGTCGTGTAGCCGAGAGCGTGGTCGTCGGCGCGGTACTTCTTGTCGTTGTCGCGAGTGCTGACGACCGCGGCGGGAACGATGGCGACGATGAGGACGGCGAGGAGGGCGAGGAGGAGAACCGCCTTCATGCCGCGTGTGAGGCGGAGGCCGGTGCTTGACGGAGCGGTAGTCGTGGCATAGCGACGCTCTGTGCCCGGGGTCTGTGTGCGAGAGGTGAGGGTCAGGTCGAACGCGGCGGGCTGGCAGAGAGGCAGAGGAAAGCGGACGCACCCAGGAGCGGGACACTCCGCTGGTCGACATGGCCGCGGCGTCTGGTTGAGACGAGTGTGGGTGGCGTCGAGCCGTTCGAGGTGCAAGCTGGCGAGTCCCAGGCCAAGAGCGAGAGCGCCAGCATGGACGAGAGCGACGAGACGGTGCGAGCGATGAGACGCTCGCGGACGCGCGGACAGGAGGCCCGGCGTACGCTTGACCGAGCGTACGAGCCGCTGGCCGGGGTGGGAGCTCTGATCGAGCCAACGCGGTCGGAGGTGAGCCGGCCCCGCGGCAGCAGCCGGCCTCGCGAGCTGATGAGGCGGCGGGGAGGGGAAGGGCCAGCTGCGCTCCGAGGCTGCCAGCGAGTGCCGTACGAGGCGCTCAGCCTAGGCATTAGGCTGCTCTGGGCCTGCGCGCGCTACGCGAGCGGCCACAGGCGATGTCGATAGAGCGTAGAGTTCGTCGCCGCCGTCAGCCTCCGAGTCGAGCAAGTCGGGCGTGCGGCTGTCCAGCGGCCGCCGCTTGCCAGTCTTTCGTGGCCATGCTTTCAAGAGGCTGGGAAGAACCGCTCGCTCGCTGCAGACCTTGGCTGGAAAAGAGGTGCGACTGCACGAGAGGACGAAGGCCCGGCGCAAGAACTGCGGCGCGAGGGCTAAGGGGAATGCTACAGCTATAGATAGACGGGAGGAGAGAGTACTGCAGCCCCTGAAGTACAACGGGGAACGTCCATGCGATGGAAGAGAGAGAGAGGGAAAGAGGGGAAAGAGGGAGGGAGAGGAGGAGGAGGGAAAGAGGTCGTCGCTCGGCGAGCGGACGGTCACGATTCGTCCTCGGGGATGTGGAACGTCGAGGCGAACATGGCCTCGTCCGAGAGGTGGGTCGCGACCGTGTCGTAGACGTGGAGGAGAAGTTGCGGGAAGCGGGTCGTAAAGTACGAGAGGAAGCCGGCCGGGAGGTCGCCGAGCGCCTTGCGGACCGACTCGGGCAAGTCCTGGTAGTGGTGCTTCTGTAGGGTGCGTAAGAGAAACATCAGTGAGGAAGATGGCAGGAGGCGAGGGGGAGATGACGGCGACGCACCTTGTTGCGCAGGACCCGCAGCAAGTCGCGCACGCTCGCGCCGTCGTACTTGCGATACTTGCCGAGATTGTCGAGGAACGTGCGGTCGAGCGCCTTCTGCCAGTCGTCGCCGACGATCTCGTGCGAGCGATGCTCGAGCGTGAGGAGCGTCGGCTCGGGCGGGTCGCGCGTCATGATCTCGAACCGGTCGGACGCGTCGCAGATGAAGAGGAGGCGCTTCTGAGCGTTCCAGAAGAAGGGGTGGAGGAGGACGAGGTCGGCGGACGGGCTGCGAGAGAGAGAGAGAGTGGAAGAGGGTCAGGGAGGCACCTCGGGTAGGAGGACGAGGCCCGAGGGGAAAGAGGAAGAGGGACGCACCGTTCTCGAGGGTCGGTCGCGACCATGCGCAGGATGAGGTCCTGCACCTCGACAGCCTCCTCGCCGAGCCCATCGAGGCGGTCGAGGCTCGCCTTGCCGTTGAGGATGTTCATCTCGCGCTCGTACCGGCCGCCGAACGGGTGCTCGCCGCGCGTCAGGACGTAGTAGAAGATGCACCCGAGCGAGAAGATGTCGATCGAGCGCGTGAGGCGCATGCTCGGGTCGGTCGACGTGAGGCCGGCCAAAGTCGTCGACGAGCCGCCCGAGCCGACGCTCGCCGATGGCGTTGCCGCGCCGGACGAGTTGACGCCCTCGTTCGGGTCGACGAGCCCGCGCAGGACCTCGGGCGCACGATACCCGAACGAGCCCGCGGCGTGGTTGAACGTCTGCTGGAACGACGACTCGTCGACGTCGAGCTTCTTGCACAGGCCAAAGTCCGAGATGAGCATGCGCAGGCCCGGCTGGCCGCGCTTGGCCGTCGAGACGAGGATGTTCTGCGGCTTGATGTCGCGGTGCACGATCTTGAGCGAGTGCAGGTGCCGCAGGCCCGACGTGATCTGGCGCAGGGCCCGCTTCGGGTCGAGCTGGACGACGAGGTCGGGGAACGCGAGCGGCTGGTCGACGAGGTCGAACAGCGACGCCGGACACAGCTCGAGGGCGATGTACAGGAACGTGTCGCGCTGCTCCTTGCAGAAGTACCGGATGACGTGCGGGTGGTCGTCGGCGTCCTGGAGCAGGTTGACCTCGTGCGCCGCGATCGTGACAAAGTCCTTGAGGAGGCGCTTGACGGCGACGGCACGACCCTGGAACTCGCCTCGTAGAACGACGGTGCCGTGCGACCCATAACCTGAGGGGAGAAGGCGAGTAGAGTCAGTCTCGGGGCCGGTCGGGGCAGGAAGAGGAGGAGTCGAGGGGGACGCACCGAGGATCGTCTCGCTCACAGCCAGGCCGCCCACCACCTGCGGGTCGAGTGGCGCGCTCCGTACCGCCGCCTCGCTCGACACCTCGACTGCCGCCGTGCTCGAGGGTGCGCTCGCGCCGACCACCTCGCCGTCGACCCCTCGTCCCTGCGCATCCGCCTGCGCGCCCAGCGCGTCGTCGTCCCTCGTCTCGCGCTCGCTGAGCGTGATGCCCTCCAACAGCTCCTTGTCCCCTCCCGGCGCGCCGAGCTCGTCGTCGAGCCCGAGGCCCGTGACCCCTCCTGCTCCTCCTGCCGCCGCGCCCTCCTTGGGCTTCTTCTTCTTGGCGCCGCGCCGGCGCCGGTTGCGCTTGCGCTGCGGCGTCCCGGACCCGGTGCCGCCGGCGCCGTCCGACTCGGCGCCGTCGTCGAGCGGCGTGATAGCGCCCGAGGCGAGCGTCGGCGACGAGAACGACACCTCGGGCGACGACGAGTCGCCGTCGTCGAGCGCTATGGGCGCACCGAGGAAGGTGGGCTCGTCGAGGGCGGAAGGAGGGAGGGGTGGAAGGTCCTTGGACAGGGTGAGGGAAGAAGAAAGGGCCGACGAGGAGGACACCGACGACGCTCGCCCGCGCCCGCCCGCCGCTCCCGCCGAGCCGCTCGCCACCGCACCGCCCTGCTGCGCGAACGACGCGCCCGTCGGCGTCGGCGGCGTCGACGGCGAGCGCTTCCTCGCGCCGCTCGCCCTGGCCGCCCCGCTCGGCGCCTTCTTGAGCGCCGCGAGTGGGCGCGCCGCGCCGCCGCGCACGTCCTCCTCGTCAGGCGGCGTCCCAGGCAGCTCGTCCTCCTCCGTCTCGGTGCTCGCCCGCCTGGCGCGTCCCTTCTTGGCGGCGGCGGCGAGTCGGACCTTGGGGCCGGCGCCTGCGCCGCCCTGCTGCCCCTGCTTGAGCCGGCCCCACGCCCATGCGGCGAGCACGAGGAGCGCGACGCCGAACGTGAGGCGCGCCGTGCTCGCGCCGCTCGCCTCGCCGAGCCCTCGGAGCGGGCGTACGACGCCCGACTTGTACAGCGACGCGAGCAGGGTCGACGAGCCGGGCTGGTGCGGCGAGCGGCGGTTCGGGGTCGGGACGGTGAGGTCGTCGTCGAGAGGAAGGGAGGGCGAGGTCGATACGGGCTCGGCGGTGGAGGAGGAGGGTCCGTCGAGGAGGAGCGGCTCGGACGGGGTGGCCGGGTCGATCGTCGCGTCGAGCGCGATGGGCGATACGGGCGGCGGGTTGCGCAACTTGTGCCGGCCAATGAGGCAGTCGACGCCGTGGCACGGCTCGCGAGCGGGCGGGAGCGGCGCGTCCGCCTCGCCGTCGTCCTGCGAGACGCCGTCGCCATCGTCCTCGAGCCCATCGCCGCCGAGTCCTGCGCGCGCCACCTCGGCGACCTGCGCAAAGGGTACGAGCGGGAACCGGTCCCGGCTCATGGCGAACAGCTCGCCCTCGCCGCTCATGGCGCCGCCTCGCGGCCCTCCTCCCAAGGGCGCGCCGATGCGGCCGACGAACGTCGCCGCCGGCTCCTGCTGCAGGACGGCAAAGTCGAGCGGGAGGTCGTCGACAAGGAGAGGGTGCGGCTGCTCGAGCATGATGGGCGAGGTCGGCGCGGACGACGAGGACGAGGTGGACGGGAGGGGCACGACGACGTCAAAGACGCTGACGACGGGCGCCTCGAAGTTGATCGACCAGTGGTATCCCGGTGCGCCGGCGCGGAAGCAGACGAGGGAGCCGTCGTGCATGGGCTGGAGGTAGAGCGAGTCGGGCGTGCGGGTCCAGGTCGACTGGGACGGGTAGTTGGGCGAGGCCGGGGCGTGAGGAAGGGCCGACGACGAGTAGGTCGTGTACGACAGCGTCTGGAGAGGGAGGGCAGACGTCGTGTCGTAGATCGAGAGGTGGTACTCTGCAGAACGGCCGAGGTGCGAGTCAGGACGACGTCGAGAGAGGGAGAGAGAGAGGGGGGGAGAGCGGAACGCACCGGTGCGCGCCATGTACAGCAAGTCGTGCGGTCGCTGATCGATGTCCTCCTCGTAGTCCTTCTCGACGGCGCGACCGCCGGTCATGAGCTCGTCGGCGTCGTCCCACTCGCACCAGCCGGCGTTGCTGCCGAACACGCCGACGAGCCGGCCCGTCTTGAGGTCGACGCCGACGAACTTGGTGTTCTTGCTCGCCGAGAACATGCGGCTCGCGTCGCCCGGGAACCGGAACGGCGACAGGGCGACGAGCTCCTGCATCGACAACGGGAGCTTGTCGAGGCCGCCGGTCGAGCGCGAGTAGACGTAGATGTCGCCGGCGCCGGTCGGCTCAATGATGTACGTCTCGTCGTCCTCGACTGCAGCGTCGTCTGCATCGCCGACATCGACGCCCGTCTCGTTCGGCGCCGCCGCCGAGCCGCCCCTCGTCGCCGCTGCCCCACCTCGGCGCCGGCGACCCTGGCTCTGCACGAGCGGGCCGTGGATGGCGTCGCCCGCGCTCGACCGGCGCGCGTCCCTCGCCCCTCGTGCGCCGCCGCCGACGCCGCCGAGCGCGATACCGCCGTCGTCGTGCAGGGTCCAGACCCACTGGCCCGTGTCGCGCTTGAGGGCGTGCACCTGGCCGTCGACCGTGACGGTGAGGACGAGGTGCGACAGGCGGAACCCGGCGTCGCCGTCTTGATCGTCGGGTTGCGGGTCGAGGTGGTGCGGGATCTGGACGGCTGGCGGTGGGGCGTTGAAGCGAACAGAGCGGATCGCCTCGGGGAGCGGGTGCTGGGGCCGGTCGGTCGGGCGCAGGTGGGCAGGGAGGGGTGCCGGTGCTCGTGCTGAGCGCTGTGTGGCGAGTGCAGCTGGTTCTGGTGCGGCGTGGGCGCGCGAGGTGACCGAGGCGAGGACCGAGATGAGGAGGACGAGGAGCGCTCGTGCTCGTGCTGGGGGCGAGGGCATGGCGAGGGCGGCGCGGGTGGTGCGGCCAGGCGAGAGCTGCAGTCTCGCCTGAGTGGGTCGTGCTGCTGTGCTTGTCGCTGCTCGAGGGGTTGAGGGTCGTGTGAGGGAAAGGCGGGCGGCCGGGAGAGCTGCCGCGAACAAGAGCTGCATCGCTTCTTCCACTCTCGCCTCTGCGTGGTCTGCTGTAGCCCGGAAGCAGCTCAGGGAGCTTTCGTACGCTGCTTGAGCCGACCAGTGCACAGCCGGGCGAGAGCCGGATCCGCGTCTCGCACTTGTCGGCGGCGCGCGCTCGAGCCTCGCCGCTCACCTCGCTTCCTCGTTCTACGGCTCAAGTAGCTTGCGCAAAGGCGTCCTTTTCGCACGGTCGCCAAAGGCGGAACCAGGTGATCGAGGATCTGCCCTTCAGGCTTCCCCGCGTCGACCGACGCCATCGTCGCAGCGCGCGAGCGCGGCCGACGACGCACTCGAGCCTCAACCTCGCTCCTCGTCGCTCGCTCGGCCCGACGACGCTTGGCTCTGCTCTCCACCCTCTCAGCAAGTCCACACGCTGGCCTCGCTCTCTCGCTCTCTCTTCACTCGCCAGCTCGTCACCGCACCAGCTCGCCTCGTCTCGACTCGCCGCACCTCGCCGTTCACCCACACCTTCCACTCGACTACTTTCATCATGGGTTCTGACGCCGACGTTCACACGGCGTACAAGAAGAACTTTGCGCCCAAGAAGTTCGAGCAGAACCTCCCCGGCTCGGACGCCGACATGGAGCCGCTCGCCGAGCACGTCCGTCCACCTCTTTCTCTTTCTGTTTCTACCCTGCGCTCCTCTCGAGCGACGCCGGCTGACACGAGAACCCGTCCGCAGACCAAGATCGAGCGCTGGCACCGCGGCGAGCCCCGCCTCGAGGAGTACGTCGGCTCGAACAAGCTCCAGGGCAAGAAGGCCATCATTACCGGCGGCGACTCGGGCATTGGCCGCACCGTCGCTGCGTTCTTCGCTCGCGAGGGCGCCGACGTCACGATCAACTACCTCGAGTCGGAGGAGAAGGAGTGCGTCCGCCTCTTTTCCCTCGCCTCGGCGCGTCGGGTCCTCCTTCACGACGGCCCTTCCCGCGCCTGAATGTTGCAGGACAGGCACGTACTGACACGACGACTCTCGCGCAGCGCCCAGATGACCAAAAAGCTCGTCGAGGAGGCCGGCCAGAAGTGCCTCCTCTTCCCGGGCGACCTCAAGTTCCACGAGACGCGCGAGAAGCTCGTCGCCGCTCACCTCAAGGAGTTCAAGGACCTCGACATCCTCGTCAACAAGTGCGTCGAGCATGTTCCTCGAGCGGTCCCAGAGGTTCGCAAGCCGTCACTGACACTTTGCCGCACTCAGCGCCTCGCAGCAGATCCAGTGCCCCGACCTCGCCGACATCGACATGAAGAACGTGTCCGAGACTTTCGAGACCAACATCGTCGCCATGATTGGCCTTGTGAGTAGCGCCTTTCCCCAGTCACAGGGCGACATCCACGCCGTTGTTGGCGACCTTCTCAAATCGCGTTTGACCTTCTCTCGGTCCCTCTTTGCAGGCCAAGGTCGCGCTCCCGTACCTCAAGCGCGGCGATGTCATCATCAACACGACGTCGGTCACGGCCTACGTTCGTCCCGTTCGCCTGCCGTCCCACGTCTCGGCGCCGCCACTGACCCGTCGTCCTCCCTCTCGTCCTTTTCTCCTCCCCCTCACTCCTCTCCCCCTCTTGCAGAAGGGATCAGCCGCTATGCTGGACTACGCCTCCAGTAAAGGCGCCATCGCCACATTTACGCGTGCGCTCGCCGTCCAGCAGCTCGAGAAGGGCATCCGCGTCGTCGCCGTTGCGCCCGGCCCGGTCTACACGCCGCTCCAGCCGGCTTCGCGCCCTGCCGAGCAGATGGAGGGCTGGTCGGTCGGCTCGGTACGTCCTCGCTCGCTCCCTGCCGTCGTCGTCGCTATCGACGACGCCGCCGTCGTCGAACCTCCCGCACTGACCCTCCTTTTCTCTCGGGCAGTCCTCGCTCATCCACGGTCGGGTCGGCCAGCCCGCCGAGCTCGGCGAGTCGTATGTGTACCTCGCCACGTCGAACCTGTCGACCGGCACCATCGTCCACCCGTACGTCGGCCTCTTCCCTTTTCCCTTCCCTTGGGCCTCCTTCGAGTCTCGCACTGACACCCTGCACCCTGCACGTTCCCGACAACAGCAACAGTGGGCAGTACCAGATTCCCTGAATGAATCACGTCTCGCAGCGTCGCCGTACATAGCCTGGAACCCACGCTTGAGATCTCGCCGTCCCTCGAGTCGCCCGGAAAGCTCTCAGCCTCTTCTCGTCCGTTGGCAGCCCGTGTCTCTGCCTCTCTCGGCTCGCGAGAGTGTCCGAAAGCTCTCGCCGAGCAGACGTGCCCCGTCGAGAGCGGCGACTGGCCTCGAGAAAGCGTGTGCGTCGAGGCGGTCCGAGCGGCGGAGCGGCAGAGGTGCTGCGCACGGACGCTCGACGTACTCTGCGCGCCCAGCACTCGTGCGAGCTGAGTGACAGTCGCCTCGAGAAGTCTGTAATACAGCCACGTCTCGAACAGCGCCGTGGAGAAAGGTCGGCCGACGAGGAAAGCGACCTTGAGAAGGTCGCTTGCGAAGGTCGCTCTCTTTCTCTCAAAGCTGGGTCTCTCTCGTGGCAGCAGAGGATGCGACTCGGAATAGAGAGGTTGGCAGTCGAAGAAAAGGGAGGAAGTACGAAAGGTCTGGCCACAGGGCCAAAGGACGACCCGCTGCTCGGCTCGCGCTCAGACAAACTGCTCGGGCGGGAAGGCCTGCGGGAAGGCCTGCGGGAGAACGAGGAGGTGAGCACCATGGCTGCAGAAGCTCGAAGGAAGCGGAACGAGCGACGTACGAGGCGGTGGATGCTGTGGAACGCTTGGGCAAAAAGGCCCTCGACTTGTCGCTCGCGGCTCGCTCGCGCCTCGCCGGCCGGGGCGTCGCGGATCGACGGCCAGTACCTGTAGAAATGGGACGACGGCGAGTGAGCAACACCCTGGGTCCAGCTCTGAGGAAAGGGAAGGGAGAGAAAGAGTGGACGAGGACGCACGGTGCGAGGACCTCGACGCACTGCTTGGCGCACGCCGTTCGACTCGCCGTCGCGCCGAACCTCCGGATGAGCCAGTCGCGGAAGACATCGTGGTGTCCGACAAGCGCGCCGGCGAAGGACGGCGATGGCGGGGCAAAGAGCTCCTCGGCAAAGGCGCCGAACCCGGCGAGCTGGCACGACAGGAGCTCGCTGCTGTACATAGGGCTCCCCGTCGCGGCATTCACCATGGCGGTGAAGGCCTGGACCTCGTACATCACCATGCAGTTCAACGCGGCGACGGCAACCACGGCCGGGTTGTGCGCGGTGTACAGCGGCGAGAGGCGGTCGTCGGCGCTCCACATGCGCACGAGCTGGTACGCGAGGTCGACGTGAGCTGGTGCGGCGCGAAGCTTGACGTAGTTGTCCGGGCTCTGGACGGCGTGGGCGAGAGGGCCCGACGGCGGGATGAGGAACTCGACAACGTGCATGGCGCCGAGCGGAATGCCCGGGTGCGGCCGCAGGACGAGGCGGTGGTGGACGAGCGGCAAGCTGCGCGCATGAGAGTCAGTACCAAGACGCGTAGAAGGAAGAGGCAGGAGAGGAGCGACGGACCTCCAGGAGGATGTGGCTGGCGGCTGCGGGAAGGCTGCCCGGTTGGGGAACTGCTGCGGCCCGTGGTAGCGAGGAACGAGGAGCTGACCGAGTCGGTGAGGCGGAAGGTGCTGCGGGTCGTAGCGCTCGAAGCTGCTATAGATGGCGTCGCCGACGACGTCCTCGAACCCTTGCAGCGACAGGCGCGACGGCAGCTCGACGATGAACTCGATGGGCTGCGTGCGTGCGAGTGCGTCAGTAAACTTTGAGACAGTAGAGAGCTGAAAGGAGGACGCACCTGAAGGTGCGCCGGAAGGCCGACGGCGACCAGCGCCTCGTCGACAAGCTCGTGCAGGTCCCAGACGGCGATCCTGGCGGCGGATGCACGAACGACGGCGCCAACCGAACCTGTATGTACACTCGTGTCAGTACTCGCCTCGAGACAGGGAGAGGGCGAGAGCGAGGGACGCACCGAGGGCAAAGAGAGCGATGTTGGCGTGGTGCGGCGGCATTTCGAGAGCTTTGCGGTGCTGGGACGCTCGTTGCACAAAGTCGATCGTCGCCTTCTGAAAGACGCAGGCTGCTGCCACTTGACCCGCACCGCCTTCGCTCGTGACGAGCTCGGGGCTCTCGACGACGGCGGCGTCGACTCGATGGCGACCGAAGTGCGGCGGCGGTGGCGGCGGCGGCGGCAGCTGCCCAGCGCGAGCGCCTGGCCAGAACGGGTCGTGCTCGTCGTCCAAGTGCGGCATGAGGACGCGAACGAGGAAGGAGCGGCCGGGAGGAGAGGAAATCGGTCGACAGTCGTCGTTCGGAAACGCCGACCGCGGAGGTTCCGCGGTCTGTCCGAGGAGCAGCCCGAGCACCGGCGAGCGAGAAGCAGAGACAGGAGATGACGAGGCACGAGCGCGAGCGCGATCGCAGAAGCCGCGGCAAAGCCGCACAGAGGAAAGCGCGAGTCGTCGTTGCGCTCAGGCCGCCTCGCCCGTGTACCCGCTCCACGGCTGTCCCTCGGCGCCGCCCGAACCCGCAGGCGCACCCGCTCCTCCAGCCGCTCCAGGCAGGCCCATGGCCGTCCACTCGAGCCCGGGCAGGAGCGCGCCGTCGGTCGCGCCGCCGGCGAGGCCGAGCCCAAAGTCGTCGTTGAACGCGTGCGAGCCGATGCCTGGCTGTGTCGAGTCTGTGCCCGAATGAAGAGTGAGCAGCTGATCTTTCAAAGGAGGAGAAAGGAGAGGCAAAAGAGCGAAAAGGCCACGCACAAAAGTCGTCGAGGAACGGGTTGACCTCCGAGAGCAACGACGCCATGGCCTGCGCCGCATCGCCCTTCCTCCCTGCTCCCGCCGCGAGCGCCGTCGCCTCGGCCGGCGTCGTTACGGGCCGTCCCGTGCTGTACTGCGACGGCGCCGTCGGGGCCGAGACCGGCGCAGGCAGTGCGCCCGAGGAAGACGACGACGCCGCCGCCGACGTCGCGACGGACAGGTCGGGCATGACGAACGAGCCGTCCTGCATGCGGAGCGGGCCCGAGAACGAGCCCGACGGCGTGTTGCTGTCCCACAGCCACGAGTCGAACGACGAGACGGGCGGGCGAGGTGGTGGCGGCGGCATGCTCGACGAGCCCGACGGGTCGGCGAAAGGTGAGGGAAGGCGCATGCCGGGCGTCGACGACGAAGAAGAGGGGAAGGTCGACGGGCGGGCGAGGGTGGAGGACGGGTTCGTGACGATGTGCGAGAGGGAGCTGGGCGAGTGGAGGGGAGGGATGACGGGCGAGCGCCGGTGCCCGCCTGAGTTGGACACCGGCGAGGGCGCGCCGTGCGCCTGCGGGCTCGCAGCGCTCAAGCCGACGCGCAGGATGACGTCGACGAGGAGGGCGTGGCGGCGAGCCGGGTGGTCCGGGTTGGGCGAGATGCCCGTGAGGAAGGCGGCGCCGAGCTCGAGCAGGCACGGGAGCTTCTGCCCGGTCGCAAGAGGTTGCGGCGTGTCGAGGTCGCAGCCCGCCTCGTAGTCGGCTTGGCGCGTCTCGATGTCGCACGTGATGAGGCCCTGCAGGCGAGCACCGAGTCAGTCTATGCGCACGAGGAGGGAAGGGGAGGCGAGGGGACGGACCGCCGACGCCATGCGGACGAGGAACAGGAGCGAGTAGACGAATGCCTGCAGGAGTCGAAGAGAGGGAGTCAGCAAGAGGCGGCGAGGGGTGGAGCGAGGAGAAGATGGGACGCACGATGCAGGTCATCGTGTCGAGCGCCGTCTTAAAGTCCTCGGTGATGCGCGGGTCGAGGTTGAGCGGCGCCCGGAAGCCCTTGGTCGGTGGTGGCCACTTGGACTCGCGCATGAGGCTGTTGCCCGCCGTCGCCTCGGTCGAGACGATGAAAATGGCCGTCTCGGCGGCCTGAGCGGCCCGATGCAGGTGCTGCCAGTCACTGTGGACGCACAGAAGATCGTGAGCTCGTGCTCGTCTTGAGACGAGCAAGAGAGAGAGAGGACGCACTCGGTCGTCAATCTTGGCCGACCCTCCTTGCCGTGCTCGAGCTCCTTCTTGCGCTCGAGGTCCCACCGCGTGAAGACGGCGCCGTTGACGGCGAGGATGACGAACTGGGCCGACGTCTGGACGACCGTGTACGCGAGCGGGTCGCCTCGCGTCTGCATCTCGGCGAGGAGCGGCGCCCAGTGGGCCCGCCACGCGTCGAGCTCGGCGTTGATGCGGTTCAGGTTCTCGAGGCGGTACCGCACCGGGTTGCTCGTCGCCGCCATCGACGTCGGGAGCGTGACGATGCTGTACAGCTCGAGGATCGACGCGCGGCGCACGTCGGTCGGGTCGGCGGCGAACGCGGCAAAGCGGCGAGTGATGCGGAGCGCGCTCGTCGGGTCGGTCCACGTGAGGCGCCCGCTCTGCAGCGACCCGAGCGCGTCGGCGCCGACGACGGTGCACCACAGGCGGAACTCGGCGAGGGCGCGCTTGCGCTCGTCCTGCGTCGCCTGCTCGAAGTTGTCGAGGACCCGGGTGAGGAGGGTCGGCGACTGCGGGACCGAGATGAAGGTGGCCGCTCGCTGGATGAGCGAGTGGAGCATGAGGGACGACAGGGCGTTGATCTTGCTCGCGTGGACGATGCGGGACGACGACTTGAGGCCGCGGTGGGCGTAGGCGGCCGTCTGAATCGGCTTGTAATACAGCAGGAGGAGGATGGCGCGAACGAGGTCGCGCGTGAACATGACCGGGTCGGGCGCGAGAATGTGGGCGACGAGGAGCTCGTGCACGATCGAGTTGAGCCCGTCGTAGACCTCGCGAGCGCGAGGGCTCGTCGACGTGTTGTAGTAGTTGGTGACGAGGAGGATGACGTGAACTGTGTGCGGCAGGGTCGTCAGTCATCGTCTCATAAGAAGCCGTGTGTAACTGTCGCCCAGGGAAAAGGGGAAGAGAGGGAGGACTCACACAGGAACGGCGCCTTCTCGCGAACGACGAGGGGCGACCTCCTTTCGACGACAGGGATCCAGGGCTGTATCCGCTGCACGTAGCTGCGCTCGTTCCGATGTCAAAATGTGCTCGAGTGGCTGTCGCAGAGACGAGCAAGAGAGAGAGGACGCACAAGTTGAAGGCGATCTGGACGTCCTCGAACGAGACGAGCGCGCGAGCGAACGCGTCGGGCCGGTTGCTCCTCGGCTCGTTCTTGGCCCTCCACTCGAGCTCCTCGAGGTCGTAGTTGTTGTCGGCCTCGCCGGCGAGCAGCCCTCCCGCCGGCTCGTCCTCGTCCATGCCGTGCTCGCCCTCCTCGCGGCTCATCTGCTCCATGGTCGAGACGAGGACCTGCAGCGGATTGGTGTCGGCCGGAAGCTCGACCGACTCGGGTCGTGCAGGTGTCGAGGCGGCGGACGCGTGAGGTAGGTCGAAGGTTGGCGGGGCGAAGGAGGATGAGGACGGGTCGACGGGGCGCAAGCCGGCGCGGCGGTCCGCCTCGAGGCCGGCCTCGATCGACGTGAGGCGAGCGCTCAGCTCACGTAATCTGCGATTGGCGAGGGGCGTCACGACTGAGGGACAAGGGGGAGAGGGAGCGAGAGTTGGACGCACGCTGCAGCGACGTCCTCGTTTCCTCCTGCGCTCGCGGCGGGCGCGCCGACTGCGCTCGTCGACGCCGCCGGGCCGTTGGCGACGCTCGGCTGCACTCGTACGGCGGTTCGAGGCACCTGGCCGTCCGGGTACTCGCACGAGATCGAGTAGAGCTCGCAGCGGCGGCAAGGGTGTCGAGTCGCGCCGTCGCACTTCTGCCTGTCGCGGGGAGATGCACGGCATGGTCAGCTCGTGTCCTGTCGAGAGCTACTCGACACGCTGCGCTATGCCCAGCTGCGCTCGTGCTCGTCGCCCATCTCGCCCCCACTCGTCTCGCGGGTTCGAGGTGCCCACTCGCCGCCGACATGCGCCAAGGGACCGGCTGCACGTCCTGCGGCTCCACCATGGCTCTGAATCGTCTGCCCTGCCACCCGGAGCCGCCCGTCGCGCCCTCGAAGGAGGCCAAACATGCCGAGGAGATGCGAGGGGCTCACTTGGTCGAGCTGCAGGCGATGCAGGCCTGGCGTTTGCGCCCGGGTCGCGTCTTGCCCGTGGCGGGCTGGATGTCGCCCATGCGGCTCGCTCGAGCGGTCGAGCAGAGCAGAGCGGGTGTGGAGTGAGGCGAGGAAGCGCCGAGCCGGGGAAGCCCGATCGCGCAAGTCGACAACACAGTCGACCACGGCTCGTGGACAGGGTCGACTAGTACTGTGATGCTTGCAAAGCCTCTTTGTGCCTCCTCGTGTCCAGCAGAACGCGCCGCAAAGAGGCGACTCAGTCGTCGCTACTCGCCGGCGAGGCTGTCGTCCTCTCTCCCTCCGCGACGACGACGCCAAGCACCGCTGCACGCTGCTGTCCAGCTCCCGAGAGCGCTTCGGCAGGCGGCCGTGCCCGCAGCACAAAGGCCCGCCGGCTCCGACGGCTTCCCTGCACTCTTGCGTCTTGTCGGCTCCTCTCGCGTGCTCGCTGTCGACATCGCCACGAAGGGGGCGACCTTGTGGAGGCGCATGGCCGACACGCTCCTCTGCTCAAGCTTCTCTACCGCCACGCTCCAGCCATGCCCGTCGCTACCGAGACCCTGTCCCGCACGCTCGACTCGCTCTCGCTCAAGGGCAAGGCGACGGCGACCAACGGCACCTCGTCCGCCAAGTCGCTCTTCAACGGCGACCTCAAGGTCCAGCCTCTCGAGCCCACCGGCGCCCTCGACCAGTTTGAGCGCGAGGAGCTCGCCACCGCGCTGGGCGACCGGTTCGCGCCCAACGTCCGCCTCAAGGAGATCCTCGCCCTGCCCAAGGACGAGGGTGACGCCATCCTCCGCGACCTCACGATCCTCAGTGCGTCGACTCTTCCTCCCGAGCCGGCGGCCCTCTCGACGTCGCGTTGGCGACGGTCGGACCCTTCGAGAATCGCTCGCTGACCTTGTCCTCTTCCCCTCCCTCCCTCCTTCTCCGACCTCGCCTTCTTCGTCGACCTGGACAATCCCTCATCGCGCCTCTCTCAGTCTCTCTGCGCGGCGTCGTCTTCTTCCAGGACCAGCACGAAATCGTCCCCGAGGACATTGGCCGCCTCGCGCTCCGACTCGGCGAGCTCGCCGGCAAGCCCGAAGACTCGACCCTGCACATCCACCCGACGCAAGAGCTGTCGGAGAGCGGGCTGCCTCTCGGCAAGATCTCGTCGACGCCGGACAAGGAGGGCCGCCAGATCTCGTTCGCCGAGAAGGGCCTCACCTCCTCTGGGTGGCACACCGACGTCGGTGCGTCCTCTTCTCTCTCCCTCACTCTCCCATTGGTGGCCTCGGTGGACCCCTGAGCGAGCTCGACGTTGGAGCCTGCGCTGGCTCGACCTCGACCGACCTTCCCGACCTCGTCGACTGACCTTGCCAAACTCGCGCCCACAGCTTTCGAGCCCCGCCCGTCCCTGTACACGATCCTCCAGATGCACACGCTCCCTCGCGTCGGCGGCGACACCCTGTGGTCGAGCAACTACGCGGCGTACGACCGCCTCACGCCCCCGTACCAGCGGTTTCTCGAGGACTTGACGGCGCTGCACGACGCCGAGCGCTTCAGGGTCCAGGCGCGCCAGAACGGGTTCAAGCTGCGCACCGAGCCGCGAGGGAGCCCGCTCAACCAGGGTGACGCCTTCCAGGCGAGCCACCCCGTCATTCGGTTCGTCCCTCTCCTTCCTGTCCTTCCTCCTTTCCTCCCTTCTTTCCTGCGGTCCATCTTCTCTCCTCACACTCGACTGACACTCGTCACTCTATCCCTGCAGCACCAACCCCGTCACAGGCCTGCGCGCGCTCTACGTCAACCCGACCTTTACGACCCGGATCAACGAGCTCGGCGTCGACGAGAGCCGCAGCGTCCTCGACTTCTTGTTCCGCGTCCAAGTCGAGTCGCACGAGGCGCACGTCAAGTACAAGTGGAAGAAGAACGACCTCGCGATCTGGGACAACCAGGTGCGCCCGGACCTCCTCTTTGTTCTCCTCCCTCCTCTCGGCTCTCTCGGACCTTTCACTGACCCTCCCTCGTGCCCTCTCTCACAGGTTGTCAACCACCTCGCGACGTTCGACTTCAACGAGCCCCGCGCCGGCGACCGCGCCGTCGTCGTCGGCGGCACGCCTTACTTCGACCCGGCGAGCATCGGCCGCGACGAGTGGCTCGCGCGCAAGGCCGCGGCGTGAGGCGCCATTCTCCTTGTACAGTCTCGAGCTTGCAAAGATGTGTGTAGTGCCCTTCACTCGAGAGAGCGTCCGAGTCGGGCACGGCGAGGTGCGAGAACGGGTCCGAGCGAGGCAAGCTCTCCTTCTCTCGAGGTAACGACGACCAAGCTATGCAGACGAGCATGACCTGAGAGCACTCTGTAGCACATCTCGCTGACTCGAGCCGGGCGAGCACAAAGCGAGCAGAGACCCAGCCTCTCCTCCTCGACCGCCTCGCGCAAGAAAGTACTCTCGCCTCGAGTCCGCCGAGCCGAGAGAGAGAAAGGACTGCACTGTTTCTACATGTTAGTACATCGTCGCCACCACCGTCTCGCTCACCGCTGCTTGCCCGCCTCTGCGCGCGCTCGAGAGGTCCAAGGTCAGCTCCGTCGGCGAGGAGGAAGGACGAGAGAGGAGGGAGCGAGAGGGGGGACGCACCTCGCCGAGTCGCATCCTCGAGAAGCTGCGTGTCGACTGCTGCCCGGGGCAGCTGCACGTAGCGCACCGTCGACCCTCGGATGAAGCAGTTGCGGACCGCGACCTGGAGGAGAAGGGGGAGGCCGTGAGCTCGTCTTGCGGGACAGCACGAGTCGCAGGGAGAGTTCAGGACGGACCATGTGTGGGTAACGCTCCTCGTCGAGGACCTGGATGTTCTCGAGCTTGATGTTGAGGAACCTGAGAGCCGGGGGGGGGGGAGGGGGAGCAAGAGGTCAGCGGGGGACGACGGCAGCGAGGCGCAGGGGAGAGTGGACGCACTGGTCGACGCTCTTGAGCTGACCACGGATCTGCAGGTCGTTCTTGAGCTCGACGGTGAGCTCCTGGTCCTGGAGCGTCTTGAGTACGGAGAAGATGAGCTGCTCGGGCGGGCGACGTCGTCAGCGGGGCGCGCTTGTGTAGAGTCGAGAGGGCTTGGAGCGCACCATGCTTGAGTCTGGAGGGGTCAAAGGCCGAGCTGGGGGTGAGGGCGACGGTGTCGGAGGGCCGAACCGGCGTCGACGAGCGGCAGCACTCCGACGACTCCCTCTCTGCGTCGTAGCAGCCGCCAGAGCCGTGTGGACGGCGTTCGAGGCTCTAAAATGCAGTGCAGCTGCCCCCTCGCGCGCGCAACGCAGTCGCAGCTCTCCTCCTCCTCGCTTCTCTCACGTCGCCTCGATCCTGCTCTCGGCGACGGCCACGAACAGCTAGCTCGCAGGTCGTTCGGTCTGGACTGCACACAGAATCAGGATTTCAGTCAGATCGGACTCGGGCACAGATGGGTTTGCTACAAGGGGCACAGCAGGTCGAACAGGCTTGTCTCCTCGAGTCGCTCCTCCTCCTCGCTCGCAACGCCGTTTTACGCGAACTTGCCCCAGCCGTATGCCGCCGCGATGATGACGACCATGAAGAGCACCTGCTGCTGCGTAAAGTAGAGGTCCTTGCTGAGGATGAGCATGGCGTTTTCCGGGACGCCGTCCGAGCGGGTCCGGGTGCTCGTGCTGGGCGCCGACGACGAGGACTGCAGACGGTCGAGACGGTCAGGAAAGACTCGACGACGACGACGAGACACGAGAGAAGAGAGAGAGAGAGAGACGCACGCTCTGCTGCCCGCCAAAGTCGCCGCCCTCCCGCGCCTTGTCCGACACGCCGCCGTCCCTCGCGGTCGACGTCGAGCCTGCGCCGCCCTTGGCCGCAGCGGCGGCGCCGAGACCGGCGACGCCGGCCGCACCGAGCCCTGCGACGGCCGCCGTGTCGGCGCCGCCGCCAGGAGCGCCCGAGCTGGACGCACGGCGCTCGAGCTGACGGCGCTTGGACGGCGCCGCACTGCCGTCGCCCGACGAGCCGATACCAGCCGAGGCGTTGATCGTCTGGTCGACAAAGTTGCCGTCGAGGTAGACGTCCTCGGGCCCGTCGCCGTCGGCGCGCTTGAGGCGCAGGGTCGCGCCCTTCTCGGAGCGCACCTTGTCGCTCCACTCGAGCTGGACGAGGACGTTGCCGTCGGGCGTCTCGACGCGCGAGACGGTGGCCGCCTCGGCAGGTTCGAGCGCGAGGTCGACGCCGCGAGGGTACATGCGGCCGCTCCACGCGAGCCACGACACCTGGCGCCCGTCCTGCATCGTGCCCTTGCCGTCGCCGCCGACCTTGAAGGTGACCTTGCCGATGCGCACGTCGTCGCCCGGCGCCGACGTGCCGCGCAGCGAGGCCGGGCCCGAGCCCCACCGGAGGAAGTGCGGCGCGAAGCCGTACGAGTCGATGAAGGCGCCGACGCGGCGAGGCGCGAGCGCGAGCTCGGTCGTGAGGATCTTGTACGTCGCCGGGTTGAACGTGGTCGAGGCGCCGACGTCGAGTTGCGACACGCGGACGAGCTTGACGGCGCTCGAGCCGACGGGCTCGAGCGAGTAGCCGACAAAGTCGACCTTGGCCTTGTTCGAGCCCTCTGGCGCCGACGCAGACGACGAGTCGACCGAGCGCGTGACGTAGACGATCGGGCCGTTCGAGTCGGCGGCGTCCTCGCGCTCGACGCCGTGAGCGACGACGTGGTGGAACGGCCTGCGAGCGAGAGTACCAGTGTCAGTCCCACGCTCGCGCACGAGCCGACGAGAGGAGAGAGCGCGACGCACTTGATCGACGGGTAGATGCCCTTGTTGACCTCGACGAAGACGCCCTGGTCGCAGGCGTTGTCGAGCTGGGCGATCTCGACCGACTCGATGCGCGGGTCCCCTGCGGTGCGAGAGCGTCAGAGCGCGCTCGTTCTGCTCGAGAGAACGAGAGAGAGAAACAGGGAGGGAAACAGAGAGAGATGGACGCACAGATGCGCCTCGCCGACTCGTTGAGAAGGGTGCCGAGCACCTGCTCGGTCGTGACCCGCTCGATCTCGGCCTCGCCCTTGACGATGGGCAACGCCTTGCCGGCCTGCTCGCCGTCCTTCTCGCGCATCCACACCTTGGTCCCCTCCTGGTCCTTGGCGGCGCGCCACCCGGCGCCGCCGACGCCGCCGGCCATGGCCCGGAACAGCTTGGTCGCCGTCTGCACGGCGCCGTAGCTCTCGGCGTCGCGGTCCATGGCGACGTGCTCGGGCAGGCCGACGGCCGCACCGCTGTTGGCCGAGCGGCTCGAGCGCTTGCTCGACGTGCTGTCGCGCCGGCGACGAGGGACGCCGACAGCGCCGCCAGCGATGGACCCGGCGTCGCCGCCGGCGATGGAGCCCGACTCGGGCTCGTGCGGGACGAGAGGCGGCGCGCCGTGCGTCTTGAGGTAGTCGTCGATGCGCGTGATGACGGTCGGGCGGCGCGCGAGGTACTTGGTGGCGGCAAACGAGGGCATGAAGGTGCGGACGTTGACGTGCAGGCTGTTGGCGCGACCGAGGAGCGACGGTCAGAGTTGCTCGCGAGGCCGAGGATGAGAAGAAGGGACGCACTAGTACGAGACCTTGGTGCCGTCGTCGGTCGGCTCGAGGACCCAGCCGTTGAGGGCGATGCTCGCGCGGACACGACCGGCGACGCGAGGGACCTTGGGAGTGACGACCGACGTCGTCGCGAAGCAGATGGTGCCAGTCGGCGAGCCCTGGACCTTCTCGACGAGCGAAAGGTCGCGAGTCCTGCGCGGCGAGAGTGGGTCGTCAGGTTGAGAAGGCCGTCGAGAGCCGACTCGAGGTGAGCGAGGGGACGCACGAGGATCCGGCGATACCCTTCATGCACCTGTAGAGGTCGACCGAGAGTCAGTCACAGAGTGCGAAGCGCGAGAAGGGAGAGAGGGAGCGCACATGTAGGTGAGCGAGGTCGACTCGTTGAGGTTCTCGACGAGCGAGCCCTCCTTGTACCTGCGTCGACGAGTGCGTGTCAGCCCGGGCCCGAGAGCTCGTAGGAGGAGGAGGAGTAGAGAGAGCGAGAGACGCACCAGTCGTCCCACAGCTTGCGCGTGCCCATGACGGCAAAGACGGCGGTCGGCGCAAAGCCCTGGATGTCGAGGACGCCCTTGAACACGGGCGCGTAGTGGCCCTTCTTCTCGCTGCGCCCTTGCGAGACGTAGCTCTTTTCGCGCGTGGCGTACACGGTGCAGCCCGTCTTCTTCTGGCGCAGGGCGAGCTTCCACCCGCTGTCGGGCGTCGAGTGCAGGTCCTGGAGCTTGGACATGGCGCGCGTCGCGGCGTCGACGTAGGTCGAGGCCGAGGCGACCGAGCTGTCGCTCACGGCCGAGGGGCGACGGCCGAGGTCGTCAAAGTCGGCGTCGGACGACTGCAGAGGGAGGAGGATCAGTTCCTCGCGCCGTCGAGTCGAGGACCGAGGGAAACTGAGGGCGCACGTTATCCTCGTCGGCAGAGTAGTCTTCATCGGCGCCGTACTCGGAGCCGTACTCGAACTCGCTCTTGTTGGAGCGCGACGACTTGATGCTGAGGCGCGAGGAGCGAAGGCCGGCGAGAACCATGACGGGCAGCTGCGGGTCTCGACGCCTTGTCAGCTGCGTTGCTCCTGAGTGCGACTGGACCTGCGCCCGAGAGTGGGAGAGAGAGGGCGCACCGGTTAAAGTGCGAGTGGTCGCCGTCGGGAGCGAGGCGGTGAGGGTGGTGCGAGCGGCGGTGCGAGTGCGCGCGCGAGGTGATGAGGCGGACGAGGTGGGGCAGAGCTGTCGAGGGTGCTCTGCTAGCCGGTAGTGGGTGGAGCGAGAGAGCAGGGAGGAGGAAGGACGAGCCAGAGGTGGGGGAGCCTCACCGTTCGGCGAGCTCTTCTACCTCGCCGGGGCCCGCCTGTTTCTCCACGGAGTGAACCTTATCGCCCCGCGGCTCGGAGTGCTCGAGGGGAGGTCTCGCGCCTCGGAGCCCGTTTCCCGTCGTCCTCGCCTCGGCAACTCTCCTGCACGCTGCACGACTGCTGAGCTGGACAGCTTGCAATGCACAGCATGTCTGCCGCACCAGAGTGCCCTGTCCAGAGCCGCCGTCGCTGAGGCTCTCTCGTCGCAGTCGCCGACCGCTCGGCCTGTCTCCTTCCACAACCACCGACGCCATGGCGCAGACCAGCGACGCAGAGCTCAAGCCGCGCTACAAGTCGACTCTGGCGCCACCAGCGTACTACCACGGTGCGCCTCGCCCTCCCCTCCTCCCCCGCTCGACGTCCAGCTGACCCGCTCCTCGCGACCCGCCGGCCTCGCCGAGCGCTTCTCCGCCTCGGTCCTCCCGACCCTCTCGCCGCTCTTCGACGCCCTCCCTCGCCCCGCTCGCGCGCTCGAGCTCGCGTCAGGCCAGGGCACGCACGTCGCACTGTACGCCCGCTCGCACAGCGGCATCGCGTGGCAGCCGAGCGAGTGCGACGACTATGGGTGCCGCGCGGTCGACGAGACGGTGGAGAGGGAGGGCGTCGAGGGGGTCAGGAGCGCGGTCAGGGTCGACGTCATGGAGGACAAGGGCTGGGACGCTCTGCGGCGGCGGCTCGACGAGGACGAGGGCGGCGAGAACGCGGCGTACGACCTCGTTCTCGGGCAGAACTTCATCCACATGATCCCTTGTGCGTCCCTGTCTCTCTCCCTGTCGTCGCTCTCGACCCACTCACCCGCTCGGACCCGTTCGCAGTCCCCGAAGGCCCGCGACGCATCTTTACGAGCCTCGTCTCGCGCTCGCTCGTCTCTCGGTCGGCCAAGCTCGTCCTGTACGGGCCTTTCAAGCACGACGGCGGCTTCTACAGCGACTCGGACGAGGCGGTGCGTCCCACTCGCTCCTCCTCCTCCCTCTCTCGCTCGTACTGACCTCCACGCTCCCTCTCGCGCGCCCGCAGTTCGACAAAGAGATCTCGTCCCGCCCGTCATCGTACCCGCTCGGCCTGCGCTCGATCGACGCCCTCGCGCACCTCGCGGCCGAGTGCGGCTGGGCCCTGCGCGAGCGTACCGGCGTCGCCAAGGGCAACTGGGTCCTCGTGTTCGAGCAGGCGCGAGGGACTGGGTCGACCCTGGGCGAGGACGAGCCGTAGTGCTGTATAGAGTGCGAGCACGGAAAAGGAGATTACAAAGGGACTGCTACGGAGAGAACGAGAGCGAGAATGGGTGGAGAGATCGCGAGAGAGAGAGAGAGGGGAGGAGCTGCGGGCAGGGTGAAGGACTAGCGAGACAACGAGGCCAGATGAGAGAGAGGGCGACTCTAAGCAGAGGATATGGTGAGAGACGGCGAGGGAGGAAGGGGCTCGGGGCGAGACGAGGAGGGTCGGTGCGTCGTCGGGGCGCGCGAGGTCGGCGACGCCGCTCAGCACGAGCAGCCGTAGCTCGAGTCGGTGTCGTGCGCGTTGATGCGGATCGGATCCGGGTAGTCGTCGAGCCTGAGGACGAGAGAATGCGACAGTCAGTCGTGATGGCTGCGGAACAAACCTCGTGCAGCGGGCCGTCGAGGACGGCGCGCGGTCCGAGATGTGCGAGGACGAGCCCGACGACTCACACGTCGGCGTTTCCCTCCTGCTGCAGGGCGTTCTTGCACGCCGCCTTGAACGCCTCCTCGACGTTGGTCGCCTCCTTTGCCGACGTCTCAAAGTACGGGATGTTGCCCTTCGAGTTGCACCACGTGAGGGCGCGCTTCTGCGACACCATGCGCTTCGACTCGTCCATGTCGACCTTGTTGCCGATGACGATGAACGGGAAGTTGTCCGGGTCGCGCGGCGAGGCCTGCGAGGGGCGAGAGGAGGGAGACGGGCGCTAGGTCAGTCCCTCGAGGAATTGCGAGCGGCGCGCATGCTTGCCTCAGGCTCGACATCCGCGCATCCGCCGATGCAAGGACTCGAGCCACGCAGAGGAAGAGATAGCGCCGGACGCACCTGGATGAGGAACTCGTCCCGCCAGCTGTCGAGCGTCTCGAAGCTCTTGCTCGAGTTGACGTCAAACACGAGGACGCAGCAGTCGGCGCCGCGGTAAAAGGCGACACCGAGCGACTGGAAGCGCTCCTGGCCGGCGGTGTCCCACAGCTGCGCGTGCGAGGCGAGGCGAGGTGCGGGCGGAGGTGGGAGGACGAGGAGAAAGGGTTGGGGCGAGAGGGGCGTGCGTGACGAGGCAGAGGGAAAGGGAAGCAGGAAGGATGTCAGCGACGTCTCCTCGGTTCTCCTCAGGTCGAGGGGACGATGCAGGGCAGAGTGCACGAGGCGGAAGGAGGGACGACTTGCCTGCAGGGTGACGAGCCGGTCGTCGGCCATGACCTCCTTGGTCAAGAAGTCGGCACCTGTCGGGGTTACGAGCTGTCAGGGATGCTCGTGTGCTGTGCGTCAGAGGCGGATGGGACGCACCGATCGTGGCCTTGTACTGGCCGCTGAAGCGCCGCGAGACGAACTGCTGCATGAGGCTCGTCTTGCCGACGCCGCTGTCGCCAAGGAGGACAGTCTGTGGGATGATCGCAAGGCACGCGGAGGCCCACCGCTGGTCAGCCGGGCTGTGCTGGGCGCAGGAGGGCAAGGGGGAGCGAGAGGGGGGAGGGGGAGGACGCACCTTGAGGAGGACCTTTCTGCGGGATGCCATGGTTGCGGGTGGGGCGGGTAGCGGGTAGATGACGCTGGCGGTGCTCGTGAGGGTAGTTGGGCGGTCACACGGGGCGGGCGACAGGCGGGGGGGTCGAGCGATGAGAGGCGAGGTGGGGGCGAGTCGGGGGCGGCGGCGAGTGGGAGCGCGCGGCGGTGGTGGTGGCAGAGGTGCTCGGCGGGGTGTGCGGTACTGCTGTGCGCCGGACTCGAGCAAGCACGGGCGTCGAGAGGCTGTAGCGAGAGTCACACCGCTGGTCGCCGACGACGACCGTCTCACTCTCGCACCGCACAGCGAGCAGCGGGATAAATCGCAGATCTGCTATGTACTGGACTACAAGAGCTGTGTTACCTCGGCATGGCCCTCGAGAGCGGCGAGGGACGACTCCACCTCGGCCAGCTCTCCGCGAGCGAGCTCGAGCTCATCAGTCGCCTCGCTCTCTACACCACCGGCTCCCTTGCTGAGCACCATGCCACCCGTCAAGCGCGCACCAGCAGCCGACTCGGCCAAGCCTCGCACCGCCAAAAAGCCGCGCACCGCACCCAAGCCCACCTCGTCCGCCGACCTCGAGCCGCAACCCGCACTCGGCGACAACCTCCGCCAGAGCACCGCCCGCCCAAAGGACCGCGACGAGGACGAGCTCAAACTCGAGGAGGCCGTCTTTGGGCGCAGGAGCGGCCAGCCCGACACGGGCGTGTACGACCTCGCCCTCGAGGACCTCGTCGGCGGCCGCAACAAGCGCACACGCGCAGGCGACGACTTCCTTGACGAGGTCGACTACGACGATGACGATGACGAGGAGACCGGGCTTGAGCGCATGCAGGACGACAATGTGCGTCCGCTTCAACCCTCCTGCCCCCCTCTCCTCCTCCCGTTCGCTGACCCTCCCTCGCCGTGTGCGCACAGCTCTTCTTCGTCGACGTTCCGCCCACGGCCAGCACCTCTGCCGCACGCGACCTCCCGGGCTCGGGCTCGTCCGCCGCCGGCGACTCGGACTCGAACGACGACGCCGCCGCCGTCGCGCCCAAGCCGAAAGCGCTCGTGACGCGCAACCTGCGCCAGGCGGCGTGGCACGACCCGGCCGACGAGACGCTCCAGATCAGCCTCCAGGGGCAGAAGCGCCTGCGCAAGCTGCGCGACTCGGCCGCCGAGGACGTCGTCAGCGGGCTCGAGTACGAGAGTCGGTTGCGGAGGCAGTGCGTCGCCCGTCTCTCTTCCTCTCTTCTCGGTCTCAAGATCTCGAAGGACTGACTATTACGACGCGCTGCAGGTTCGAGAAGCTGCACCCGCCACCGCAATGGGCTGTCGACGCTCGGCGCAAGATCCTCCGCCGCCGGGCCGCCGCAGCGCAGCACGGCGGCAACGCGGCGCTCGCGCTCGACTCGGACGTGTCGGACGCGTCGGACGAGGACGGCATGGGCGAGGGCAGCGCCGACGAGCGCGACGAGGCCGACGAGCTGTTCAGCCGGGCCGTCATCGGCGGCAAGGGCGGGAGGAAGGTCAAGGGCGGCAAGCTCGAGCCGGGCGAGATCGACATTGACCGGGTTCGCGACGCCAACCAGCACGAGCAGGGCTCGGTGCGTCCCATGTCCTCTTTCTCCCTGTCGCTCTCTCGAGAGAACCCTTCCCTGACCTGCCCTTCTCGCGCACTTGCAGGGCCCCGTCGTCGAAATCGGCTTCCACCCTCGCGCCCAGGTCCTCTTCTCGACCACGTCGGATCGCCGCCTGCGCCTGTTCCAGGTCGACGGCACCGACAACCCGCTCCTTCAGACGCTCCACGTTCCCGAGCTCCCCATCACCTCGGCCGCGTTCCACCCCTCGGGCTCGTCCATCCTCCTCACCGGTTCGCGCCCCTTCTTCCTGTCGTACGACCTCCAGACGGGCCAGACGCTGCGCTCGCCGCGCGGCCTCCTTAACGCCGGCCTCGGCGGGTCCGACAAGGCCTCGACCGGCGGCGCCGGCGGCCTCGAGCGGTTCCGGTTCTCGCCCGGCGCCGGCGACGTGCTCGCGCTCGCCGGCCGGCGCGGTTACGTGCACCTCGTCGACTGGGGGTCGAGCGGCGTGTCGCGCGGCGGCCAGGTCCTCGGCGAGGTCAAGATGAACGGCGCCGTCAAGGCGCTCGCGTGGCAGCGCGACGGCCGAGAGCTCCTCACGCTCGGCGACGACAGCGAGGTGTACGTGTGGGACGTCGGGACGCGCAAGTGCGTCGACCGGTGGAGGGACGACGGCGGGTTTGGCGCCCAGGCGCTCGAGACGAGCCGCGACGGCAAGTGGACGGCCGTTGGCAGCTCGACCGGCATCGTCAACGTGTACGACGACGCGAGTCGGACGGCGACGAGCGAGCAGGGCGGCGAGCGCAAGGCGCGCAAGGCCGTCGAGAACCTCGTCACCGGCATCTCGACCATGCGGTTCAACCACGACTCGCAGCTGTTGGCGCTCGCGAGCAAGACCAACAAGGACCAGCTCAAGCTTGTGCGTCTCTGTCTCTCTCTGTGTCCTCTCTTTTGCGCCCGTGCGCACTGACTGACGTCGCCCTCGCACGTCCCCTCTCGCAGGTCCACCTCCCGACGTGCTCAGTCTACCAGAACTGGCCCACGCAGCAGACGCCGCTGCACCACGTCACGTGCGTCGACTTCAGCAAGGGCAGCGAGTGGCTCGCCGTCGGCAACCAGCGCGGCAAGGTGCTCCTGTACGAGGTCAAGCAGTTTGCGAGGGGGACGAGGGGGAGGGTCAAGCGGTAGTCGGCGAGGGCGAGCGAGGGACGGTGCTGCAGTGCGACGGACGTTGCATTGCGCTTCGAGACGACGAGAGAGAGAGAGACAGGGCTGCTACGACGAGGACGAGAGACGGTTGCTGCCCAGCCACTTGCCGCTCTGCTCGCGCTCGAGCCTCGTCTGCTCATCGTCCGCCTCCTGCTCTGCCGCCGCTCCCTTCTGCGCCTCGTCCTTGGCGGCCGCAGCAGCAGCAGCAGGGGCGACTGAGCGCGCCGACCGCCCGCTGCGCACCGTCGAGATGGTCAACTCGCGCTCGAGCTCGTCCATGAGCCGCGTCGACTCGCTGTCGTCGCCCACCCCTGCGCCGTCCTCCTCCTCTGCGGCCGCACCCTCGCTCGTCGGCCGCACACCTCCCTCATCCTCGACCGCCGCCCTCGACGACGCGAACGAGCTCGGCGAGCCAGGCTCGCCCGGCAGCGGGAGGAGCTTGTCCCTGCTCGGCCGCGCCGCGGCGTCGACGACCTCGCCCGCAAAGCTGCTGTGCCGGTCTCGTCCCTCGAGTGCATCGGGCGTCGGGACGAGCACGGGCGCAGCGGCGACGGCGCCGTGTGCGTCGAGACTCGGCGCGCTCGAGACGGTGAGCGAGGTTGGCGCGGGACTGGCGGACGTCGGCGGTGGGTGGGCGGGGGCGGGGCCGGCAAAGGGCATGAAGGAGAGGCGGGGAGAGAGGGGCGAGGCGACGGCGCTGGCGGCGGGCGGGCCGGGGAGGACGGCCGGGGTTGAGAGGGTCTGTGCGGGCGCAGGCGCGGGCGACGAGACGGGCGAGAAGACGGGTGGGAGGGCAGGGAGAGACGGCGTGGCGGAGCTGACGTCGGTGACGGCGGCGGGCGCAGGCGGATAGGTCGTCGGCGCCGGGTCGTAGAGCGCCATGGCGCCGGGCGCAACTTGAGAAGGCCGCCAAGTCGAGTCGGCGCGCAGCAAGCCCGTGCCCTCCTCGTCGGCCCCGTCCGCTCGAGAATAGTCGTTGCCGAGCGTCGTAAAGCTGCGGAAGCTCGCCGCCGAGGACGACACGCCGCCGTCGACGACGCTGTCCGGCGCGCGCGAACTCGCCACCTCGGCCTCGTACTCGTCGCGCGTCTGGGCGCCGGGCCACGTGCTCGCGATGCTGTCGACCCGGATGTGCCCGTCGACGCCTTTGCCCGGCGCGTACGCGTGACCGACGCCGTCGGCCTTGTCGTTCTCGAGGTCGACGTCAAAGACGGGCGTCGAGAGGTACGTCGCCGAGTGGAGGAAGAGCTTGCGGGGTGGCTGGTGCGACGACTTGCTCGTCAGGGACGAGGACGAGCTGTGGAACGGCGTGACGAACGCGTCGACGAGGTTGGCGCCTTGGCGAAGGCGCAAGAAGCCGCGAATGAGGACGAACGGCGTGACGACGAGGACGGGCAGGCCGGCGACGCTGCATGCGGCGAGGTGTCAGTCATCGCGCTTACTCAGATCCCTTTGACTTGCGAGACAGAAAGAGAGAGAGAGAGACGCACACCCAGTGAACGACGACGACCCAGATCGGCACCTTCTCACCGACGGTCTCCTCGTACAGGCCAAAGCCCCATGTCACCTCGAGTCCTCCGACGGTCAACAGCGCGACGCCGAGCGCCATATGCATCCAGTTGGACATGCGGCGCTTGGCGACGGGAAGCTCGCGGCCGGTTTCGGCAACAAAGCGCTCGCCGACGACTTGGCGGTGGTGCGAGTAGAAGCCGAGGAGTGCTTGGACCGAGAGGGCGCCGAGGAGGACGTAGCCCGTGATCTGTGCGCGACGACTGAAGGCGTCAGGAGGGATGCCCGGCAGGAAAGCAGAGAGGGAGAGACGAACCTTGTGCTTGAGGTCGACCTCGCCGCCCTCGCCCTCGCCGTTAGCGGCGACCACCGCGATGACGACGGACACGACCTGTAGATCGACGATTTATAGCGCGAGCCAGTCAGGCTCCTGAGGACGACACCCTCGACGGCGAAACCGAGACGCACCGTCGCCGGCGCAACAAAGTACAGCTGCATGCGCCAGTGCGCCTTGAACCACAGGTTGCCCCAGCTCTTGCCGACGGCGGCGATGACGAATGCGAGCGGCGCGACGACCTGGAACGCGACGAACCCGAGGACGGCTGCGAGAGTGCGAGGAGGAGGAAGGGGGAAAAGAGGGTCAGTGCGGCTCGGCGAGAAGGGGCGCCAGGGCGGACGCACCGTGTAGAGCCAAGAGCCGCGCGTAGTACTGTGCGTCGGCTGCAGCGCTGTCGTCGCTGCTGGGCGTCGAGGCGCCGAGGGCCGAATGATCGTAGCGAGGCTCGAGCGCGAGGGCAGGTGCGCCGGGCGAGGCGAGCGCAGCCGTCGCAGCAAGGAGCGCGAGTGCGCAGAGTCGGCGCAGCATGTCGTGGTCGCTCCAGAGCTAAAGCGTGAGAGCGGGAGCGCGAGGCGAGCAAGAGACGGACGGCGGCGGCCGGCGAGCAAGCCGGAAAGTCCGCGAGGACGGACGGGCGCGCAAGCGAGGCGGACAGGGGAGCCAGCGCACACACCTCTTCCGCTGCCGTGTGCGAGACGCGCAGATGATCGAGCGAGAGGCGAGGACGAGAGGTGGCGAGCGCAAGGAGGCTCGTGCGCACTCGGCCCTCACGCTCTCGCTTTCGCTCCCTTGGCCCGACGCAGACCGTGAAGCGGAAAGAACTGACTACTCGGATTGCAGACTGCTTCGTGTCGTGAGAGGGACGGAGGAGGGGGAGGCAAGCAAGAGCCGGACGCTGGAAGGGTGAGGGGGAGGTGGAGGAGGGGGGCACTGACAAAGGGGGAGGAGGGGAAAGGACGTCCGGCTGTCAAACTAGGTGCTAGAGACGTAGGGTGTCGTTGCGAAGCGCTCGAGGGGGATAGGGTTGCGAGGCCGAGGCGGGAGAGAGGCGAGGAGGCGGCGGGTCGAGGAGGGAGAGCTCGGCCGCGCCGAGTCGAGTCGAGGCAGAGCTGCGGCACGCTCGCGCTTACGCGACGAGCGGGCGACGCTCGTCGTCCGAGCCGAGCGACACACCGCGCTCGCGCGCGACGACCGTGAAGTACAGCGACTTGACGATCGCGAGGCCGCTGATGATGGCGCCGGCGAGGGCGCAGTAGCGGATGACGTTGTTGTGCTGCTCGAGGTAGATGCCGAGGAGGGTCGCGAAGAGGACGGCCGAGCCGGCGACGTCGCCCTCGCGCGAGCGGAACGCGTAGCCGACGGCGGTGAGGGTGAGGAACGCCTCGGCGGCGACGACAAAGATGACCGAGATCGTCGACGGGTGGTTGCGGTGCGAGCTGGACGTCGAGGGAGAGAGAGCGTCAGTCTCTGTCTGAGGAAATATGAGGGTAGAAGAGGGACGCACTGGGTGAAGAGAGCAAAGCCTGAGATGAAGACGAGGACGATGCTCCACGCGTGCCAGAGGGAGAACGGCAGGTGGACAAAGAGGACGTCGCCGATCGTCTGAGCGCCGTAGTGCGCCGTGAGCGAGTAGTAGGCCGTGCTGATGACCGACGCGAGGAGGAGCGAGAAGATGAAGGCGACGATGTAGTGGCGCGTGACCCAGACGTGGACCTGCGGGTTTTCGACTCGTGTTAGCTCGGGCTCTGTCCTGGTTCACAGGAAGGCGCTCTTTGCTGCCGCAGGAGCGCCCAGAAGGGGCTGGACTCGCGTAGATAGCGTTGACGACCGCGATGAGGGTGAAGCGCCACCCGATGGCGTCGACGGCCGTGCGCGAGTTGTCGAAGAACTGGTAACCGACGTAGCACAGGAGGAGGAAGTTGCTGTGGCAGGCGGACGAGGAACGTCAGTGGCGAGGAAAGGAAGAATCGAGGCGGACCGAGTGGACGCACATGATGGTCCAGACGTTGAAGACCCAGGCGGCCGGCGTGAAGTACGTCTCGCGACCGGTGTGGTGGGGCGTGAACGAGCTGCGTGCGCGATGGAGAGCGAGCGTGAGCCCAACGTGAACGTGCGGGGCGAGGAGGAGGGCAACTGACCCGTAAGTGTTGCTGCCAAAGAGAAAAGCGAACACGAGGACGTTGACGATCTGTGTGCGGCGCAAAGGAGAGAGATCAGCACGACTGGCCAGCCCTGTGCAGCCATGCCCGCGCCCAGCTTCAGTCGCCTCGAGTCGCCGACCGCACGAGGGGGAAGTCATGTGGGGACGGAGGTGAGGCCGGCCTCGCCGCCCCGTTACGGCTGCTCGTAGCGCGCAGCGGCCGGGCGAGTGCAGGAGTGGGTTGCTCACCTTGAGGGGGAGGTTCTCCTTCCTGCAGAGGGGGCGCAAGGCGTGGTCAGTGACGAGCACGAGGCGGTCGATGGATCGGCGTCCGCGCGACCAACGAGAGGCCGCCGTGCGCAGAGGGGAGGGGGACAAGGAGGGACGGGGCTCACCAGCGGTTGAGGGTGAACATGGCTGCTGTTGTTGACGGCGAGGATGTGCTGGGTGGAGGAGGGGGCGAGAGAGAGAAGGGCGAAGCCAAGAGAGTGGGGAGGCCGCCGTGACGGCCTTTGTCGAGGTACCGCCACATGCTTTCCGCAGGCACGACGCAGATCCCACGAGTCGCTCCAAGGCAAGCCGTCACCAACCTCGAAGCGAAAGCCGCTCGAACCTCGTCCAGCTTGCGAAGGTCGACGTCTCGAGCATCTCTCGCTGAGCGATGCCAGAACAGTCGCAACACGATTCAATAATAGTCTAGATACACAGTCTGTACAACAGCGTAAGAGCCCTCACTTGGCCTGACCCTCCTGCCCTCCTCGACTCGCACTCGGACTCGGGCTCGGACTCGCCTGCGCCGCCTGCTTGACCTTGTCCGCCTCGCGCTCGGCCAACGTCTTGAACCCGGGCAGGCGGAACAGCTCAAAGATGCGCTCGGCCGGCGTCGCAAAGCCGTACGCGCCGCGCTCGCCGTGAGCGTGCGTCGAGCCTGCGAGCGAGGCGAGGAGGTCAGTCATCGCCGCGAACCAAAGAGAAAGAGAGAGAGGGGACGCACCTCGAGTGACGCCGACGACGCTGCCCGACTCGCAGTCTACGACAGGCCCACCGCTGCTGCCCTCGGTCGGGTGGCAGTCGAGCCACATGGCGGCGAGCTCGTCGTACGTGCCGACCTCGGCCGTGCGGCCCATGCCGTCCTTGTACTCGGCGATCCGGCCCCGGGTCCACGCGCGCTCGGGCTCGCGCGCGAGCTTGCGCCTGAGGCGCGACAGCGGGTTGATGTAGGTGTGGAGCGCGACCTCGGACGAGGGAGGGGGCGGGTACGGGTTGATCGGGAGGGTGCGCAGGGGTGGGGTAGGCGCCGAGGAGGAAGCGTTGATGGGCGAGGTCGAGAGGCGGAGGAGGAGGACGTCGGCCGACGAGGAGGACGAGGCGAGTGACGAGCAGGTCCAAACGTGGCCCGACGACGCGAGGACGAAAGTGGCCGAGGGGACGACAGGATCGGTCGCGTGGAGGCTCTTCTGCAGCTGCGAGCATGGGGCACGAATGAGAGTCAGTGCCTGGTCGAGCCGAGAGGAGGAGTGGGAGGAGGAAGAGAAAGAGAGACGTACCGACTCGAGCGTGTGCGCCGCCGTGAGGATGAGCTGCCCCTCGCCGCCCGCCGACTTGCCGAGCGCAAAGCCCGAGCACACGCTCACCCTCGGCTCCTTGCCGCCGAGCACATGCGCGACGACGACCGTCCCATCCTGCTCGTCGACGACGCCGCTGCCGCCACCGCCGCTCGCCGAGCCCGCGCGCCCATCGAGCCGGACCCTCCTCGACGGTCCGGGCGTAGGCTCGTAGCTGAGCGTGGCGTCGCTGAGGACCGTCCCCTCGCGCTCGCGGTGCTGGCGCAGGAGCGTGTGCAGGTCGACGCCCGTGCTGGCGGCCGCGCCGCGCTGTGACAGCTGAGCGAGCGTACGCAGGAGGAACGTGTCGAGCGTGGCGGCGCGCTCGAGGTCGTCTGCGCGCTGCGCTGGGGCGGGCGAGGGAGGCGCGGGTGCCACTCGTCGGGGTGGAGGTGGGGACGAGCCGATGCGGTCGAGGAGGGCCTGCGCCTCGGGGTCGGGGCGCAGCGGGCCTTTGTGGGTCGGTGCCGGTGGTGGACGAGGAGCACGGGCGGACGAGGGCTTCCACACGGGTGCCGGCGGGGGAGGTGCGGTCGCGCGACCGTGGTCGGGCGAGATCGAGGTCGAGGGGTTGAGCAGGCGGGCGTGGGTGCGGGCTGTCGTGTGCAGGAGGCGTGTGGTCGTGGCAGTGCGCGCGTGCATGGCGGTGCTCAGAGTGAGGCGTGAGAGCGAGAGCCGAACAGCGAGCCGCTCCACCGAGCGGTGACCGCGAGATCGAGGGGTCGGCTCGCAAGCCTTATCGCTCTCGCTCGCTTTGGTGCACGGAAGCGGCCTCTCCGACATGCTAGAGCGGCCGCACGCAAGTGCCCGAGGTTGGAGAGCGACGTCTCGAGGAAGCGACTCTCGGACCTCTCACACGTGGACTCGCTCGCGTCGAGCGCTCTACGGGCCGCGAAAGCCTCGTTGCACCCACTTGACACACAAAGAGAGACAGAAAGACCGCTCACCGCAGCTCGACAACCGGGAGCACACCGGCCTGCACGAGGTCGTCGTCCTTGCCGACGCTGTTCTCCTCGTCGTGGCTCACCGCCGCCGCCGCCGCCGCTTCGCCGCTCACGTCCCCATTCGTCCAGATCATGTCGACGATGATCGTGTCGCGGTGCGGGAAGAGGTAGTTCAGGAGCGGGTAGATGCTGTGGAGGAGGAGGTTGGTCTCGACTCGACCTTGCTCGACTCGCTCGAGGAGAGAGAAGGGGACGCACATGAGGCCCGACACCGTGCCAAAGAGCCAGGTGACGCGGTAGAAGCGCTGGTTGCCGAGCGGCAGGGCAACGTCACTCGAGATGGCGTGCAGGAGGCCCGGGATCTCGGGCGGGACGACAATGCACAGGGTCGCGAGGACTCGCCAGTTGATGCCGAACCGGTTGCTGTCGAAGGGCAGAGTTAGTCGACGGCATGTTGGGAAGGTAGGAGACGGTGGACGGCAAGGAAGTAGGGGAGAGAGCGAGGACGTACTAGCGGTACCGGCCGTGCGGGTCGTACATGGCGGGCACGTCGACATGCTGCTTCTTGACCCAGAAGAAGTCCGACACCATGATGGCTGCGAGCGAGGGACGAGGGCCGACGAGGATCGACGGCGGGGAGAATGAGGGTGAGTGACCGGCCTCGACAAGCTCGAGGCGAGGAGGAGAGGACGGGCGACGCACCCCAGACCGGCGCCGAGATGATCGTGTAGCCGCCGAGGAGGGTCAAGAACGACTGAGCTGTCGCGAGGAGCTTCCATGGTGCGCAAGCCCAGCAGCCGATGACGCCCATGAGGAACGACCCGCGGCGAATGTTGAGGTACCGGGGGAAACTGCGGGCCAGCTCGAGTCAGCGACATCCTCGCTCGTCCAGCGAGGTCTCGAGGGACGCACAGGGAGCAAAAATCGTTGGCGCCACTGATCGTGTTGGCCGAGACTGCGCGCGAGCGAGTCTTGAGAAGGTCAAACCACGTCGAGTTTACGAGGTACAGGGAGAGAGGGACGCACTGTTCGAGCCGAGGTTGGACAGCGCCATGGCAAACCCGAAGAAGAAGAGTCCCGCACGCTCAAGGCTCGTGTCGGTGCTCCAATTGTTCATGAGGCGCGTCGGGTCGAACTGGATCTTGGCGAGGCCGTGCACCTTGTACCCGCCCGACGCGATCGCGACGCCCATGAGCGCCGTCGCGGTGAAGCAGATCGGGATGACGAGGACCTGGGCAAACTGATCGCGAGGCCGTTTGGCGTACCGAGTAAAGTCGCCGATGTTGAGAGAGAGCGTCGAGTAGCTGCCGACCGCAGAGTTGAGCGCCGCCATGAAGGCCCAGCCGATCGTGCTACCGGACGCAGTAGGGTCGCCGCCATCTATGGAGGGAAAGGGAGGTGAGCGAGTCTCCCGAGAGGCTCGAGCGCGAGGAAGAGAGGGCGAGGACGCACAGAGGTAACCGCCCGACTTGCGCACGTAGTAGCCCATGCACGCGAAGCCTGCGATAGGCCCGATGATCGACTTGAACGTGAACAGGTACCGCAGCTTTGCCGGCGAGACCATCATGAGGGGAAGCTGGATCGAGAAGAAGACGAAGTAGGCGACCATGACGTTGCTCGTGATGCCCGCCGACGCAGGCAGCTTGTTTTCCATGCTGGCGACTGTTAGGGAAAGAGTTGTCAGAGCTCGACCAGCTGACGAGGAGAGGGCGCGAGAACGAGGGGAAGAGGGACGCACACTGCGGCCAGATCGCCCGGATGCACTGGTACGTCGCGAGCGCAGACGTGTAGCTCTTGGTCCCGGTATAGATGAGGGCGAGGATGAGGCGGGTCACGATGGCGAAATAGCTGTCGGCCGGGGCAGGAAGAGTCAGTGTCGTGCTCGTCGGCTCGTCTCGACGACGGTCAGGGAGGGACGGCTCACCTGAACCAGAACCCGAAGCTCATGCGCACGTTGACCGAGAAAGGCGTGTGGAGGTACGCCGCGATCCAGCCGCTGCGAGGCGAACGAGAGTCAGTGCCGAACGGGAGGGAAGAGGAGGAGGACGAGGACGCACTTGAAGAAGCAGCACCACGAGATCAACACGTTGCCGAGGAGGACGGCGCCGATCGCCTGCCGCCATGAAAGGCCGAGAGAGATCATGGCGCCGGCGAGCTGCAAGGTCGAGGGCCTGCGCGAGACTAAGTGAGCGCATGCTCGGCGAGCGAGGACGTCGACGAAGAAGAGCGAGAGAGAGGGGACGCACGAGAACCCGTCCGACACCCACATGCTGACGAACGAGAACCACCTCCACACCTGCTTGTCCTCGGGGACCGGGTCCATGTCGGCGTTGCTCCATCGCCCGCCGTTGGCCGGCGCGACAGTGGAGGGTTCGAGAGGGACCTCCCACCCTCGCCGCGTCGTGTACTTGCGCCAGTTCATGGTCGATCGAGGGAGTACAAGGTTGAGGTGTCGACGAGATAGGCGGCGAGAGGAGGGCGAGAGAGGCGAGATAGCTGAGCAGAGCGGGGGAAAAACGGCGAGCGGGCGAGGAGGGCCCAGGTGCGGCTCGGGCGACTCTGCGATAGCGGACCCGCACCACGGCGGCCCGTTCGTCGCCGGCAGCGCGACGAAGGGTTCGCGGAGCGGGGCGAGAGGCGCCAAGGAAGCAGAATCCGGGAGGAGCTCGACTCGAGGGCGAGCAAGTCGGCCGAGACGTGCGATCGCGAGCGAGGCGAGCCCCTTGTGCCGGCTCGTGCGGTTGCGCATCGTGAGGGCACATAGAGCTCCGTCTTGATGGCGGGGCGAGGCGCACGATAGGGCGAGACGGCAGAGCCGGACGGCGTTGCGAGGGTGAGGCGAGGGGGTCGTCGAGAAGGGGGGAACGGGAGAGGTGCTGAGGCGACGTCGGCTCCGCGGGAACGGCTGCACAGGAGCAGGAGGTGCAGCCGACGTGGCTAGCAAGCGGCGGGAGGGCCACGTTGCGGGACGAGAGGGAGACGGAGATGGGGAGGAGGACGTCGACGACCAGCTCGCTCCCCCACCGTCCCGCCAGTGCGCCTGTGCTGCGCTACTACACAGCGAGGCCTACGCTGCACTCTGCTGCACCGGCGGGCGAGCTCGAACGCCGTCTCTGCGTGCGCCCGTCTCTGCGCGGCGGGGTCGGGCGAGGACGAGGCGGCGGCGGTAGAGGCGGCCCGGTTGGCGGTACTGCGCGGCCGAAGCTTGCACAGTAGAGCTCGAGCTTGCCGTGCAGCAGGTGCACGCTCGCCTCGCGGCCGCGGGTGGTTGGTGGAGCCCTCGCACCTCGAGCGACTCTCGCCCGGAGGTGATGAGCCCCGCTCGACCCGCCCTGCGCGCTCAATGGGCTTGCGCCGCCGTGCACGCTCTCTGCTCTGCTTCAACTGCGCCCTGGTCCCCACCCGCTGGACCTGCGCGACATGGCCGCCCCGGCGCCCGCACCACCAACCCAGCCTCGACCTCTCGACCTCGCACCACCCGCCCCGCCTCCCTCGAGCTCGCCCTTCGCCCCGTCCGACACGATCCTCAACCCAGCTTCGACCGACGCGCCGCCCAGCCCGAGCACCCGAGCCGCACCCGCACCGCGCAAGCGCTTCTCCCTCGACCTCCCCCTCCTGCGCCGCCGGCTCTCGCCTCTCTGGCCGGCAGGCCATCCCGGCCACGACGACGGCGAGCGCCCGATCGGTCACCAGGCGCGCGTCCTGTGCGCCCTAATCACCGGCGTCGTGCCAGAGCCGGCCCAGACCCGCCCGAGGGCGAGGGTCCTCTCGCTCGCGGCGTCGAGCAGCGGCAGCAGCGGGCGACGCGAGGCGCACGCGACAGCCGTCGCCTCGAGGACGCTCACGAGGGCGAGCGTCGCCGGGCCCGAGATGCGGAAGGAGCATGCGCAGGGCGTGCGGGCGAGGAAGGGCCGCGACGAGGAGCACGAGGGGGAGCACGGCTCAAAGGGCCACGAGTGTCGCGCCGTGCCGCACGTCAAGCCCAAGGCGCTCAAGAAGCTCAAGGCCGACCTCGTCAAGGCCGACAAGGCGCGCGCCATCGTCGCCGACTTGAAACGGCTCGACGACCCGCTCGACGAGCCGTCGGCGCCATCATCTTCCCTCGATCACGCTTGCAACGAGCCGGCTTTCTCGGGCCGACCTCGGCGCAACGTCGCTCGGGGCTATGCCCTGCCACCCCTGGTCGAGGACGCCGCAGCCCCGTCCTCGGCCGCACCGACCTCCTCCCCTCCCTTCCCTCCCTCCTCCGCCCACGCCGACCCGACCCTGTGCCTCATCAGCTTCGGCACCGACCTCCCGCCCATGTCGCCCGGCGCACTCGGCGGCCTCGCCGGCGCCAAGTCGGGCGCGTTCGAGCTTCTCGCCGACCTGTCGGGCGCGCTCGTCGACAAGAGTGGCGCGCACGAGGGCGTGTACGGCCTGCCGCAGGACCGCGTGTCGGTGCTCATCTGTGCGTTTCTCTCTTCCTCGTACTGGGCCGACGAGAATGTGCAGGGAGAACTGACCCTCTCGAGCGCGCACCGCAACAGACTGGTGGGGGTTTGAGATCGCCCTGCCGCCGCCAGCGATCCGCACGCTGTCGTCGGTCGCCTCGGTCCAGTCGTCCTTCTTCACGTTCCTGCAGGCCTTCACTCTTGCCGGCGGTGCGTCCCTCCCTCCTTCCCTCGGCTCAAGCCGGTTCCGCGGTTCGAGCGCGGCCTTGACGTCCTTTCTCTCGTTCACGCAGGGGCACCCGAGCTCGCGCCGTTCGTGCGGTACATCTCGTCGTACTGCGACATGGAATGGCAGGCCATCAAAGCGCAGAATCGAGGTGCGCCCCCTCTCTTTCCCTCTTTCACTCGCCCGGACCGCGAGACTGACATTGCGACGACGCGCAGGAAAGGGCGTCGTGCTCGCCGCGACTTGGCTCCTCCCTGTCGTGCGTGCATCTCTCGTCTGTATTCCTGTCGCTCGTGCGCTAATCGCAGCTGAGTGTCCGCAGGCGCTCGTCCCTCGCCCTTGGGATCTTCCTCTTTGCCTTCCCTCGTCGTCCCTCGCCCGGCCTCTTTGACCGTACCCCGCCCTCGTCATCGTCGCCTTCTATTCGTCGAGGGCGCACGAGCGGCGAGGCGTCGAAGGTGGTCGTCGTCGTCCTCTCCTCTGAGTTTCGGCCGCTCGCCTCGTCCTCCATCTCTTCTGTAGACTCTCCTTGGTGGGCGGTCCTGCCGTGTAACAGCATGAGACGGGTACTTGAGCACTTGGACTGTTCGCCGAGAGGGTTTGCGAGACGAGAGGTTGCACCGCCCGGCTGAGCTCGAGACGGCTCGCCTCACCTTGGCCTCATCTCCCGACAGCTCTCGTTCGCCTCGCCCGCACCGCCCGAGCCACCAGCCGCGCACCTCTGCCATGTCGTCCGACGAGTTCCTGCCCGCATCCGCCGTCAACGCCAAGTCCAAGCGGCTCGCTCGCCAGGCCGCCTCCAAGCCGACCACCTCGACCTCGACCAAGAAGGCCAAGGGCAAGGGCAAAGCCACCGGCGGCGCACCTCACCTCCTCAGCACCCAGCCTGCCGGCGCCGACGACGCCGACGACCTCATGGGCGACATCGAGCGCGTCCCGCTCGACGCCGGCATCGAGCCGAGCCGCAAGGTCGGCAGCGCGGCAGCTGGCGACGCAGACGCCGCCATGGACGCCGAGCAGGACGACAACGACGACGAGGCCGACGACGCCGTCATGATCGACCCGTCGCAGCTGCCGGTGCCCGTCACGAGGACGCCCATCGCCCAGCTCGAGGCGGCCGCCGCGGCCGCTGCCGACCCCAACTCGCTCTCATTCGCGCCCGTCAAGAACCACAACCAGTCGGGCTTGACCCAGCGCCGCAAGATCGCCATCCCGCCCCACCGCATGACGCCTCTCAAGCGCGACTGGATCAAGATCTACACGCCTTTGGTCGAGGAGTGCGGCCTCCAGGTCCGCATGAACGTCCACAAGCGCCAGATCGAGATGAAGGTGCGCCTCCTCTCCCCCTCTCTCTCGTCGTGCGGCGTGGCAAGCGCGCCTGCTCGAGCGGGAGCGCTGACTCCTTCTCCCTTCCCGTGCCGCAGACCTCGAAGCACACGCCGCACCCGTCCTCGCTCACTCGCGCCGCCGACTTCATGTCGGCGTACTGCACCGGATTCGCCGTCGAGGACGCCATCGCCATGTTGCGCATGGAGGAGCTGTACATCGTGCGTCTCGCCGCCCCTTCCTCGCTCGTCACCCGCCCGCCCACCCGCCGTCCCTGACCCGCTCCTCCTCCCTCCCTCACAGGAATCGTTCGAGGTCAAGGACGTCAAGATGCTGCACGGCGATCACCTGTCGCGCGCGATCGGCCGTCTCGCCGGCCACGAGGGCAAGATGCGCTTCATCATCGAGAACTCGTCGCGCACCCGCATCGTCCTCGCCGACTCGAAGATTACGATCCTCGGCACGTACGCCAACATTGCCGTCGCGCGAGGCGCCATCTCGGCACTCATCCTCGGTTCGCCGCCTGGCAAGGGTCCGTCCTCGTCTTCCTTGCCCTCCTCTCCTCCTTCTCGACCGAGCAGCGCACTGACCCTCTCGCCGCATCCGACAGTCTGCGCCAACCTGCGCACGTACGCCTCGCGCCAGCGCAGCCGGTTCTGAGCTCGTCGTCCCGTCGCCCTTGTTGTACCTCCCCTCGTCGCCCTCGCTCCCGGTCCTCGTCTGTGCCCTCGTCTAGATTCCCCTCCCTCTCTTCCTCCTCATGGGTCGGTCGTGTCGTGTTTGCCTCTCTTTCTCTCTCTCTCTATCGTGCTACGCGTGTACGAGCTGTAAAGCAGCGTTCGCCTCGTCCCTCTCTCAAGCCCGAGCGAGAAAAGAGAGAAGTACAGCAAAGTTCGAGATGCACTGCGTCGTCTACGTTCCTCGTCCTCATCGGTCCCATGGCTCTCTCCTGCTCACGCCTTGGGCGCCTTGGGCTTCTCGCCCGTGCACCCGGGCCCGTACCGCAGCGTCGGGTCGATCTGGCGCGTGCCGTCCATGAACGACTTGACGAGGGCGTCGTCGACCTTGGACCGGCGCTGTCGTGACGGGCAAGACGGGTGAGGTCAGGTCCGTGCTTGAGGGAACGAGTGCGAAAGAGAGAGAGAGAGGGGGGGGACGCACGTCCTGGAAGGCCTTGACGAACTCCTGGAGGAGCGAGATCGTCTTTTGCTTGAGCTCGCCCGTGAGGAGCTTGCCCGAGCGGTAGTCCTGCTCGACGTCGGGCCTCGTCAGTACGGCGTCGAGGACAGAGACGTAGAGAGAGGAAAGAGGGGGGCGCACCTGGCGGATCTGCTCGACCTCTGCGTCGTCGTCGAGGAAGAAGGTGAGGTACTGGAAGCTGACGTCGACGTCCGGGTCGCCGCCGAGCTCGCGGTGCTCCTCGACCGTCGTCTGACCGCCCGAGAACGCGTACTTGTTGATCTTGGTCTTGATCTCCTTGGCCGAGTCGGTCATGTAGATCGAGCTCTCGACGGCCGACGCGCTCATCTTGCTCTGGGCGCCGAGGAGCGACGGGATGAACTTTGCGTGGATCAGGGCCGGCTTCTTGTACTTGAGGCGCTGCGCGCACTCGCGCGTCAGGCGGAAGTACGGGTCCTGGTCGATGGCGCACGGGATCAGGCACGGGATGTCGGCCTTGTCGCCAAAGATTTGCGGGAACGAGTTGGAGAAGGACGGCGTCGCCTGGATCGCGACAAAGTGCCACTTGCCGACGTTGTCGCTGACGAGGGAGGAGAGAGAGAGAGAGAGAGAGGCGTCAGGGAGGGATCGAGGGGAGAGAAGAGGGGAAGGACGAGGACGCACTCGAGCTTGAAGCCGAACGTCTGCTGGCTCTGGCGCGCCGTGATCAAGCGCGAGATCTTGACGACGTTGCGGTAGAACGGGCCGCTGCAGGTTCGAGGGATCGAGGTGTGAGCGAAAGGTGATCAAGAGCGAGCCGAAGGGACGCTCGAGCCGCCGCCCGACCTCCCCTCGGCGACGCGCAGAGAACCTCGGACGCACCCAACAAAGTCGAGGTCGGAGAAGATGAACGTCTTGTCGAGCTTGAACCCGCACGCGATGATGTCCTTGGCGTTCTGGTAGGCAAAGCCGTGGCATTGCTCGAGCTTGAGGTTCGACTTGAACAGGAACTTCTCGTCGTCTGCGAGGGCGAGGGGCCATCGAGGAGCAAGGTGTCAGGCTACGCGCACATCCCTTCACGAGCCTGAGCCGCCTTGAGTGGCGGCCTCGGCTCGAGGAGAGAGAAAGGGAGACCGACACGCACCCGTGAGCTGGATGACAAGCGGGCAGTCGAACACGTCCTGGAGCCACTGGGTGAAGACGAACGGGATCATGTGGCCGAGGTGCATCGAGTCGCTCGACGGGCCACGGCCGGTGTACAGGTAGAACGGCTTCTTCTGCTCGTAGCGGTCGAGGATGAGGTTGAGCTCGCTGTTGCGGGGACGTGCGAGGGCAGGGTCAGGTTCCTGTACGTGGTCGAGACAGAGAGGAAGGGGTGGGAGGACGTACCGGTGCGAGAAGAAGGTGCCGCGACGCAGGAGGAGGTGAGGCTTGCGGCCCGTGAGGTGCTCGAACCGCTCGAGGAGCTCGTCGTCGATGTGCTTGGTGCCGAACTGGTTGATGAGGTGGTTGTAGTCGATCGCCATCTGTCGCACGAGAGCGAGAGAAAGAGAGAGGAGAAGAAGAGTCAGGACGCGCGGCTCTGAAAGAGGGAAAGGACGTGGACATTGCTGCGGGGCGAGCGAGGTACGAAAGGGCACGACGAGACTGCTCTTGACGAAGGAAGGGAAGGGCGACATGTACGTGAGGGAATTCGGGAAGTCGTGAAAGATGTAGGACGAGGAAGGGAGGAGGGGTCGCGAGGGAGAAGGAAAGGGAGGAAGGGGGGGGGGGAAAGTCGTCGTGCCCTCCCGTCCATTCCTCGGCCCGCTGCGCTCGGTCAGAGGATCACTGACGGACCTGGACGCCGTCGACGGTCGCGCCCTGGACGTCCCACGGCGTGACGACCTGCTCGACGCCCTGCGCCGACCCGCTCGCGGTCGCGACCGCCGGCGGCTCCTCGAGGGCCGGGGTGGCCGACGCCGAGATGTTGCCCTCGGTCTGGTAACTGCATCGCGCGACGAGTGTTTGTCAGTACGGGCGGAACTTGGCGCGGCGGGGCAGGACAGGGAGGAGAAGAGGACGGGGGAGCTCACGGCGGCTGAGGGGTGCTCGCGCCGTCAGCACGGGCGTTGGCGCGCGCGATGCGCTCGGGCATGCCGAGCTCGAGGGTCGAGAGCGTGTCGGCCATGGCCTCGGACGCCTTCTCGGACTGGCGGCGGCGGTGCGTCATGACGAGCGCTGCGAGAGGAGAGAGGGGGGAGGGGAAGAGTCAGTGCGGGAACGAGGAACAGGCCGAGTCGTGCTGCAGCCAGGCTGCACGCCGGTCCTAGGACTGCTCTTGACCGCTCGCTCCTGCTCCAGCCGGCCCACTGCGCGCTGCACGAGCTTCCATCGCGTCGACCCACAACCACGATCGAGTCCTCCGCCGGCCCTCGCTGCGCCCACAGAGTCCCGCGAGAGCACCACCCGACCTGAACACGCAGAGGACAAGTCAAGCTCACCCTCGGGCTCGTCGCCGTCCATCTTGGCGAGCTTGCCCTGGGCCTCGTCGAGCTTGCGGTCCTGGCTGTCGCGGTCCTCGCGCGAGCGGAGGAACTCTGGCTCGGGGAGCTCGCGCTCTGCGAGCTCGCGCGAGAGGTCGGACGGGGTGCGCTTGATCGAGTTGGACCGGCCGGGGACGTTGAGCGAGGACATGGTCGCTGACGGGGACGGGCGGAGGTGGGTGAGGAGCGGGGTCGAAGGAGGCGGTGGGAGGGTGACCGTGTGGGCAGTCGAGGGCTGATAGTGGCCTGGACGAGAGAGGTGCGCGGGCGAGGTGCAGCTGGCAGCCGGCAGCGAGGTGAGGGAGAGCGAGAGGGTCGAGGGCGAGGCGCGACCTTTGTAATCGCGCCAAATACACCTCGCTCGTATTCGATCACTATTCTCGGCCTTGCTCCTCGTCGCTGCGAGTCATCAAGCCGGGCCCCTTTTGAGTTGCTCGCACAGCTCCCAGCCTCGCAGCAGTCAGCCCGAACGAGAGTCAACGTGTGCTGCCTCGGGAGCGACTCGACGAAGGCGGTCGGACCCCTTGCTCGCCTCCCTCTCGCTCTCTCGCGCTCTCTCTCGCCCTCGGTCAGACGAACGCCGCGGCGCAATACAAGCCCGCACATCTACATAAGAGTCTAGACAGAGAGAAAGAGAAGGAGGCGCCGCTCAGACCTCGTGCACGACGGCGACCGTGCCCTCGTCAAACCACTTGATCTCGCAGTCGACGTCGGCGACGCCCGTCTCGTGCACGACGCACGCAAAGTCCTGCTTGTCCTTGCCGAGCGCGATGAGCGGGTGGTGCCACACGTTCGGGTGGTACGAGATGCCCTGCGAGGCCGACGAGGCCATGAAGGCGCGCAGGGTCGACAGCGATGGCTGGCCGTCTGCGGGGTGGGCGAGCGCGACGTGGGACGAAGACTGAGTCAGTACGAGTGCGAGAGAGGAAGGGCGACGACAGTACGGGATGAGGAAGGACGGCGAGAACGCACCAGGACCGGGGAGCGCGACGAGGACAAGGTACTTGTCGTCGTTGCTGCCGCCCATGGGCACGAACGCCTGCGAGCTCCACTCGTGCCGCTCGAGCACCTTGACCTCCCACGTCCTCTTGCCCGTCACGGCATCGCGCCCGGCCGTCGCGTCCTGCGCCTCGCTGCGGAACACGCAAAAGTTGACCTCGCCCTGCGGGACGCCCGCCGTGCCCGGGTGCGTGAACGTGACGGGCGCGAGGTGGTTGAACTTGCGCGCCGTGCCAAAGTTGACCGTCTTGATCTTGATCTCCTTGGGCGCCGAGCGCTCGTCTGGGTACGACTGGATGACCGAGCCGTACGGCGCGAACGCCGAGGGCGTGAGCGGGACGGCCGGGATCTTGGGCACAGCCTTGGACGACGAGGACGACGACGAGGTGCCGTTGACGAGGGCGGCCGAGGTGGACGAGGAGGAGGCCCCGCCCGGGGCGGGAAGAGGCGCGAGCGCAGACCAGTCGGGGTACTGGCTCTGCGGCCGACCGTACAGGCGCAGGCGTTTGACGCCGCCATCTGCGAGACGGGAAGAGCGGGTCAGAGAGCCGCTCGCGCCATGCGCGCCATGCGGAGAGGACGAGAGAGCGGACCAGGGTGGATGTCGAGGCGGACGTGGGTCCACGGCTTGCTCGGGTGCGCGAGCTGGTAGAAGTGCTGGCGGTGCGGGCCGAGCTTGGTGTTGTCGAGGATCTGGGTCCAGCCGGCGTCGCCGTACGAGGGGCACTCCTGCAGGGCGCGACGAGAGGGCGAGTCAGGAAGGTCGACTCTCGAGGGAGAGGCGGACGACGAGGATGGGACGCACCTCGCTCGACGAGATACCGAACAGCTCGGCCGCGTTGGGGAAGTTGCCGACAAAGTGGAGCGTGTCAATGTCGGCCCACTCGAGGTAGCCCGGCTCGGCGCTGCGGGCGGACGAGGTCCAAGTCAGCTCGGCCGATGGAGCACTCGTCGCGAGGGCTGGTCTCGTTCGACGAGCGCAGGAGACAGGTGACGCGACGAGCGAGCGAGAGAGAGGGACGCACAGCTTGATGACGACCCAGTCGCCCTTGCCCGACCCGAGCCTCCCCCTGCTCCTCTTGGTCTCCCACCCATCGCCCATGTCCTTGCCCCTGCCGGGCAGGATCAAGTTGGCGCCGCGCCCAAAGTGCTGGTCGCTCTCGCCCGTCACGGTGCCGCCGTTGAGCACGTGCGCGAGGTCGACGGCCTCGCCCGTCGGGTGCGCCGGCGCGGGAGGAGGGACGACGCGGCCGTAGGCGCGGAAACGACCGAGGCCGCCGTCGGGCTCCATGCTGAGCTTGAGGTGCGTGATGGGCGCCGACGACTGGGCAAAGAGGAAGAGGTGACGCTGCGCCGGGCCGAGAGGGGTGCTCGGGAGGAGAGTCGTCCCACTGCGCGCGAGCAGGGAGAGGTCTGTGAGTTCACTGAGTTTCCTGAACGAGAGCGCGACCCTGCAGTCTCCTGACGCAGGGCTGGCCCAGAGAGAGAACGAGCGCGACGCACAAGCGGCGAGTCCTCCTTGATCGTCTGGCCCTCGGGAACGTTTGCGCCCCAGACACCGCTCGCCGGCGACCTGTGCACAGCCGGACGGTCGCTATCAGTGCGTGACTCGACGTGAGAGAGACCCAGGGCCGAAAGAGAGCGCGCGAGACGCACTCGTTGCCGGCAAAGTGGCCCGTGTCGATGTCGCACCCGACGACCTCGCCGAGCGCGCCGAGCTTGATGATCGTCCTGCGCAAGGGGCAAGGGCGAGTGTGAGTGTCTCGGCTCGACCTCGCGGCAAGGAAAGGAAGGCGAGGGGAGGGTAGAGCGCACCAGTCGTAGGTCGGGTTGTGCCTCCTCGACTCCCAGCCGTCGAAGAGGGCGCCGTTGGGCCCGAACTGGCCCTTCATGCTGACCGAAGGCTGTGTGGGCACGCGTCAGGGTCGACCACAAAGCGAAAGAGAGCCGAGGAGAGCGAGGCGACGCACAGGAACCTTGAGCAGGTTGTCGGCCGTGCAGAAGAACTCGTCCGACGTGTCGACGATCGAGCCGCCGAGCGCATCCGACGAGAGCTCTGGTGGTGTGGATGTGCGTGCGAGAGAGGGCAAGGGAGCGATAGGGTGGTCGGTGGGGGAGCGGGTTGACGGACGGCCGAGCGGGGAGGGGGAGGAGACGAGGGCGAGGACAGGGCGCAAGGAGGTCAGTGCCGGCTCGATAGATTCGCACAGAGACGAGGACGAGGATCCGCGTGTAACCGCGGCGCAGGACGCACCGATGAGCGAGCCAAAGACCGAGTCGAACTCGTCGAGCGGCACGCGGCGCGCTCCACTCGGGGCGGCGCTCGCGGTCGAGCTGCTCGGGGTGCCGTTAACGAGCTTAGAGAGGATCGAGGAGGGCGTGTGGGCGGTCATCCTGGTTGGGTGTGTGGTGAGAGGAAGAGGGAGGGACGAGGCGAGAGCCGGTCGGCCGTCGCGGTCGCGGAGGCGGCGAAAGCGGAGATGGCCTCTGGCGCTCGCCTGAGCCGCAGCGCTCGCTCGCTGGACAGGAGGACCGCTTTCCCCGTCGTCGTACTCGCCCGCGTGAAGACGGAGCACGCACTCGAGGCGCGAGCGCACGCTCGCTCGCTCTCGTCCAGGCCAGCTGCTCTCGCTCGCACAAGCTCTCGCAGCTCGTCACGATGGTGCAAGTTGCTTTACAACAGCCCGCGTCGTCGAGCCCCGGTCGACAGCCCGCTGCCGTCGCCGTCGCCATCACCCGCTCCCTCCCGCTCGACCCTCCCCAGCTCGCTCGCAAGCCCGCCGTCTATGCCTGCGCGCCGCCGACCTGCTGTGCCGGCGCCGGCGCGGGGGCAGGTGCGCCCTCGAGCGCGGCCGAGAGCGAGCGCGGGAGGGCGAGGTGCGGGAGGACGAGGTGCTCAAAGACGTGCGACGAGGCGTCGATGCCCTGCGCGAACGGGAAGTGGGACGAAAGCAGGTGTCAGTGAGGGTCCTTGGGCATGCTCGAAGCTCGACTGGGACGTGGCCGTGCGGCGATGCTGCGGCGAGGCGAGCTCGCCTCGAGAGCGAGAACGACGCGCTCGCGCGAGCCGACCCAGTCCTCGACGCATGGCGCACGACCGACGAGCAGGAGGAGAGAAGGGACGCACCTGCGTCGTGTACACAGCCCCAACAACCGCCTCGACCGCGCTCCCCCTGCACTTGTACAGGCCCGTCACCTCGCCATCGTGGCCGCGCACCTCGCGCCACCTGAGGGCGCCCTCGACCCCCCACTGGCGGCCGACGCCGGCGCCGAGGTTCTTGGTGTCGAGGAGGGCGTCGAGCGAGAGCGGCGAGCGCGAGGGGGCCGTGAGGGCCTGGGCGAGGAGCGCCGGGTGCGAGGAAGAGAGGCGCGTGAAGAGGTGCTGCGTCAGGTGCAGGCGCAGGACGCGACGACCTGTGAGGAGAAGCAAAGTGTGAGCGCTCCACGATCCGCGCACGAATGCGCTGCGCCGCACTGCGGCGGCAGGAGCGACTCGAGAGAGCGTGAACGAGCGCGACTCACCGACGAACGCGAGCTTCTCGTTGTGCCCGATCCTGCCGCCCTCGTCTGCGCTCCTCGCATGCGCATCGAGCTCGCCGGCGGTGCTCCTCCGGTACAGGGCGCCCTTGTCGACGCCGCTCTTGTGCGTGAGGGCCTTCTCTGCGGTGCGCAGGTCGAGTGCGTCCGGGTTGGGGAGCGCGCGCGGGCCGAGCTGGGTGAGGAGGGTCGAGAGGAAGGTGTGTTGGGACGCGGGTCGGGGCGCGTACAGGTGGGTGCCGGCGGTGGAGGGACGGGGAGGGAGGGACGAGGAGGAAGAGGGGGAGGAAGAGGGGGAGGAGGGGGAGTAGGACGGAGGCGGCGGGGTGTAGCGGGCGAGTGGGGTCGAGGACAAGAGTCGAGGGCTCGGCAGTGCTGCACACGGACCGACCAGGCCTCTGTCAGTCGTCGGGTCGTCGACCCAAGGCGAGCGATGAGGAGGGACAGCAGGCGCACCTCGTTGAGGCTGCGGGCGGCGTGCGGCGTTCGACAGGGCGCGCAGGGCGGATGCTGACCGTGCTGCTGGTGCTGCCATGGCTCGTCCTGGCTAGCTCGAGCGAGTGGGGCGAGGTGGACAGCGTCGACCGCGCTCGACGGAAAAGAGCCGGACCCGCTCACCTCTCCCTCGTCCTCTGGCCAGATTCGGGCTCGGTCAAGCGGCGTACAAAGTTACTTCAAACAGCTCCAGCTACCCCGAGCGAGACTCTGTGCGGTTGCCGCCACGCCACTTTCGGCGGAGAGCTCGGCGGCAGCCTCCCTCTCTCCTGAATCCGCTCACGACCACGGCTCTCTCGCCTGCTTGACGGTCAAGTAGCAGCTGCTGGACAGCTCTCGGCTCGTCACGACCCGACCCGACCCCACTCGCGCTCGCCCTCGCGCCGCTCTCGCTCTCGCCCTCGTCCCCCTCCTCCGCCTTCCGCACCGCCCCGACTCGCCGCAACCTCGACCATGGCGACTCAGTACCTCACGCCCTTCGTCGTGCCCGGGTACGAGCCCCCAGCGCCCGATCCCGAGACGGGCGAGGTCCGCACCCGCAACTGGGACGAGCGCCGCGAGATCATCTGGCAGATGAAGCAGATGCGCCTCGTCCAGGAGGGCATGGAGAGCCCCGTCGCCAAGGCTGCCATCTCGGGTGCCATGGGTCCGTCCCTCTCTCTCCTTCTCGGGCGGCCTCCCTCTCGCGCCGACCCCCAACTGACCGCCCCCTCGGCGCGCTCGCAGGATTCGCCCTCGGCGCCTTCTTCTCCCTCATGGGCTCGTCGTTCACGATCGAGGACCCGTTCCAGCGTGCCCAGTACGAGGGCATGCACATGAAGCAGAAGGCGCGCGTCATCTTTGCCGACATGGGCAAGGGCATGTGGCGCCAGGGCAAGGGCTTTGGCGCCGTCGGCGCGCTGTACGCCGGCACCGAGTGCGTCGTCGAAGGAGTGCGTCCCTCTCTCCCTCTTCTTCGTATCGGCCGTGACGGGGCGGGCGAGGTGGGCAGGGCCAGCGCCTGCTCGTCCGCCTCGTCCGCCTCTTGCACATCCACCCCCGTCGCACACCCAGACTGACCCGTCTTCTGCCGCACAGTTCCGCGCCAAGAACGACCTATACAACTCGGTGTACGCGGGCCTCATCTCGGGCGCCGTCCTCGCGCGCAAGAGCGGGCCGCGCGCCATGGTGCTCGGCGGCATGGGCTTTGCCGCCTTCTCGGCCGCGATCGACACGTACATGCGCCGCGAGACGGTCGACGAGGACGCATAGGTCCTGCGCTCTCCACGGTGACGACGGGGTGCGCTCGCTCGAGGACGAGGACGAGGGGTTGGACGAGGAGGTTCCGGGATTTTTCAGCGCGGTCTCTCTCTCTCTCTCTTGTTGTAGCTCTTGGACTATCACGACGGCCTAGCTGTTGCACTCGCATCTCGCACACTCCCACTCGGTGCGCTCTCGCCAGAGGTGTCCGGACGAACGCGAGCTTGGCTCTCTCGTGAGACGGGCTCGTCGGACGTCCTTTGTCCCTCGGTCCCGCTCGCTCTCGCGCTCAGGCGCGCACGTGCAGCCTGCACTCGAGCTCTACGATGGCCCAGCCAGGGCCTGCAGCGCACCACGCACTCGCCAACGCGCTCCCTGTCGCTCCCGCTCCCCCACACGCCGCCGTCGCCCCGGTCGTCCCACCTCGTCCAGCTCGAGCTGCGCCCCAGCCCGGCACGCCCCTCATGGCCCTCGAGAAGCGCAACTACATTAACCTCGCCGACTCGGACAGCGACGACGAGGCCGACGCGCCGAGGGCGGCCAAGGCCCCGCGAGCTGCCGGCGCACGAGGAGCGCACGAGGGCGTCGACGAGGCGCAGCGAGGCGCAGGACGGGCCGACAACGAGGACAAGGTCCGCCATCGGCGCGCCGAGGTCGTCCTGAGCGACGACGAGGACGACGACGTCCTCATGGACCTCGACCTCGTCGACGTCGACGCGGCCGAGTACCGGCGCGGCGCCGCAGCTCGTGCGGCCGCCTCGTTCGCCAAAGAGCACCCGCCGCAGCACGAGCGTGCTCCCACCCCTCCTCCCGTCGCCGGCCCCGCCCCAGCCGAGCACCCCCTCCCCCCTCCCGCGCCGCCGCACCCCGAGCCGCGCGCGCACCACCGCTCGCCCTCGCCGGCATTCGACGCCGACCCGCTCACGACGGCGCTCGACACCGTGTCGAGCATACTCCCCGACGTGTGCCGCGCGACGGTGCGCACGCTGCTCGGCGGGCAGGCGGCGCTCGGGCCGGTCAACGTCGAGGCGGTGCTCGACGAGCTCTTTGGATGGGAGGGCGGGTACCCGAGAGAGGGCGAGGGTGCGGCGGGACGTGCGGGAGAGTCGCCCGACGGGAGCGAGGGCAAGGGCAAGGGCAAGGCGAGGGCGCGGGACGAGGACGAGGACGAGATGGGGCGAGGCGGTACGGTCGGGCTCGACGAGTACGAGGAGGAGGCGCTGCGAGTCGCCAAGCAGTGGGTCGATGTCGCCGCGAGGAAGGCGCCTGGGCGTGTGTACGAGGACGCAGCGTGCGTCCACTCTCGCTCCGCCTCGTCTGCCGCGCACCGACTGACCCGTCCGTTCCCCTTCCCTCCCTCCTCGCAGCCTCCTCCAGCTCTACGCCGACTTCCCGATCCTGCGCCAAGTCGACCTCAAGCACCTGTTCGCGTCCAACTCGTCGCTGTACGGCCCGACGTGGCTCGCCGTCGACGCCGCGTTCCGACTGCCGGTCGAGGCGCGCCCGTTCAAGGAGATGGCGGCACCGCGCGCCGACAAGGGCAAGGCCAAGGCCAACGTGCATGACGAGCTCGAGAGAGAGAAGACCTGGATCAAGGACCACTCGGGTGCGTCCCTTTCTCTCGCTCCCTCGTCTGCGTGCGGGAGTTGGGCAACGAGGGCTGACTTTCGCTCCTGCCCCTCGCCGTCAACAGCATGCTACCTCGCCGCCGTCGCCCACAGTGCCGCTCTCGAGGCTCGGCTCGAGGCCGAGGTCGCGTCGGGCGCCTACTTCGAGTGCGGGTGCTGCTTCGCCGACGTCGCCCTCTCGCAGATGGGTGCGTCGCCCTCTCCCTCTTTCCCTCCCTCCTCCTTGCCCCTAGGATTCGCCCTGACGTTCTCCATCGTCGTCGACAGTCACGTGCGCCGAGGGCTGCCACTTCTGCAAGGACTGCGCGCGCATGAACGCCGACACGCAGATCGGCATGCGCAAATACGTGCGTCCGCCTCTCTCTCCTCTCTCTCTCCCGCACCTCTTTTCTCTCTCATCAAGACGCTGACCCTGCCGTCTCGAACTCGGCGCAACAGGTCCTGCCCTGCATGTCGACCTCGGGCTGCTCGGCCAAGTTCCTCGAGCGCGAGTACCCGTCGTTCCTGTCGCGCAAGTCGATCGCAGCGCTGCACCGCATCAAGCAGGAGAAGGAGATTGACGAGGCGGCCCTCGAGGGGCTCGAGAAGTGCCCGTGCGTCGCTCGTTCCCCTTCCTCTCGCCTCGACGTGCGCTCGGGCCTCGTGTGCTCGAGCAGGAGGGCTCATGTTCGGTTCGCCGTCGCGCAGGTTCTGCCCGTTCGCCATGATCATCGAGAACCCGGAGGAGCGCCTGTTCAGGTGTCAGCGCGAGGACTGCGAGGTCGTATCGTGCCGCGAGTGCAAGAAGGTGCGCCCTCGCCTTTCTCTCCTCCTCGTCCACCCCGCCGCCCCGGTACTGACTGCCACCCTTCCCTCCCTCGACTCTCCTCTGCGCGCAGAAGGACCACCTGCCCGCAACGTGCGCCGAGGCGTCCGACGACGCGCGCCTGAGCAAGTTTCACGCCGTCGAGGAGGCCATGTCGGCGGCCCTCATCCGCCGCTGCCCGAAGCCTGGGTGCGGCGAGCCGTACGTCAAGGAGCCAAATACGTGCAACAAGATCGTCTGCTCGGCGTGCAGGACGCTGTCGTGCTACATGTGCGTCGGGCTCTCCTCCCTCTCTTCGTCCCCCATGTCGTCGGTCGAGGGTCGGCGAGAGCCGGCTCTCGTCGTCCTTGGCCCTCGCCTCTCCTTCTCGCGCCTCGACTGACCTGCCCATGTTTCCCTGCAGCTGCGGCAAGATCGTGAGTCTGAACCCTTCTCCCTTTCCCGTCGACCTTCCCAAACTCGCCTTCTCGGTCCTCCTCTCGGCCCCCTTGGCCCTCTCAGGCGCCCTCGACCTGCCCAACTGACTCTCTCGGCGTCTATAGATCACCGGCTACCAGCATTTCGTCAACCCTGGCTCGAACCTGCCGGCCGGCACCGTCGTCGAGGCGGGCTCCACGTGCGCCCTGTGGGACGACACCGACCAGCGCAACTACCAAGGTGCGTCCACTCCCTTTCCTCTCCCATCATATGTACCCCTCGACATGTCGAGCGGGATTCGCCGCTCGCCCGTCCGGCGGCTGCGATTCCTCGACGCACCTTCCCCGCGCCCTGTCGCTCTCCTCGCGAACCTTGTTCTCGTCCTTGCCTGTTCTGACTCTCTCTCTCTCGTCGATTGCCGGATCCCGCAGAAGTCGAAGCGGCTCGTGTTGCCGCCGAGGCCGCCGCACGTGCGGCAAATCCGGCGCTCAAGCAGGAGGACCTCGCCAAGCTCGCCATGGACGTCCCGCCGCCGCCGCCGCGCAAGATCGCCCACCTCCCGCCGCCGAGGTTGAACGACCCTTGGGTCGCTCATCAGCGGGACCTTGCGCTCGCGCGCGTTGCGGCGGCAGCAGCCGCGCCCGTCGCCGCCGGTCCGCCCCCTCGCGCTCGAGTACCTCCTCCGCCCGCGCTACACGTGCACGCCCCAGCTCCTCAAGCACTCGCAGTCGCCGAGAACAACGCCGAGCTCCTCTCCGAACGCGCGAGGCTCGAGGCGATGCGTGCGGCCGCCTGGCAGGCCCGCGTCGAGCAGCTCGTCCCCAAGCGCGTCGCCATGCCCGCCGCGCCCGCTCCCGTACCTCGAGCGCACGTTCCCGCCCCAGCAGCACCTCCACCTGCCGCTCCTCGTCGCGCACCAGCACCCGCCGCAGCCCCACCGCAGCCCGCCGCCGGCCGCTTCCTCGTCAACCGCGCCTGGCAGCCGCCGCCGATCCCTCCTCCCGCTCGTCGAGCGCCGCAACCCGTTCCGCCCGGCGCACCCGCCAAGCCCAAGCCCAAGCAGTCGCCGCCCAAGCACGTCCAGTTCGCGCACCCGCCGCTGCAAGATCGCGACGCCGGGCCTGCAGCAGCTGGGCCCGCCTTTCCTCGCGCCGGCGGCGGCGGCGGCGGCGTGCGATTCGCGCCTTACCCAGGCGGCGCCGCACCTGTGCCCGGTGGCGCCGGCCAAGGCGGCGCGGCGGCGCGCCGAGGGGCGGGCGTGAGGTTTCGCGAGCAGGAGGAGGCGGACGAGGTGGAGAGGCGGCGCCGGGCCCAGGTCAAGGAGGAGGAGCGCGAGGCCAAGAGGAGGAGGCTGACGGGCAACGGTTAGTCGGGGCGCAGGGCAGGGTCGGTCGGTGAGGGAGCGAGACTGGGCGCGAGGAGGCCATGGAGGAGCGAGGAGCTGAGGGTCGGGGTTTGCGGGTGGCGGTCGGCGTCGAGCCGGCGCGCTCTCTCGGCTGCTTGTCGTGCTCACGAGTCGCCTCGAGTGGGCTGGACTCGGATTCTGTGTCGTACTTGTACCTTTGCCTCGTCATTTTGCATCGTCCGGTCGTTCCTTCCTTCCTTCTCTCTCCGTCCGCGTCCGTCGCCGGGCCGTACCTGCTCGCGTTGCGGACCTGTCGCTCTCGTGCTCTCGCTTCGGCATCGGGCGGGGAGCTATGGTTTCGATTGCGGTGCGAGCGACAGTGGGCAGGGCGAGGTCAAAGGGGGACGAGAAGGGCTGCGAACGACGCCTCGCACGAGCGACGAGCGAGCTCTTCGTGGTACAGAGACTTTGAGACGAAAGGGAGAGGTATCTTTGCGAGTTGCGAGATGCGACGAGGCGGGGTGGCGAGAGAGAACGAGAGGGGAGGAGACACTGCCGACAAAGGAGGGGAGGACGACGAGTTGGAGGTCGGACTGCGACATCTACAGACAGAGGGACAGCTATAACGAAGAGAGAGGCGATGTTGGTGCGGAGGGAGGAACGTGCGGGAGGGACGAAGGTGGGAGGCAAGTCGACGAGGGCGACGACGACGACCACGAGCGACCGAGCGACGGGCTCAACGCTGCTGTCGCTGCTTCTTGCGCGCCCGCTCGTCGGCGTCGTCGAACGCGTCGATCCCTCGCTCGTCCTCGCCGAACGAGTGCGGCGGCGCAGGCCCGCTCGACGGGTTGAGGAGCGACGACAAGGGCGGCAGCGTCGTCGTCGGCGTCGGCGGCTTGGACCCGTCCGCCTCGGCGACCACGCCGTTCGCCGTGCCGTACGAGGCGGGCGCGCCGTGGCCGAGGTGGCAGTCGGGGCGAGCTGTCGCCCACGCCGAGTACGAGCCGCCGGGCGGCGGGCCGGCGCTGCGAGGGCGCGCTGTGCCCTGCGATGGCGCGAGGCTCGATGATGCAGGTCGAGTCGACTCGTACGCCGCCGACGACGAGGGCGGCCGAGGGGACGGCAGAGTGCTGATGCTGCTGCGCATGTCGGCGCCGGTTCCGGGTCGGCCGGCTGCTGCAGGGTCCTGGCGCGAGTCGGAGCGCGACGAGCGAGTGTAGGACTCGGCGGCGGGAATGCGGTTGTAGTAGAACTGCGACTGGGCGGTGGAAGGGCGAGGCGAGGGAAAGGCGTGGCCGGTCGGCCAGGCGAGGCCGGTCGCGTATGCGAACGGGTTCGGGTAGAGTTGCGGCGGCGTCGCGTCGGGATGGAGCTTGGCGAGCGCGGCGGATGCGGCTTGGACTGCGAGGGAGAAGGAGGCAGGTCAGGTCGTCGTTCGCGCTCGGACCGCTCGAGGCGCCTCGGCCGACTCACCCTCCTCGCTGTGTTGCCCGTCCGGGTCGAGTCGCGCGACGATGCCGAGCATCGTCTGAAGGACGGCGTGCGACGCGTTGCGCATGCCGATGAACTCTTGCTGCGAGTAGTGGAGCGCGTCGCTCAAGCTGCGGACCTGGCCCTCGAGCGTCGACACCTGCCGCACGAGCGGCTCCTCGGCGTACGGGTATCGGTAGCCGGACGATAAGGAAGACGGGGGAAGAGGATAGGTGCGAGTGCCGGGCGAGAACTGGTGCGGGACGACGTAGGAGGTGGGCTGGATCGGTGGCGGAGGAGGGTGGCGAGCGTAGGTCGGCGAGACGAGTCCGGAAGGCGGCCGAGCATCTGCGACGTCGTCACCGCCGTCAGCTCGGTACAAGAAGGGGGAGGAGGGGGAGGGAGGAGAGGAGGAGGGACGGACCGCCGTTCTCGTCTTTCGCTCGGACCTGCGCCGTGGACGACTCGCCGCTGAACGGCGCAAAGTCGGCGAGGCCGGCTGCGATGCGCCTCGACGGCGCCGCATGGTCGTCCCGGGTAGGCGGACGAGGCGTCGGTGGCCCGGAAGGAATGCCGGCGCCCGTCGGGAGCGAGCTCGTCGACCCTTCTCCGTCTCGCTCCTCGACCGACTGGCCCGCATCGCTCGTCGCGCTCGGCGCGAGGTCTCGTCGCGACGCTCGCAAGGACGACAGGGCCGAGACGGACGATCGTCGACGAGGAGGAGCTGGCGACGCTTGCGCCGTCGCGTTCGACCGAGCCGTCTTGCGCTTGATGCGCGCGAGGAGGTCGGGTCGGCCGCGCTGAAAGTTCGGGTTGCGGAACTCCCAAGCTTGTACAGGCGTGCCGTCGGGCTTGAGCGTCGGCTGGTTCGAGCCGAGAACGTCGTTCACTGCGCGAGGAAGGGATCGTCGGTGAGTCGGGCGAACGCGAGGCGGGAACGAGGACGAGGCGCGAGACGCACCCTTGGACCAGCTGTAGAAGTTGAGCTGCCGCAGGAACGACGCAAAGTTCGAGTGCTTGAAGAACTGGGGCAACACGGTGCGCGCAAACTCCTCGGGCGAGTACACGAGGAAGCTCTTGCCGTCGGCCGACCACGAGATCAGGTTCTGCAGCGCCGGCGTGTCGACCATCCTGCGAGGGCGAGCGAGGTCAGTCTGTAGAACCTCGATATCGAGTCGCCGAGTGCTCGAGACTCACGACCAGACCCTGGAACGAGGGGGAGAGAGAAAGTCAGTACGCTCCTCGGAAGTTCCGACCGAGAAAGGGCTCGACTCGACGCACTTGTGGACGAACGCGGCCTGGGTCTTGCCGCCGTTCGGGAACACTGCCTTGCGAGCAGCCTCGCCGGCGGCAGCAGACATCGAGTCCAGCGCCGCCGTCGCTGTCGCCGGGTCGACCTCGGGCGTCCTTGGTCGCCCCTCGCTCGACGCTGCGTCCTCGGCCTCGTCCTCGAGCTCGTCGCGGTCGTAGTCGTCGTCGTGCTCGTGAGCTGCGCTCGACTCGGTCGAGTCGCCCTGCGAGGCGGTCGAGGCGACGGTTGGGCGTGCTGCAGTCGAGGGAGCGGATGTCGACGGTTCTTGCACGTCGTTCGACATGTTGCCGGCGAGCACAGGGGGCTCCGACTGGTCGTCGAGGTAGTCGTCGCGCGAGTCGAGGGCGAGATGCCGAAAGATGGGCGTGCGAGGGAGGGAAAGGGCGGGAAAGGAGGGGGAAAGGTCGGGCTGTGGCCGGGTGTCGCAAGGTCAGTAGTGCATCCTCGAGGAGCGGGCGAACGTATGCGGGACTCACGCCGCCGCTAGCTGTCGAGGCACGTGTCTGTACGATAGCGCGAGGCGCGGGTACCGAGTAAGAACTGGCGCAGGAGCGACCGCTCACGCGCGACTGCGCGCCGCGAGCCGAACGACGGAAGGGTTGGACGACAGGGAGGTGCCGCTCAGTGCAGTGCGCCGAGAGCTGAGGACCGGACGTGCGAGCACGGCGGCAATTCGGGGAGACGAGCCGGAGGCTGCCGCGAGTCGCAGGGGGTCCGTGTCGAGAGACGGGTGGGGTGGGGGGAAGGCGCTAGCGCTCGCTGCGACGGCGGAGCACGGCCGGGGTAGGCAGACGACGACGACGACGACGAGGTGCACGACGACGCCGGGCCGTGAGCGAGGGAGGGAGGGACGGCGAGGAGGGGGAGGAGAGCACGCGACGATGGAGCGGCACGGCGGTGGCCTCGGGGATGGCAAGGGCTGATTTGCGGACCGCTCCCCTTGTACTTTCCCCGCTGCCGGCTCCCCCTCGTTTTCCGTCGCCGTCGAGGACCGTGCCTGAGAAACGCTCGCTCCTCTTCCAGAAACAGCTCTAAGTTCTCGCTCGCTCGCACCGTTTGCCTTCAGCGCCCGCGTCCCATGTCGCTTGCCAGCGCGAGACGGCCTCCAGGTCATGGACGCCTAGCGCGCCATAAAGCTTGCCTGCGCACACACCCGCGCTCTCGCCCGGCTTGCTCAGCTTGCTTGCTTGCGGCTCGCCTCGCCTGCGAGAGAGGTCGCCGCTGCATCGGCTCGCTCTCGTACCTGGTCTGCGTCGACTCGCTCGTGAGAAGGCGGGCGAAAGGCTTTCGCTGACGTCGAGCGCACGTGCCTCGCCGACACACGGACGGCGGACGGCGCTTTCTCGTCGTCGCGGTGAGCGAGTTACCCAGGCCGGCGACTGAGCGACAAAGCCCACCTGCACAACGCCAACCTGGCTCGCCGTCGCCGAGTCGCCAGGCGACCTGAGCATCGTGCCTCGAATTTGGCCGCAACCCGCACTTTTTAAAGTTGCGCGCGCGACTCGGGGTCGGCGCCTGTCGGCGCAGATCCCCCCGCCTGTTGCGGCATACGTCGCTCGGACCGCGAGCTTGTGCGGAGCTGGCCCTGCGACTCGGCGAGACGACCGTCGCGTCGCCTCCTCCTCCTCCTCCTCTCTCTCTCTCTCTCTCGGCTCTTCGACGCTCCCTCTCCCTCTACGCTGCTCGCCGCTTCCGCGCTCTCGCTCTCGGGAACCTCTCTCGCTTGGCGCAGATGGCAACGGCGTCGGAAGACGATCTGCCGGCTCGGCCGTTGCCTGCGGACCTCTCCTCCTTTAATTTGCTCGCCGGAGTCCGAGCAGCTGCACATGCATGTGCGCTCGGCCGTACTTACGTCGTCCTCGACCACGATCGCTCGCTTGCCCGACCGTGGAAGCCCGCTGATGAGCGTGTGCACGAACCGGTCGCTCGGCCCTCCTTCATCGAGAGCAACTTGAGAAGGTCGCCCTTGCTCGCGACCGAGAGGGCGCGCTTCGCTCGGCCGTCGGCGCTACATACAGTATCTCGGCCAGGTCGAGGAGCCACTCACGATTGCTCGCGGCAACAAGCACTGCGAGCGAGAGAGTGAGCAAGGCTGCCGCCGCGAGGTGCGCCTTCGATTCCGCCGGACAGCCAAGCACAGCGCTCGCACGCCACGAGCTTCCTGCGAGGCCGTCGTCGGCTGGACTCTGCAATCGGAGCTCGGCCGTGCTCGAGAGATCTGCACCTCGCTCAAGGGGAAACCCGGCCTCGAGGACTCAAGGCTTTCCCGCGAGCGGAGCAGGTCGGGGGAGAGGCAGCGTCAAGCGGGGTCGAGCGGCAGGATCGACACGGCCAGATGCCAGGGTCGGCTTACGAATGCATGCTCGTGCGAGAGAAGCGGGCGTAAAACGGCACTCCGTCGTTCACCACGGTGCTTGCCCTCGAGCGGTCGCCCGGTCGTGCTTCCGAATCTCCCACGAGTCTGCTCTCGTGCGACCGCCACGCTTCACGTGCGCGCTCGCCGGGCGAGCGGATCTGCATTGCACACCAGCACGATGCTCGTCGAGCAGAACGTCATCTGGCGCCGCCGAGCAGCTCGAGAGCGAGGCGTCGTCCGCACGAGCGAGCAGAGCATGCATGCAGCCAGCTCGAGCATGTCCCACTGTCGCTCTCGAGCGCGAGCTTAATCTGGAGCGTTCGCCCTCCGAGCTGCCAGGCGCAGTGCAGTCCGCGTCCGACGAGATCACGAGCCGGCCCGCTCGCCGGTCCGTGCGCCCTTGCTGAGCGCGAGGTCAAAAGTGCGCGGCCAGGTGGCCGACCTCGCGGCGAGCTGGCGCCCTCGCCAGCACCTCGCGCCTTCGTCGGCCTGCTGCTCGGTGGGCAGTACGTCCTTGCGCGCAGCACGGCGAGGCTCCAGTTCGCTCGGACGGAAGACGAGGGCCCGGGTCGGCCAATGTCAACCGCGACGCGCGCGCTCTGTAGGTTGCCGCTTCGCTTCTTTCGGCTTCGTCGCCGGCGCTCATGCGCATCCTCGTCTGTGCTGTCGGGCCCGCATGCAGGCGAGCCGAGACGAGCCGGCGACGAGCAGCTTCCGTGCCGGTCGAGAGCGATCCACGTCTTGCGCCAAAGCCGACTCGAGGGTCTGAGCGTCGCGCTCCGTTCGTGTCGTGTCGTCTCGTCCGTCTCGCAGAGCTGCGCAGGAGGTTGTCCGACGTCCGCAAGCGAGCATTCCGTTCACGAGCGTACCTCGCTCGAGAAGCTTTCCGTGCGTCAGCGCTCGGCCAAGTTGACCTCTCAGGGGGTGCGAGCGGCGACCGGCGAGACACTGGGCTCAGCTCCTTCTCGAACTGCGCGCTTCTCCCGCTCTCCCGACTCGCGAACAAGCGGCAGGGGACGAGTAGCCGTGACGGTACCTGCACGAGCGAGCGCGCTCTGACCCTCTTTCCTTCGCTCGCCGAGGGCAGGACGAGCGAACGCAGCACCGACGCCGCTTCGTCGACTTGCGCGACGCTCGACAACTCTCGAAAGAAATGTGCGAGCCTCTTTACGAGCGAAAGGCGCACATGCGCTCAGAGGAGAACGAGGGGAGCCGGCGGCGAGTGCGGCACCGCCAGCCGCGCCTCCTCGCACCCTCGCACGTCGCACTCTTACCCAGACCGAACCTGCTCGCATTGTCCTGCTGCTGAGCCCTCGCGATAAAGTGGAGCGATGCGACGCTCGACGCTCGAGCGACGGTCTCGGAATCCCCTCAGACACTGTTGCCCACCCGCACTCGCACGCCGTCGACGCCCGGGCCTCTTCCCTCGCCTCGCCACGTCCACGTCGCACGGCTGCGCGTGATGAACAGCTTCTCGCGTTGCAAGCTCGCAAGGGACGGAGGCTCGTGACTCTGCGAGCTCGCGCGAGCGCGCTCGAGCCTCTCTTGCAGCTGGCAAAGGAGCGAATGCGGGCTCGCAGCGGCGACGAGTGTGGGAGGATCGAGCGCATGCACGCTTGCCGCCGGGCGGACGAGCGGGAAGCGCGTGGGAAGCTGGATTGGGCGAGAGCGGAGTGCGCAAAGGGTTCTCCGAGCGCAGCAGTGCAATCGAAGGAGCCGCTCTCGGGCACCTCCTCGACGAGCGGAGCCTGTGCGGCCGTCGCTGCTGCCCCCTTTCGAGCGAGAGGGCCAGGGCAGCGACGTCGACGACGAGGGGAAAGAGCGTGGGCACCAGCCTCTGCGTCGTCGCGTGCGCACCATTCGAGCGAGAACAGGCTCGGTCGCCTCGGACGACGAGCGAGCGAGGGCGAGTGTCGCGCTAAGCCTCGAACAGGTGAGCACACGCGCGTCTGCCTTTGCTGCGAGCGGCCCGAACTTCGAAACCTGGAGGGGTCCGCTCGCGCGACACGTTGCAGACGCCGAGGCGGCGCGCGGCGGGCGAGCGGAGGCCTCTCATCACGCGCAGCTCAATCGCCACGTCGGCGGAGGGAACATTGGCCTTGGCCCGCAGCTGTGCTTGCCGCCATCGCCCGCTGGTGCGACGAGCCAGAGCAGCTACACGACCGCCCTGCGTTACGAGCGGGTGCGAGTCTGAGCCTGGGCAAACCCCGCCTTTTCCACGCCGGGCTCGATCTCCCGACCCACCGCCGCGTCTTGGTCGTCTCGCCGACTTCGCCGCTCGCCCTCGCTCCCTCGCCACCTGTCGCCCGCCCGGACAGCAGTGCCGGACGAGCGGGCAGCACTAGCTCGCAACGTCCGCGGGGACGCACACGCCGTTCGTCCGCGCCGCCGCCGCCGAGCTCCTCTCCTCGTTCCTCCCGAGGGAGCCCACCTCGCCTGCGCGCTCTCTTTCGCCCCGCCCGCCCCGGGAATGGCCGCGCACGCGTGCCCGCACCCTTTCCCTCCTCTCCCTTCCCCCGCCATGTCGCCCGACTCGCACCAGCACAAGCGCAGGCGCGTCCACGGCGACGACGACCGACTCCCCGTCGCCGTCCCTCCACTCGCAGTCCACGCCGCACCGCCCTCACCGCCGAGCCCCACCCTGTCGTCCGTGTCGGCACTCGCCCTGTTCGCCGCCGAGATGGTCGCCTGGCTGTGGTTCGCGCCGAGCCCGGGAGCAGGAGCAGGAGCAGGCCGAGGAGGCGGCGGCAGCCCCGAGACGATGGCGGTCGACCGAGGTCAAGTACGGCCGACTGACCGCTTCGTGCGGTTCTGCCAGGAGGTTCTCGCGACGAGTGCGTCCCTGTCCTTCTCCCTCGGCAAGCCCCAAGCCGAGCGAACTGACCTGGTCCTCGTCCACCTCGCAGCGCAAGTGTCCGAGTCCGTCGTCATCCTCGCCCTCCTGTTCATCTCGCGCCTCAAGCAGCGCAACCCGATCAACGGCGCACCCGGGTCCGAGTACCGCCTCGCCGTCACGGGCCTCATGCTCGCCAACAAGATCCTCGACGACAACAGTGCGTCCCCACTTTCGCCTTCCGCCCCTCGCGAGGGCAACCAGCTCTCGGCCATAGTCTCACTCCCTGACAACCTCTCGGTCCACAGCCTACACCGCCCAGACGTGGTCCCAAGTCTCGTCGCTCGAGCTGGTCCGTCCCCTTTTCCACCCGTTCTCGCTCGTCGACTTTCCGGCCCTGACCCTCCTGCGCCGACAGAAACCGCTCGTCGCCGGCGAGGCCGAGTTCCTGCGCGGCCTCAACTGGTCACTGCACGTCACGGGCCGAGATTTCGAGGCGTGGCGCAAGCTCCTCGACGGACACGTCGCCGCCCGCAAAGCGCGGCTCGGCCGGCTCGGCGGCCTCGACAAGGCGCCGCGCAGGTCGTCGTCGAGCGTGCGGGCACGCGAGCGCGAGCGCGTCAAGCACGGCGACCTGCACGGGCTCGGCATCGGGCTCGAGGGCGACGCGGCTCGTGCGCCGCCGTCGATGCTCAGCCTGCCGCCCATCTCGGCCGCCGTCGCAGAGCGCTACCCGGTCGGGCGGCCCGGCTTTACCGCGTCGGCGCACACGACGCCGACGAGCGCGTTCGCGTCGTACCAGCTCGGCAACTCGTCGGCGCCGCCCAAGGCGCACCCAGCCTCGTCGGCCCCGCTCCCGCAGTACGGCCTGCCGGCGCACGCGTCGGGCGAGGCTGTCCGCAACCCGCTCGACGTGTCGCCGACGACGATCGCATTCTACCGGCGCAACTCGGGCATGCGCGCGAGCGCGCCGTCGGCCGTGCACGGCGTCAAGCGCAGCGGCGACGAGGCGTTCGCGCACGAGCCGCCAATGCCGTCGTACGTCGCGGCAGCACTGCCGCTGCACGTCCAGCAAGCGGCGCAGCACATGCCCGACATGGTGCGCTCGTACAGCGCCGGGCCGGCCGCCTCGTCCGCCCCACCGCCCGGCGTGCAGCAGCAGCAGCAGCAGCCGCCCTACTCGCACTACGGGCCCGGTCCTTCGCCTTTCTACCTCCACCCTGCGCACCACGTCACGCCCATCCCGTTCTCGGTCTCGTCGTCGCCGCACGCCTCGCGACCGTCGTCGTCGTCGTCGGGCATCTCGGGCCACCCTCCACCGGCGCCCTTCTACTTCCCCGAGCCGCAGCAGATGTCGCCCGCCGGGTTCTCGACCCTCTCGGACGCCTTCTCGCCGCGGTACGAGCGCGACACGCGCCGCCGCCTGCGTCAAGGAACGGCGACGCTCGACTACTACTCGCTCGCGGCCGGCCACGGTCTCGGCCACCTGCGCCAGACGCTCCCGCCGCCACCAGTAGCGTGGCCCGTCGTCCAACCGCAGTACTACTACCCGGCGCCAGGCTACGCGCCTGTTGCCCTCGGCCACCAGCCGCCGGCGCCGCACGCCATTCCCTTCTCCGCCTCGACCTCGCCGACTGCGCCGCCGCCGTTCGACACGTTCGCGTTCCAGCACCACCACCAGCAGCAGCAGCACCGCCAGCAGCGGCATCCGCTGTCGACGCCGCCGCAAGCCTACTACGGCGGCGCGCTCGCGGCGCCATTCATGACGGCGTCGACGTCGCAGTCGTCGGCCATGCCGCCGCCGCGCCCTCACGGGCACCAGCACGGCGCGCATCGGCGCACGAGCAGCGGCGGGCACAGCGGGCGCGGCGCCGCAGGCGCACCGGGCGGCGCGAGCCCGCTCGACCTCACGTCGACGCCCGGCGGCGGTGGGGCCCAGTCGTACTCGCCGACGACGGTCCCGAGCGGCCTCGGCGCGCCGTACTACGCGCACCCGCCGCCGCAGCACGCGCATGCGCACCCGCACGCGTACGCGCTCGCGCAGCACGGCTTTGCGTGGCCGCCCCAGCCGCCGGCGGGGCTCGTGCACGCGCACCAGGTCCAGCAGCAGCAGCCGCAGCAGCCTCTCGCGCCCGCGCCCGCCGGCTACTACTCGGCGTACTCGAACGCCGGCGTGCCCGGCGTCTACTACCGCGGCTGAGCGCGTCTCCCTCGTCCTCCCTGCGCCTCTCCCTCCCTCCGTCTCTCTCTCTTACTCTCTCCTCTCTCGCACGCTTTGCTCTCGTTCGCAAGTACCCTACCGTACCGTCCCTGCATGCAGTTCTCCCACTCGGCCCACCCCTCATCGCGCGATACCCACATCACGTTCTGCCCCCCTCCTCATCCTCCTCCACTCGTAGACACTCCCCTCCCTTTGCGCCGTCACTACCTTTGTCGTTACCGTGTCGCGTCTGTAGCGTTTATGCACCTGTTTTGCCTTCCCTCGCCGTCGCCGTGTCGCGCCCAGAGAGAGAGAGAGAGAGCGCGAGTCGAGGCTCGAGCGGCTCGAGCGCTCAAGCTCCTGCCTCTCGGTCGTCGTCAGGCGTGGGCTCGAAGCTCTTTGTCTCTCAAACTCTTTCCCTTTCTCGCTCGTCTTTGATCTCTCAAGAAGGTCGCTCGAGGACGGAGGTGAGAGAAGAAGAGACAGGACAGTCTATTGCCTCCTCCGCACAGGCTCCTCCCAAACGACGACGACAAGGGCGACGACGACAACGACGGCAAAAAGACAGCACAGCGCGCACGCCGAGAGAGGGAGGAGCGAGAGACAGACAGCCGCCGCACTGCGTTTTGCGGCTGCGCGAGGGGAGGGGGAGGGAGGGAGGACAAGGTGAGAGGGATGCGTGTCTGCGACGATGCGGCGTCGACCTCGATGCGAGGCGTCGAGGGCGTGAAAGGGGAGAATGAGGGAGAGGGACGACATGTTGTACGACAAGGGGGTGCGGGGCTCGGGTCGAGGTAGAGAAGAGGGAGGATGGCGAGGAAGGAAGGCGAGGGACGACACCGATCGAGGACGTGGGCGAACGCGGGCGGAAAGGATTAGGTGGCCGAGGGAAATGGCGAGGTGGAAGGCGAGGGCGAGCGAGGTGAATAGAGTAGGCGAGAAAGTCTAAGGCGAGGCGAGGGAAGGTGAGGAAGGGTGCGTGGAGGGCGGTAGGCGACGACGACGACGACGACGACGCTCAGCGCCGGTTCTGCGGGTGGAGCGACGACGTTGACGGAGGCGGTGGCGGGTCCGTGTGGTGGACGTTGAGGTTGGCGTCGATAGGTCGAAGCGCGTGCACGAGCTGCGGGTCGACGGTGGCGGCTGCGCGATGCGGGACGAGCGAGACAGTCAGGAACGTCCTCGACGAGCGAGAGAGAGAGAGAGAGAGGAAGAAGAGGAAGAGGGGAGGACGCACCGTTCATGACGGCCGGGCTCTCGGTGTTCATGCCCCGGATCCCCCTCGCAATCTGCTTGCCCTCCTCGACCCTCTTCTGCCGGTCGTCGATGCCCTCGCCGCTCTCGAGCAAATGCGCCTCGATCTCGCCCTGGACGACGACGCCCTGGAGCCAGTCGTGGTCGAGCATGTCGCGCGCCGTCGCGCGCTTGTCCGGGTTGAGGTTGAGCATGGGCTGGAGGAACGACTCGAGGTGCTTGGCCTCGGCCTCGGTGATGAGGTACTTGTCCTGCAGGACCGAGTGCATCGGCCAGAACTTGAGCTTGTGGATGTGCTTGAGCTCGCCTGCGAGGGGGACAGGCTCGAGCGTCAGTTCTCTCACCTCTTCGCCGAGAGCCGCACGCCGAACGACGTCGGCGGCCGCTCAACATAAAGAGAGATGTCGGGACGGACCTTTCCGGGTAAAGATCTCGGCGCTGAACTTGCCGCTGAGCGCGATCGAGCGCGGGAAGGGGCCGAGGAGCTCGATGATCTGGGCGATGTGGTCGTCGTCCTTGTTGTACCGCGTGCCCGGGTGCGGGTCAAACAGGTAGTCGCCCGTCAAGAGCTCGAAGAACTGCAAGCGGAGCGGGCGAGGGCGGGAGGAGGACGAGGAAGGGAAGAGGACGTGGGAAGGAGGGGAAGGAGAAGGTCAGGACCTCGAGCTCGTGACGCGCTCATCCTCGCGCCGCTCGCCGAGAAAGAGAGAGAGAGAGGACGGACCATGGCCGATGCGCTCCAAATGTCGACCGCCGTCCCCCACTTTGCGCCGAGGATGGCCTCGGGCGAGCGGTACTGGCGCGTCTGGATGTCGTTGGTAAAGTGCAGGTCGGTCCAGCTCGCGTTGCCGAGGTCGGCGATCTTGACCGTGATGCGCTCGAGCGTCGACGGGTCGTACGGCGCGAGCGGCGGGAGCGTGTTGGGGTCGCCGGCGACGATGGCGGGCTGGAGCGGGTCGCGAGGGAGGGCGTGCGGCGGCGAGGCTTCTTCGGGAGGTGGGGAGCGCATCGTGACGTCCGAGTCGTTGTTGTGCTGCTGCTGCTGCTCCTGCTGCTGAGTATGGGCGGAAGAGGACGAGGTCGAGGCCGGCTCGGACGACGAGGATGGGGTGGGGAGGGATGCGCCGCTCGTGCCCGACTGGGCCGCCGCCGCCGCCTGCTGCGACAGGAGCGACGGGCCCTTTGCCGGGGCCGTCGCCGGCGCCGTCTTGGCGCCAATGTCGGCGAGCTGGACGCCGGCCATCTGCTCGCCAACGTCGTCGGGCGTGGTCGCGCTCATGCCCTGCTTCTTGACGCTCCCGACGTACGAGCCCGTGCCGCCCGAGTCCGAGATCTTGCTCATCTGGAACGCGAGCTTCTCGATGACGGGGCTCGTGCCGTAGCTGCTCGACGGCGACGGGAGCGGCTGCGACCCGGTGATGAAGACGGTCTCGGCGCGCGGCGTCTGGGCGCCGCCGCGAGGCTGCGACGGCGGGACGCCGATCATCTTGGTCGGGACGGCGGCCGGCGACGTCTCGAGCTCGGCGCGCACGACGGCCTCGACGTCGTCGATGCAGATGAGGACGTTCTCGGGCTTGAGGTCGGTGTGGATGATGCCGCACTCGCGGTGGATGTAGTCGAGGCCGAGGAGGACCTGCTTGGCGATCTGCTTGCAAATGTGGTCGGGCACGCCGCGGTGGTGGTACCGCTTGATGAGGCCGAGCAGGTTCTCGCCGAGGACCTCGAACACCATGCAGACGTGCGTGCCGTTGGGCCCGCGGTGCGTAAAGTGGTCGAGGAGCGAGACGACGTGTCGTCGGCCCGGGTGCGCCGGGTTGCACTCGACGACGCGCTGCAGGAGCTTGATCTCGTCCAGGGCCGTCTCGGTGTAGTGCGTCGCCGACTTGACCACCTTGAGCGCGACATGCTTGTTGACGCTGCGGGGCGCACAGTGACCGACAGTCAGTTCAGGGTCCCGCACACGCAGGAGGAACCGCTTGGGCGCGTGCGGACGAGAAGGTCTGCCCTCGGAAGCGCGGACCGTCCTCCGGCTCTCGCGCCCAAGCCCCGAGCCCCGTCCTCCCTCCCTTGCGCCCGCCGCGAGCAGAACGAGCTCGAGACTCACGTAGTATCACGCGCAAGCCTGCGAAGAAGGGAGAGGAGGCGCGTCAGTAGGTTGCCCGAGTCGAGCGGCCCAAGGAGGGAGCGCGGGAAACTGCGGCCTCGAGAGGAGGGGGGCGGGACGACGAGGGAGAGGAACGAGGGACGCACCAGACGGTCGAGAAGTGGCCCCAGCCGAGCTTGCGCACGACCACATAGCGGTCCTTTGGGCCGTAGACGTCGCCAACGCGCACCGGGTGGTACCCGCCCGGCTCGTAGTCGCTCAGCTTCTCCTCCTCGTCCGTGAGGACGCTCTCGAACGAAATGCTCGTTGCCGACGACGGGTGTGCGCCCGGCGGGAGCGAGCCAGGCTGGCTGTGCGGGCCAGAGTGGCTGCCGTGCTGCTGCCCGATTGCAAGCGGGACAGGGACGGCGGCTGTTTGGCTGCGACGGCGAGGAGGGCAACGAGAGTGTCAGTGCGGGTGTGCAGGTGTGTCGCTGTCGAGGCTGCGGGCGCAAGTCGGGCACGCGAGGCGGTGTTGTCGGTGTTGGCCGGGGAGAGATAGCGACGTCGGAGGGGGAGGGGGAGGCTGGGCGCAGGCGAGAGGCGGGGGGCGGGAGCTCACTGGTGAGGTTGTGCGCTGGTGCTGGCGTAGGCCATGGCTCGCGCAGAAACAAGGTTGAGGCGCAGGCGAGGCTCGAGCCAGAGGTGGAGAGGGAGGGGGGGAGCCTGCCTGTCTGGCGCCGACCGACCGCGCGAGCCAGTGGGAGAGCGACGCGCGCGACGCGGCTTCGTCGCCGTCTCCTGGCGTCGTCTGGCTCCTCTGCGCGGTGCCTCGCCCGCTCGTACTCGCGCTTCCCTCCTCCTCCTCCTCCCCCCTCTTCCCCTCTCGCCCACCTCTCTCTCTCTCCCCCTGCGCCTACGCACGCTCCCAAGACCTCCACTCTCGGCGAGCGCTGAAGCTCCCCCGCCGCTCCTCGCTTGCCTCGCTTGCCTCTCTCGGCCGCCCCGCTCTCCGCTCGCTCGCTTCCGAAGGAAGGCCGCTCTTCTCGAAGCCGTTCCCCTCGCGCGCTCTCTCTCGTACTTGCGCAGCTCTCTGTCCACGCCGTGCGCGACCCTTGCGACGCTGCCGAGGCCGCACGCAACCTTGCTCGCTCCAGCTCGCTCTCGTCGAGGATCCGCAGCATGCGCGCTCTCTCCGACACGGCGAGATATCGCCTGCGCGAGACACACGTTGTCTCGACTCCGAGGCGGAGCACCACGCTCACGCTCATCTTCTCGCCGTGATGCGGGTCAAACTTGCTTGCCCTCTCCTCGCGCCGTCGTTCGTCCCTGGTGCTGCGGGTCGACGTCGTCCTCGTCCAGCACGAGAGAGAGCGCGCGCTCGCCCGACCTGCGCGGTGCAAGCGTACTTGGCGGCGCGCTAAAGCTCGTCTCGCTCAGGGCGACCCGCAGCGCCAGCTCGACCTTGAGAGAGGACGATCATCTGCAAGCTCGTTGGACGGGCGAGAGCGGGCCGATTGGGCGTGGAAGATAGCGAACGACGAGGCATTGCAGGCGAGACGAGAAGCGAGAGATTGGGGGTACACAGGGCACAGAAAGTCTAGTACACGCCGAGGGAGACGAGAGAGAGAGAGAGAGAGAGGGAGGGAGGAAGAGGGCCGAGCGGCTCGAGAGAGGTTGACGATGCGGCGGCGCTGGACGACCGTGAGCGTGCATGCGCTCTAGTCGAACGTGATCTTCTTAGCGGTGCCCTTGACGTCGTTGCGGTAAAACGCGCCGTACGCGCCGTGCGTCTCTGCGAAGTTGGGAAGGCCAAAGTCCAAGGTCAATTCTCGGTCGTCGCGCCGCACGCAGACCTCCCAGAGAGCGAGAAGACCCACCTTTCTTGATCGCACTTCCCCACTGGTCGAGGCCGGGCGGGATGACGGCGTTCGAGTCGCGCAGGACGCGGATGAAGTGGCCAGCGAGCGCCTTGTCCGGCTCGCCGAAGAAGGTGATCGACTTGCCGGTGCGGCCAGCACGACCGGTGCGACCGATGCGGTGGATGTACTGCGGAGGGAGGCGAGTCGGTCAGCTACGAGGCCGAGGAGGGAGGGGGAGGGTGGGGAGGAGGAGAAGGGGACGCACGTCCTCGATCGTGAGCGGGAACGTCTGGTTGATGACGAGCTCGACCTTGGGGATGTCGAGACCGCGAGCAGCAACGTCTGTGAGACGCGCGACAGGTCAGAAGGGTCGAGCGGGAGTGGGGAAAGGGAGGACGAGGGGGGACGCACCGGTCGCGACGAGAATGTTGGCGCGGCCCTCCTTAAAGTCGTCGAGCGACTTGGTGCGCTTCTCCTGCGTCATGTCGCCGTTGATGCACACGACCTCGTAGCCCTTGTTCTTGAGGAACTCGTGCAGGCGCGTCGCCTCCTTCTTGTACAGCGCGAACACGAGCACCTTCTCGCGGTCCTTGCCCTGGGCGCCCGTCTTCTTGTTCGAGTTGAGCGAGAAGCCGTTGTCGCGCAGGTGCGTCAGGAGCAGGGTCTCCTTCTTGCGCTGGTCCTCGACGACGATGGCGACCTGCTCGACGCGTGCGTTGGCCTGGAGCGAGTCGCTGCCGACCGTGATGCGCAGCGGCTGCGTCATAAAGTCGGCCGCGAGCTTGCGCACGCTCATGGGCCACGTCGCCGAGAACATGGCCGTGCGGCGGAACTTGGGCGCGCCCTGCTCCTCCTTGATCGGGCCGAGCGCCGACGACGGCGACGGGAGGCACAGCTTGATGATCTCGCGAATGTCGTTCTCGAACCCCTTGTCGAGCATGCGGTCGGCCTCGTCGAGGACGAGCCACGACACGTTGCCGAGGTCGAGGTTGCCCTCGCGCGCGAGGTCGAGCAGGCGGCCGGGCGTGCCGACGACGATGCGCGGGCGCTCGTTGCGCAGGATGCGGATCTGCTCGGGCTTGGGCACGCCGCCGTACACGCACACCGAGCCGACCTTGGGCGACAGGGCGTTCGAGATGAGGGCGAGGTTGTTGTGCGTCTGCATGGCGAGCTCGCGAGTCGGGGCGACGACGAGGACCGAGACGGGCGCGGTCGACTTGCCCTTCTTGCCCGACGACGACGTGCTCAGCGACAGGATGTGCTCGATGGCGGGAACGCCAAACGCGACCGTCTTGCCGGACCTGTGGCGCGAGAAAGTGGGAGGAGGGGAAAGAGTCAGTCGATGCTTCTGCCCCGGCCCGACCCGCCTCAGGACAGCGAGAGAGGGAGGACACGCGCAGACGCACCCAGTCTCGGCGATACCGATCACGTCACGACCGCCGAGCATGAGCGGGAACGACGCGCTCTGGATCGGCGTCGGCTTGGTGAAGCCGCTCAGGCCCTTGCGCACGCCGGCGTTGAGCGGGAGCGACGCAAACGACAGGACGGGCGGGTAGTCGGTCGCCGTCGTCTCGGGCTCGAACGAGATCTTGTTCTCCTCGAGGAACGCCTGGACCTCGGCGGGCGACGCCGACGCGCCGGTCGTGACGGCGGTCGAGGTGCTCGCGACGGGCTCGGCGGCGGGCGTCGACGTCGTCGACGGCGTCTCGGACGCGACCGCAGCGCTCGACTTCTTCTGTTTCTTGTTGGACCGCTCGCCGTCGTCGTTGGCGGCGGCCGGTGCGGCGTCGCCGTCGTCGTCCCGGGAGCGCTTGGCCTTGGCCTCGCGCTTCTCGCGCTTGCGGCGCTCCTTGTCCGTCTCGCCGGCCGGTGCGGCGGTCGAGGTACTCGCGGCGGCGGGAGCGTCGGGCATGGCGGCATCGGCGCCGGCCTGGCCCTGCTCGGCGGCGGCGACGGCGTCCTCGACCTTGGCCGCCTGCTTTTTGAGTTTCTTCTGGAGCTTGCGCTCGGCGCGCTGCTCGGGCGTGAGGTCGGCCTTGGACATGGCGGTGTCGAGACGGGGTGTGGCTGTGAAGGGTGGACGAGGTGGAGCGGCTGAGAAGGCTGCGAGGGAGCGACAGGGTGAGCTTGCGGACGGCGGTAGAGCGGGAGGAGGTGGGCGCACTGTGGCTATGCACGATCAGGCTCTCGAGAACGGGCGAGCGTAGCGGTTGAGGGAGCAGCGAGAGCCCGCCTTCGACGAACCAAGCTCGCTCTGAGCGACGAGGATCTCCGCGGAGATGGCGCTCGTCCCTCCTCTCGCTCCCTTTGCTCCCGGTGGTGCGCGCGCTCCTGCGATGCGGGTGGACTGCAATCGCACATCAGTATCACGCTCAGAAGAGCCTGGCCAAGCGGTGTGACTCCGCGTTCGAGAGCTCGTCATCCAGCACGCTCATCGGCCGCGACCCGACCTGGTTGAGCTCACCTCTGCTCCTGCACCACACGCTTGCACCGCTGCAGCCATGGGCGTCCTCGACAAAGCGATGCGCTTCATGCGCATGGGCCCGGCCCCCGTCCACGGCAAGCAGACGCCCGCCTCGTCCACCTCGTCGTCGCCCTCCTCGAACCAGCCCGCCCCGGCCGCCAGCACCCAGAAGAAGCACGCCTCGACCGCGGCCTCGCTCCCGCCGGCGACCAAGTCGACCGCCAACCCGCTCAAGGAGCTCTCGCTCGAGGCCTTCATCGCCAAGCAGACGCCGACCGCGTGGACTCGCCTCCTCGCCAACATCCACCCGGCCGGCACGCTCCCCGGCTGCGTCGTCGCGTCGCCGAGCAAGGCCCTGCCCGACTACTGGTACGAGTGGACCCGCGACAGCGCCATCTGCGAGCGCGCCCTCGTCGAGCGCTTCGTGCGCGAGTCGCGCCAGGAGGACCTCACCACGCTCGAGGAGTACGTCGAGGCGTCGCGCATCATGCAGCACAAGCAGACGGTCCTCGGTGGCTTCTCCGAGGGCGGTCTTGGCGAGGTCAAGTACCACGGTCCGTCGCCTTCAGCCCTCTTTCCCTCCTCCTCCAATCCCTCCAGAACTGACCCCTCCTCGCTCGCACGCAGTCGACCACGAGCCGTTCACGGGCGACTGGGGTCGTCCCCAAGCCGACGGTCCGGGTTCGCGCATCATCACGCTCGGCGCCCTCGCGCTCCACCTCCTCGACAGCGGCGACAGCGCCAAGGTCGAGTACGTCAAGACGGCGCTGTACCCGGGCTCGCCCGAGGGCGGCGAGCGCACCGGCGTGCTCCTCGGCGACTTGGAGTACGTCGCGACGCACTGGCAGATGAAGGGCTTTGACCGTGCGTCCCCTTTCGCTCGTTCTGCTCGTCCTCGACGTCCCTGACTCTTCCCCTCGCTCCGCAGTCTGGGAGGAGGTCTCGGGCCACCACTTCTACACCCTCCTCACCCTCCGCACCGCTCTCCTCGTCGGCTCCCGCCTCGTCACCCACCCTGCGCTCGCCACGCCCGAGACGCTCGCCGCCTCGTCAAAGTACGCCGCCGCCGCCGACGCCATCACGCCGCAGCTCGCGCGCTTCTGGGACGCCGAGCGCGGCTTTGTCCGCGTCACGGTCGACCATGGCAAGGAGCCTGGCGCGGTCGGGACGTACGCCGGCACGGCCGACGGCGAGGACGTCGGGCGCCAGGTCACCAAGAAGCACGTCGAGGAGGAGGAGGCCAACGTTGACGAGAACGTCAACTCGTCCGTGTACGACGACAAGCACGGCAAGGAGTCGGAGCTCGACATCGCCGTCGTGCTCGCCGTCCTGCACGCCGGGCGCGGCACGGGCTGGGCCAAGTTGACGACCTCGTTCGAGGCGGCCAAGGACGACGAGTCGTTCGAGAGCGCGGCCAAGGTGCTCGCGACGCTCGACAAGCTCGTCACGGCCTTCGACAAAACGTACCCGCTCAACAAGGGCCGGCGGGACGGCGCGAGGAAGGAGGCGGTCGCCATCGGTCGGTACCCGGAGGACGTCTACGGTGCGTCCCTCGCTCCCTCTCTCTCTCTCTCCCTCCTTCGTCCCTCGGCTCCCTTTCCGTCGCGGCTCGTCTGACTCTCTTCATCGTTCCACAGACGGTGTCGGCATGTCGGTCGCCCACCCTTGGTACCTCGCGTCGGCTGGCGCCGCCGAGTTCCTCTACGTCCTCGTCCAGGACCTCGCGTCGCTCGCCCAGCGCCCGGACGCCACCTTCCGCCTCACCCCTCTCGTCCACTCGTCCCTCACCTCGCTCCTCCCGACGCTGTCGGTCCCCCTCCCCGAGCCCAACTCGACCCTCACGCCCTCGCACCCGGCCTTCATCCCGCTCCTCTCGGCGCTGTCGCGCTTCGCCGACGGGTTCCTCGCCGTCATCCAGGAGTACACGGGCGCCGACGGGCAGCTGAGTGAGCAGTTTGAGCGCGACGGCGTCGCGAGGGGGTCCGAGTGGCACGACGGCGGCGTCCTCGAGGACAGCAAGAAGGACGACGAGGGCCACCACGTCGAGGCGATCGGCAGGGGCGCCAAGGACTTGAGCTGGAGCTACGCCGCATGGGTGTCGGCCGTGCTCGAGCGCGAGAAGGCCAAGCGCGCCGTCGACGCGGTCGAGGGCGCCTCGGCGACGACGGCTTGACGCGGCGACCAGGCGTCGCAAAGCCTTTCCCCCTCTGTTCCCTATCCCTCCCTCCAGTCCCTCATCCTTAATCTTAGTCGCAGTCGGGTCGTACACGTTCTGTATCCTCATCCTGTTCGTCGCACGTTCCTGCCGCTCGCCGAGAGCGACGAGCAGAAAGCGTCTCACTGGCTCGAGCGGGGTGGCGCCCATAAATCGAGAGACGCCTTTGTACGGCACCTGGTCCAGCTCTGACGGCGCAGAGAGGCGAGTGGAGAGACGACTTGGTTCGGAGGAGGCGAGCCTCGTCCGCCCCACCTTGGTCGCGCCTCTCTCACCCACCCTCGCCCTCCCCAGAGCTCGCCGACCAGCACGATGGGCCTCAGCAACTTTGTCGCCAAAGCGTCGTCTGCCGTGGGAGGCGCGGGCGCTGCCCAGTCGCCCTCCAAGGGCGCCTCGGTCCCTCACGCTCCGAGCAACGAGGACAAGATCCCTGAAGGCGCAGCAGCAGACGACGTCGAGCAGCTCGACGATGAGCCTCGTAACAGTGCGTCCCCTTGTCTCCCTCATCTCGCCCGCCCAGTCGTCGTGGTCGCGGGTCTTCCCTCCGACCGCCTGGACGAGGCCGGCGACGCTGCGTCACCGTCTCGGCAGCGCTCTCAGGGCACATGGAGCGGCTCTCGAGACTCTCGATGGACACAGCGGGGCAGCTCTGTGCGGTGCACGAGTCTGCAGCGGGCGTTGCGGGCGCGGTGGGGCGGGATCAGGAGGAGCCGACTCGATCGAACGGCCGAGCATGCGGATCTCTCGCTCGCGCTGGCGGTGGGCGGTCAAGGGCAGCGCAGGGCGTACCGTCTGTGCACTCGAGGAGGGAGCGAGCCCAACAGACCTCGCCCGAGCGAGTCACAGCCCGACTGACCTCGTTCCTCGCCTCGGCACTGTGCAGTGCTCCTCGCGCTCATCAGCCAGCTCCGCCCGGGCATGGACCTCGCCAGGATCACCTTCCCTGTGTACGTCCCTCTCTCCCTGTCCTCGTCGATCGCGGCAGTGGCGCGAGACAAGACGAGCGAGAACTGACCTCGGCGACCTCGTTCCCACCGTGCAGCTTCGTCCTCGAGCCGCGCTCCATGCTCGAGCGTGTCACCGACTTCCACTCGCACCCTGAGCTTCTTCACGGGTGCGCTCGCCGTTCCCTCTTATCGCTCGGAGCGAGAGGAGCTGCGAGCCATTCGACGCTAACTCGGACCCCTCCCTCGTCGACAGCGCGTTCAACCTCGGCGCACCCGAGGACCGCTTCATCCAGGTCCTGCGGTACTACCTCGCCGGGTGGCACATCAAGCCCAAGGGCGTCAAGAAGCCGTGCGTCTCGATCTCGCTCTCTCGAGGTGTCCTCGCTCGTCGACAGCGAGGTCCCCTTGTAGTTAGAGGGATGATGCCGAACTCACTCTCTCTCATGCCGACCTGCAGGTACAACCCGGTCCTCGGCGAGTTCTTCCGGTGTCGGTACGACTACGCCGACGGCTCGGCCGCCTACTACATCGCCGAGCAGGTCTCGCACCACCCGCCCATCTCTGCCTGGTGCGTCCAGCCGTCCTCTCTCGTTGGCTCGTGTCGCCCTTACGCCTCGACGCACGCGTGAGGGCTTCCCACTGACGTGCCCCCTCGCCTGCAGGTACTTTGCCTCGCCCGAGCAGGGCCTCGAGCTGAGCGGCGAGCTGCGCCCAAAGAGCAAGTTCCTCGGCAACTCGGCGGCCAACATCATGGAGGGCGAGTCGCACGTGCGCTTCCTCGACGGCGTCGGCGCAAAGGACGGCGAGTACGACATAACCATGCCCAACATGTGAGCCTCTTCTCTCTCTCTCTTTCTGCGTGCGCTCGAGCCTCGACGCGAGCTCGCCTCGGTCCGCCGCAGGACCGCACGAGCCCTTGCCGTTGGTGAACAGGACGCACGCTCACTCTGCTGCTCACTCAGGTACGCGCGCGGCATCCTGTTCGGCAAGATGGTCCTCGAGCTCGGCGACTCGAGCATCGTCCGGAACGAGACGCTCGGCCTGTCGTGCGAGGTCGAGTTCAAGACCAAGGTGCGCTCGACTCTCTCCCTGCGCCTGGCTCTCTCTCGCGTCCCGGCGACGAGGACGAGGGCGAGCCTATGCCCACACGGACGTCAGGCGCACTGACCCCCTTCCTCGCGCAGGGCTTCTTCTCGGGCTCGTACAACGCGATCGCGGGCAAGATCAAGGGTCCCAAGGGCGACGTCGGCGAGATCTCGGGCCACTGGAACGAGCTCATGGAGATCCACCGCAAGGGCGTGCGTCCCACCTCTCCCTCTCGTCCTCCTCCCCGACCAGGTCGCGAGACTGACCCACTCTCTCGTTCTCAAACGCAGGGCAAGGGCAAGGAGGTCCTGTTCGACGCGACCAAGGCCGACGTCGTGCAAAAGTCGGTCTCGCCCGAGCACCAGCAGGCGCCCAACGAGTCGCGCCGGCTGTGGACCAAGGTGACGGCCGCCATCAAGGCCAAGGACCTCGACGCGGCGACCGACGCCAAGACCGAGATCGAGGACGCACAGCGCGAGGCGGCGAGGGACCGCGAGGCAAAGGGCGAGCAGTGGGCGCCGAGGTTCTTCAAGCCGACGGGCAAGGGCGGCGAGTGGAGGCCGGCTTTCAGGTGCGTCCTCGCGGCTCTCTCTCTCTCTCTCTCTTCCTCTCGGCTCGTGCTGTACGTCGAACCGACCTGATGCATGTCGTCTCGATCCTGTAGCCTCTCGCAGGGCGACAAGGCGAGCCAGCGCGAGGCCGTCCGCGCCTGGATCTACGGCTCGGACCCGGAGCCGCCCACGCCCGGCTCGCGCCCGTCGTCGACGCCGGCGAGCGCCACCACGTCGCCCATCAACACGTCGGCGCCGACCATCGCGGCCGGTGCAGGTGCGCCGGGCCGCCAGTCGTCGACGTCGTCGACGGACGAGCCCTCGACGCCGTTCTACGACGCGCCGGCCGCGAGCCCGGAGCAGGCGGCGGCGGCCGTGCCGCAGGAGCCGGCGCCCACGTCGAGCGTCTAGACGACCCTTTCCTTTCTCTTTCTCGCAGTCGGCGTCCTCGCTCTGTCGTCGACGTCCCCTTCTTTCGGCCGCCGAGCCACTTTGTACAACTCCCGCCGCTCTCGCCCCCTCCTTTCCTCGACCATACCTGACCCCTCGTCTTTAGTCCCTCTCCCTCTCTCTATCTTGACCCTCGCCGTGACATCTGGAATCGAGCAGTAGGAAACGAGCTGCGGCGAGAGCGACTCTCGAGAGCGAGCGAGGCAGAGACAGAGATGGGAGCGACGCGTTACAGACTGCGCCTCCACCGTGTGGTACTGCTTGCCCTCCGGGTATCCTGCTGCTGTGCGGCGAGGAACGAGGTCAGCCGTCAGGATCGTCGAGAAGGGAGAGAGAGAAGGGGAGGGGCGCACCTCGACCGCGCTGCCGCCCGCTCAGACGTTTGCGCCGACGAGGCAGAACGCAAAGACGATGCCGAACCCGCCTGCGATGCTGGCTCCAGCTGCGACGCCGAGCTCCTTTGCGAGCGAGTTGCGGAGGCTGTGTACGGTCTCGTCAGGGCGGGGTTCTCGACCACGGGCAAGGGGGAGCGAGAGGGGACGGACGTCGAGAAGTAGAAGGTGAGGACGAAGGCTGCGACGAGGCACTGGGTCGCGAGGGCGGGCAGGGCGGAGCGCGAGACCAAGGGGGAGAAGGCGGCGAGGGACGCGTGCTCGTCCTGCGGGGGGGGGGGGGGGGGGCGCTCTAACTGGTTAACTAGGTGAGAGGTTGAACGGAGCTTATGGCCCACTTCTGCAGAGGCGACCCTGTTCCTGGCAAGCACATCGTCTAGGACCCAACC